AACTTGTAAATCGACACTGTTTCCTTCGTGGAAACTGCATAGGGCCGGCTTCGCAAACGTTGAGGGAAAGCTGAGATTCGCGGGGCACCTCACTTAAACATCGGTAAGTATACAATTGTTTCCTGTTTAGCAATGAAATATCTATCCTTATCAGATTTTTTAAAATTCAAATCTACCAACATTCATTTTTTGCTCAAAACCCCGACAGCTGATCTGTGGAAAAAAAATAAGAGACGAGAACTTTCCATTTTACGTAAAAAATGGGCCAGGTTTATCAGATATTTCGAAAGTTTTCAGATTATTTTCGTTAATATCAACCATAAAAGAATATCTGTCAAGTATGTACCGACTAATTATCGAGTGGCTCATGAACTGTGTGGCTGTATAGTGACAGCCATGACATACAGTCCTTTTCCTAGTTCCGGATTTTTCCTAGTTCCGGATAGCTTCAAATAAAAACCTACCTCTTTTGGATTAGTCTCCAATATTTTTTTTTCTGACGATGTGCATTTTGAAAAGGAAAATGTAAGCTCCTTGATACACAAAGATTTTTTCCGATAAAATCTTTAGAAGAGGAATTTTGACCAGATTTCCGACTCGCACTTCGACATGTTTGGACGGTTTGTAGAAAATCGCGGGAGCTGCGAATCGACCATATATTTTCCCCTCGGTATATCACTTGTACCGTGTGATTTCGAATATTTTGATAATACACTACAGTCGTATAAACTCTTCCATCGAATGCTTATTGAATCAAAATAAGTTGTAAAGTCTCTAATTTTAAAAAATTCGCCACCCTAGTTCCGGATAGCGCGTGCACTTACGACCCAACTACACGCGCATTAATCGATTTAGTGTGACGTACCCTGTGCTGGGTCAAAGATTTTCGGTCCGTGCGTGAGTTCGAGCCGTTGTGCTGCAGACAAAAGTTTCAAATTCATGGCGTTTTTTACCGGCCGTAGGGGCGACGTTATGATGGCATTCGTCACACAGTTCCTCCATTTGTTTCGTTCTTCTGCTGTTCTAAGAAGTTGTGCCCTATTAAGACCAGTCCGCTCCTTGATCTTGTCTGCCCACATTTTCTGCTGTCTTCCCCTTTTGCCGCTACCATCTCAGGGCGGATTCAGAACACAATTTTTTGGGGGCCCCAAAAAAAATTGGTCCCCCAAAAAGTGGATCCAAAAAATTACGGCGTGGGATTCGTGGTCCGGCGGGCCCCGAATTTTTTTGGATTCTAAATGCTCTGTGGTGCGATCTGAGGCAATTTCTGACCACTTTGATGAGGGTTTTTTTTGGAGGAAAAGATGGTGGCGTACGAAGCGGCCTGCTTTTATAGCGACGTCACTAAAAAAAATTGCTGCTTTTTTTTTTGGGGGGGGCAAGGTCCCCATTGTCCCCCCCCCCCCCCCCCCCGGATCCGCCGATGCTACCATCTGTCCCACCCTCCAGGATTGTGTTTGCGAGACTTCCCTTCCATCTGACCATGTGTCAAAACGAGTGCAGTTTTCTCCTTTTGACGACTGTGAATAATCTCTCCTGCTGCCAATATAGCTCTCCATTAGCTCACGCATAGCTTGTTTAGTGGTGTGGCTTGAGTAATGAACTTGGAGCAGTCTCCGCGTAAAATTCGTCTCAAAGGCATTGATTCTCTTCTCCATCTCTGCTGTTATTGTCCAAGTCTCACAACCATACAAGAAGATACATGTAGATGTTATCAAAGCCCGCAGTAGCTGCATTCTTGGTGCCATGGAGATGTTCTTGTCACGCCAGATAGGTTTCAATTTGGCTAATGCAGAGGTGGCAGTCTCATCATGTCTATATCTTTTTATCCTGCAACCTTTGTAGGGCTTCGAAATATAGCGTCCTCTCCATTTTGTTGAAGTTCTGCATTTTGTTTCATTTCTGAATGCAGGCTTAGTTTATAGTGTCAAACTCGAGGCATGCATCAAGCACAAAACCATATCTAGCACGTTTCCAGGCATGTTGCATACAAATTGAAATAACTATATAAGCGTTAATATTATATTTTCAATAACGGAACACGATAATCTCAGTAGGTTAGAGCGTGGGACTCTTAATCCCAGGGTCGTTGGTTTGAGCTCAACGTCGCGTTACTATTTGCACCGCGAGCGACGTTGAGGGCGGAAGAGAATATATCAGAAGTTTAATCCGGCTGATCACGTCCGCACGCGTTTCGATGTTCGCTACGCGCTTTGTATGCCAGCAACCTCGTCCCCAGTGCTTACTTTATTTCCAACCGTGTTTCCAATAGTAAGCCCTAGATAGGAAACTTTCTTCCCGTATCCTAATTCGATATCGCAATTGGCTAATAATGGATTTTTATCGTGTACTTGGTGTTGTTATTCACAACGTGCAGTACGTGTTTTCACGATCATTTGTCCACGCCTTCTCTAAAATATTAGATGTCCAATAACGGAACACGATTAGCTCAATAGGTTAGCATGGGACTGCTAATCCCGGGTTGTTGGTTCGAGCCCAACATCGTGTGAATATTGTCTTCCTTGTTTTAAGGGGCCGTGGGGTGGGTGAGGATTTTAGTTCCGAATTTGGCGAGTTTTTCATCAAAGTTGATAATTTTATCGAGATGGGTATACCAAAAAAATAATTTGTTTCTTTTGCCTTTTATGCTTCATGTTAAAAAGATACACTTTTCTTATTCTGATAACTCTCAATATATCTGATTTTTTTTTTCAAATTGGAATACACAATGAAAAGGTATTGCTAAGCAATATAGTGTGTGATTCGTTGCCAATCAGTCAGGAAGTCAAAAGAAATTCGAAAATGCCGATTTCCCTCATTAATTTACGAATTCACTCTCGTTTAAATGCCAATCCTATGTTGATAGGCGTTCTAAAAGGAAATCATTTAAAAACACATGAACTGTCTGATGTTGGGGACGCCATGTCTCAGTTGTCCATCGAAACAAATTGAAAAGTTCGTTGCAGGGACCGCCAAGTCTGTCGGGGGCGGAGTTTGCGCTCATAACGTGTACCGAGATTTTCAAACTTTAACAAGTTTACTTATTCTGATAATATTGGATACATCTACAGACACATTTCAAACACGACAGTTCTGCGCACCGCATCGAAACTGAGGCTCCTCGTGTATAAACATTGACACATATTTCATTTAGGAATATTTAGTAAGGTTAAAATTAATTTTGTTTTAAATGTCTCGGTGGAAAACCAAAGTGAGTGGTGCTGTCCCCGAGGTCGGTGGGGTATTTTATGGGTGCAGACCAGTAAATAAACCCATAGCCATCTATGATAAATACCCATACTTCAAAAAACCAAACACTGGCAATATACTCAGAACTCTGATATGTGCTCAATACATAAATCCAATTAATGTTTGTGTTACCCTCTTCAACTTCAATTTTTGAGGCTAAACCGATGAGTTTGGGGTGATTTTTCCCTCCAAAGATGATCACCCGAAAAGCAGTCGTGAAACCCGTCGCCATTTTAGAAATCACCCCTGCACTACATTGCAAACTACAGCGGCTTTCAGTTTCAATTTAATCCCAACTGTCAAAGAAATACAAGTTCAAAGACCGGTGCAGAGTTATAGCTGGGGCCTTTCATTTCTACCAACCTTCAGGTGCAGGGGCTACGAAACTACTAAGCAAAAAGCGTGACATTATAATGTCACGCTTTTCGCTTAATAGTTTCGTGACCCCTGACCTGAAGGTTACAATATGTAAATCGTTATTTGGCCAGAGTTAGCCATTTTGCGTCTATTTTACTTATCTGGCCACTAACGTTTCGGGCATGCCAGATATGATTCAGGGGCCTTACAAGTTAATTTTCGGAGTGTTTTGTTAACAGCGGCGTAGCCAGGGTTCTCATTCTGGGGGGGGGGGGGGAGGGGGAGGCTGGATGTTATAGTGGAGGGGCGCCCAATTTCATTCGTGCTGAATGGTTGACAGGTTTTCTTCCCCATCGGACACCCAGCCTTCGTAAAATAATAAAGTGCAGGGGGGGGGGGGCGTTGGATACCATATTTCCATAGGAGCGCTGTTCAAAACCGAAATCATGGTCGTTGTCAGGCAATAGGCAGCGCTATTCGCTTTTGACGGGACATTCAAATAACGAGCCAATCGGAAAAAAGCACAGTTTTCGTCAAAAAAAACAACAAAAATAAAATGTGCAAAGGAGGCAAAATCAGGGTTTCGTGCTTTTCTCCGGTTTTCAAATTTCAAGTGTTGGGGGGGGGGGGGCGATTTTCCATTGGGAGAGGGGCCTGCAATCCCCCTCCCCCAACCGTCATGTGTAATGAACGTTTTTCAGACCAGCATAACAATATCAAAGATAACCAACATTTTAGCCCAAAAAAGAGGAATTTTCAGTGATTCCGCAAAAATTTATTAATAACTCCACGGTAGGAATAACTTTCAAACGAATTGAGGGGGACGCCGTGCTGTATCTTATATAAACAACAATTTTATTTCACATTGTGCACATCGATATACTTTGCCCCATTTATTAATTGAAAATGCATATAACTATTCAAGAGATTGAGATATATAGTCTTGCTTTGCCTTTGCTACATCAGCTCACCATCAGTGTTTTTTTTTTCAACAATAAATAAACAATTCTCATTCTCTTGATTTCAACATAGCGTGGTCAGTTTTACCATCATCGAGTCCAATGTGTTCTCTTTAACTACCTTTTGGAAATTCCCTGTTGGGTTCTCTGCCCTTTGGAAAATATTCTTTCTCTTTCATCATCGGATTTTGCCCTCTATTGATGGTAAACGACGAAACAGATAACAAAAGTAGAAGTGTTATTCTAAAATGTCAGGAACGGAACATTTTCTGTGTGTTGAACACGAAATCGATCAGTGGTCTGTTGTTTCAGACTGCGGCGGTAAAGGAAAATGAAAGTAAGTCTATACCTCTCAAAGTGGCGTGGTGTGGTACCAAGGCACGTAAATCATTCAGAGTGATTGTCCGTCATCACAAGTGAAGTCAACTTTTCCAAATGGATGTCACAACGAGCACAGTTGTTACTGAGGGGGTTACGTTGGACCCCACGGAGAGTTCAACATTCGAATTCAGTGACTACACCCAGAGGGTCCTCGTAGCCACTATGTTCCTTGTCATAGCCTTGCTAGGAATCTTTGGTAACACGCTTGTGATACTGGCCGTGCTTCTGTCCAAGAAAGTCCGCACGGATACCAATGCCTTCGTGGTGAACCTGAGCGTGGCGGACTTTCTGACCTGTCTGGTCCTCCCGTGGAATGCCGTGGCTTTGCTTGGCCGGGAGGGTCTACCGGTCGGTGTTTGGGTCTGCAGCATCACCGCTGTTGTTCAGAACGCCACGATCGGCTGTAGCATTTTCTCGCTCGTCGCCATCGCCTTGTTCCGATTCCTGCTGATCACACGACCTGCGACAACTTACCATAAAGTCTACACACCCAAGAAGATCATCATCTGGCTGGTTTTGATATGGTTTGTGCCGTTGTTCATCACCTTGCTACCGTCTTTCATAAACATCATCGAATTCACCTACAGCCGAATTTACCACATGTGCATGTCCATCTCTTCAAAGGACAGCTCGCGTACCTACAACACCATCGTAGGAGGCATTATCTACCCCATTCTGTTGATCATCATCTTCGTCTGTTACGTACTCATCTGGAGACATCTCAAACGACACTCTAGGAGGATGGCCACGGTCCACCAAGAAGACAGCGTCCTCACACCCAGCAGCATCCCAACCACCACCTCAGCCTCTTTGTCGGCCGTCAACTCCCAGCTGACACGCCGACGGAACGAAGTCACCAAGAACATGTTCTATGTCGTCTGTGCCTTCATCCTGTGCCTTACCCCATACGCTGTCGTCGTCATAAGCGGCTACAGGCCGGCCCTACCATACTTCTTCGCTTTGTTCTTTGTCAACAGTTGTGTCAACCCCATGATATATGCAACCAAGCACCGGGATTTTAAGACCATATTCGGTTGCATCTTGCGACGGCAGTGGGCAGCTATCCCAGAACCTTCCGAGTTCCTGAAGTTCCTGCAACGAAACAAGCGTTGTGGAGCAACCGCGGACATATAGTCAAGTTTGGTTATTAGTCTTGGTCAAAACATTGTCTTCTGTTGTTGGATACCCGATCACCTGCCGAAAGAGGACGTTTCACAACAAAGTCTTGGAAAGCTTGTAGCGACCTCGTCATGCGCGCCGGTTTATAATGTATGCGGCGAGCTTTCAAAACCTTTCAACATCTGCGAATCAAACTCAGCCTGTACATACAAGATGCTACCAGAATTTTGTGCAATTTCATGGCAGCTCTCTGTCGTATGTAGTACGCGTGCGGCAGGAAATGGACCGTATTTGCCTGCAGAAGTAGCGCATGCACACTAGTTTCCCCCATTAACTGGGGAACATTTTACAAGATTCATATGACGTTGTTGCCAGAGCGGTTCGTTGATGGAGAGTAATTCATTGTAATAACGCCCTCTTGTGGCAGGTGATCGCGTACCCAACAACAACAACAACAACAACAACAACAACAACGTCTTGACCAACCTAGTTTCCATATCGACGTAAGAAACGCAAAGAGAAACGCAAACATGAACCAAACTGCAACGCAGACATAATTTATGGGGAAAAAACTTTTCACCGGAAGTGTCGCCGACAACTCAGACAGATGCAAACTACCTCACACTGTCCGCGTACTGTCTGCGCAGTCTGCGTAGTCTGTGCAAGCTGAACGTCGATATGGAAACCAGGCTTTATTTAAGTGTGGTCCGATCTGATCACTGTAAAGTGGCAGGCTACTGTATGATTGATTTCAGAATTGAATGCAAGCATCACCATACACCTGCATCATTGTCAGTAAAGAATCCATACGTCTATACGTTGCAGTCGCACGACCACTTCTCCATTAATTTATGAAGAGCACGGACATGTATGAATTGATTTTAATACGATATTATACAACTGGATGCTTAACGAGATGTATAATTTAATCACAATATTTGAGATTTGAAATGGGGGCGTATATGGCTGTTCCCGATCGCGTATGTAGAGCGTTTCGCACGCGAAGCGGGCAACAGGCGGCGAAAGCCCCCCCCCCCCCCCGCGAAGCGTCCGAGGCGAATCCTCGTACTGTGAATATTTAATAAACTTTACCATAGTGCTCTGAAAATGCCTTCTTAATATTGCTGTAATTGTTGAGCTGCAACAAAAATCAATGCAACCTGATGTGAACCATATTGTCTTGGATTTCGTTTCAATTTCTATTTAGATTGAAAAACAAAAACCTTTTATTTCCTTCATTTATAACTAAACTACTTCTTTGTTTCCTTTTCACGTTCATATCCGACCTTTCCGAATACTAATTTCTTAACCGCTTTCAAGTATATTACCCTCTCCGTTTTATTTAATTTCTGCATGCTGTTGTATTTATGCATATATTATTAATGAATGCAGGTTACTGGCTGACTCGCGATATGAATAATGCAGAAACCTTGTTGGCAATTGCCCAGGCGTGTTGTATGCAAATTAAAATAACTCCATGTAAATAAGCGTTAATATTATATTTCCAATAACGGGACGCGATTAGCTTGAATCATTGTCATCCAGTCAAGAAGTCAGAATTTCGCCAAAATACCGATTTTTGGTTTCATTTTTTATTTGTTTTGCGGAGAACCTGACGGGTCTGCTTATGATAATATTTGATACATCTATTATCACTGTGCATAATGCAATTCTTTGTGAGACAATAAAAATCATTGGGGTTCATTCAGACTCGTTACATTGGTTTAAATCTGATATTTCTAACAGACAACAACTTGTGTGTATTAATAATGTTTAATCAGAACTTCCCCTTGTTCAATGTTGTGTTCCTCGGGGGAGTATCTTGGGACCTGTTGACCTTCTGTTCCTGTGTTATGTTAACGACGTGGTTTTGCACTAGGAGGATGACTTCAAGCTCTTCCTGTATGCCGAGGATAGCGCAATTGTCTACTCTCACACAAAAATCCTGACTTCATTTCGCAGCAACTGAGTAGGGTTTTAGAATCATGCAATAATTGGTTGGTAGACAAGTCTGTCTCGTCATCTGGGGAAAACTGAATGTATACTCTTTGGCTCTCATAGAAAACTCAGAAAAGTTCAGAAATTTCATGTGAAGTTAAATATCCTTTGCCTCCCACTCTTGACAGTTTTTTTATAAGCGCCACTACAAGAACCTGATGTTTTATTGCTTTTTTCTATTGTTATACTATACCGTATGTTTGTTGTAGCTGCTGGGCACCTTTGAAAAACAGTGTTCCGCTGAAAGTTTCCCCAGGATAACGAATAAATAAATAAATAATATCAGTGAAATATTTAGGTCTTAACCTTGATGAAGCCCTCCCAGGTGATTTATTTTCCCACACCTGTCTTAGTAAGATGCAATCTAGGTTGAGATTTGTTTATAGACAGTGCAGTTTCTTTGATCAAGGAGCGTGCCATCTGATATGTTGTGCTCTTGTTCAGTGTTGTTTTGACTATGCTTGTTCATCCTGGTTCCCTGGTTTAAAGTTACAGTTGAAAATCAAATTCCAGGTAGCTCACAATAAGATGGCTCGATCCATGCTCAATCTCCCAGGGCTAATACTGGACCCACCGAGCTGTTTAACATTGACATGTTAGATGAAGTAGAGTACAAAATATCTCATCACAATAACTCGATTGTCCAACTCACATTATTACAAAACGCGTGGCAGTAAATAACATTTTAAAGTGTTCAGATTGGCATGCCTCTACTTGCCTTTTCTTCAACACAATCAGTGATTGGAATTCGCTTCCAGCAAGACTGACACTCTTAGAGAGTGCTGCTAGCTTCAGAAACTGTATCTTAGGCAGCAAGCTATGTTCCTCTCTAGGTAACGGAAGTGAGCACCACACTAAGATTTCAAAGTTTGTGGGTGAAGGTATACTGTTCTACTGCAATATGTTGGGGTTGGTAAATTGGGCTTTTTTTTGTTTTTATTACAGTAATACTAAGTGGTAAATCATAAAATGTAAAAATGCATTTATCCTGTATGACCACTTTCCTCTGGGTTTGTTTATTCCGTTTAACTTTGTTTTGGTGTAACTCTCACAAACATGTATTATATTCAAATAATGAAATAAAATAGCCATTGTTGACTTCATGAACTAGTGCAACAGTAGCAGGGCACTTGGTGCATGTTTCCTTTTGAATACACTCAAGAGGAGGTAATTATTTAGCTTTGATGTAATTTTTCTATATAGATCACTCTTTATTGATATATCTGTGTATATACTGTTCCGATGTTAGTGTTAGAGTGTACAATTTTTTTATATTTCTTGAGTAACTAGCGATCATTCACAATCGGCGGTGTATTTCTACCAAAACGGACCTGCACCCTTAGCCTTGAAGATCGCTCTGAGTGGTCTCTAGCCTAGGGACGAACCCTGGTTTGGGAAGTTCATCTCCACCCTTTTAAGTGGCAGACTTGGTCCTATACAAGGGCGGATCCAGAAGACAATTTTTGGGGGCCAAACAAAATTTTGGTCCCCCCAAAAAGTGGGTCAAAAAATTACGGCGTCGGGTTCGGGGCCCGCTTAAGGGCCCCGAAAAAATTTGGATTCTAGATGCTCTGTGGTGCGATCTGAGGCAATTTCTGACCACTTTAACCAATGTTTTTGTGAGGAAAAGATGGTGGTGTACTCATTGCCTGCCTTTATTGCGACGTCACATAAAAAAAAATTGGTTACGTTTTTTTTTTTTTTTGGGGGGGGGGGTCATGGCCCCCTTTTGCCCCCCCCCCCCTCCCCCACCTGGATCCGCCCTTGATCCTATACAGACTTGAGTTGGCCCGGGGAGTTCCCGCCACAATAGCGTCATCTAGTGTCAGACATTGGCCAGTCCATTAATGTTACATTGAATAGTGCTCCACGTCACATGATGTCTACAGGAAACGAGTATATGTAGGTCAAAACGATTACGTGCTTATTCCTGGATAGGCTCTTCCCGAGTTGAAATGGGAATTTTCAATCCCCCTTTTTAAAACGGAAGCGTTTGAGTTTTAACTACGGATTTATCCTATTCATTTGTCGTTACGGGGTAAACTTATTACAGACTTTGGACCAATTGAGTTATTTCAATTTCCATGCAACATGCCTGGAAAGTTGCTAATAAGGTTTGTGCATTATGCATGCCTCGAGTCTGACACTAAAAACCTTGCCCGCATTCATAATTATACGCAGAAATTAAACAATAATTATGCAGAACTTCCACAAAACGGAGAGAACGCTATATTTCGAAGCCCTGAAAAGTTTTCAGGATAAAAGGACATGGACATGATGAGACAACAGTGTTTCTTTTAAACACTGAAAATAACAAGGCAGATTTATTTCCAACTTAAGGAAAACTGGGACGAACTCAGGGACGACATAATGTTAATGGTGTATAATTGTTTCGTTGGTTGTCTTGATTACTGACAGGCAATTTCAATGCATTGAATCAAAGTATCGATATGCACAATCGGAAATAAAACAGTTCTTCATGAACGATGCAGCACTGCATCCTTCAACTCGTTTGAAAGTCATTCCTATCATGAAGGTTTTAGTACAACTGTCTGTGCGAAACCCAAGAAATGCATGATCGTAAATCTCACGGGTGTAGGGAGGATATATCCAACTCCCACTTTTCGATCAGAAAAATGGGCCCATTGGATGAACACCACACCCCCTTTAAGTTTGTGGTGAGAATTCTCTAAAATGCTGATTTTCAGGTCTTTTCGTAACTTTCCACCGTCAAATTTATTAAATAGTCGGTAGTTCTTCTTGTAGGTCCGAAGATTTCATAAATGTTCCAGTTTTCAGGTATGTTAACTTTCATGTTTAATTGCCCAGTTTTGAAAGACAGAGAACCTCGTTTTGACGATTGTTTCAGGGACGTTAAGGGTGCACACCGTGAAATAGGCCTTAATCCATCCGCCGAGCTCTTGAATAGAAGTTATACCCTCAAAATACTCTATATTAGAGAATTCTGAGAGCCGTTACATTGGGGAATTAAAGAGATATGGCAATGAACCTCTGGCCCGGACCTGGGGATTCCAATTCCGAGCATTTTTGATGCAATTGGGCTCGAAAGTGGCGCTATTTGGCCATGTTGTGGAGGCATCGTTTTTCAAGATGGCTACCGTTCCTCTTTGGGGAAAATAGGGCTCGTCTTCTTTGGGCGAGAATTTCTCGAAAAGTCAATAGTCAACCCACCCACAGTTTTTTTTAAAGAATTTTGAAGAATGGGCATTTGGCACCAGTGTCTATGGGAATTTTAATGCAGGGTTTCACCCTAAAACGCACAAGCGAGCGTTACCTGTACATTAACATTATGAGCAGCGCCCCTGGTGTCACGTGGTGGCCAGCCCCCCCCCCCCCCCCATTCGATGATAGGGTTGGCCTTTTGCCAAAATTCGGACTTTCTGACAGATTGGCAGCGAATCAAAAACTGTGTTGTTTATCAAAGGGAACTTATGTTACAGTTGCCAATACGTTTTCAGGGTGTATTCCAAGTTTGGTAAAAGAAACAAGGAATGCATTATTAAAAATAATAAAAACCAGATAAGAGTATCCTTTTCAACGTCAAACAGAAAAAGTAAAACAGACAAATCGTGTCACGTTTTTTGTTATACACATTTGGAAAAGAAAAGAACATCCTGGTTGACATATTCGCCAGAACATGCGTATCGCGCAACCCGTCCCATCCGAGCCTCCTTAAAAAAAAAAAAAAATTGTTTCGCGATGTTGGATTCGAACCAACGACCCTGAGATTCTTAGTCTCATGCTCTATCCTCTGAGCTAATCGCGCTCCGTTATTGAAAATGTAATATTAACGCTTATATAGTTATTTCAATTTGCATGCAACATGCCTTGAAAATTGCTAATCAGGTTTGTGCATTATGCATGCCTCGAGTCTGACACCTTGCCCGCATTCATAATATACGCAGAAATTAAACAATAATTATGCAAAACTTCCACAAAACGGAGAGAACGCTATATTTCGAAGCCCTGAAAAGTTTTTAGGATAAAACGATATGGACACGATGAGACACCTTTTCGCTAACAACACTGAAAATAACGAGGCACATTTATCTCCAAGTTAAGAAAAACTGGGACAAACTCAGGGACGACATAATGTTAATGGTGTTAATTGTTTCGTTGGTTGTCTTGATGACTCATAGGCATTTCCAATGCATTGTGGCAAAGTGTCGATATGCACAATGGGAAATAAAACAGTTCTTCATTAACGGTGCAGCACTGCAACATTTAACTCGTTTGAAAGTTATTCCATGAATATAAGTTATACCCTCAAAATACTCTATATTAGAGAGTTCTGAGAGCCATTTCATTGGGGAATTAAAGAGATATGGCAATGAACCTCTGGCCCGGACCTGGGGCTTCCAATTCCGAGCATTTTTGATGCAATTGGGCTCGAAAGTGGCGCTATTTGTCCATGTTGTGGAGGCATCGGTTTTCAAGATGGCTACCGTTCCGCTTTGGAGAAAATAGGGGTCGTCTTCTTTGGGCGAAAATTTCACGAAAAGTCAATGGTCAACCCACCAAAAAATGAAAAGAAAATGAAAGATGACATGTTGATCATCATTTTTCTGTGCAGCTTCAATCACTTGTATAGGTTCTGAGTTTTTATTTAAGAATTTTAGAGTATGGGCATTTGCACCAGTGTCTATGGGAATTTTAATGCAGGGTTTCACCCTAAAACGCACAAGCGAGCGTTACCTGTACATTAACATTATGAGCAGCGCCCCTGGTGTCACGTGGTGGGCAGCCCCCCTCCCCCCTTTCATGATAGGATTGGCCATTTGCCAAAATTCGGACTTTCTGACAGATTGGCAGCGAATCAAAAACTGTGTTGTTTATCAAAGGGAACTTATGTTTCAGTTGCCAATACGTTTTCAGGGTGTATTTTAAGTTTGGTAAAAGAAACAAGGAATGCATTATTAAAAATAACAAAAACCAGATAAGAGTATCCTTTTCAACGTCAAACGGAAAAAGTAAAACAGACAAATCGTGTCACGTTTTTTGTTATACACATTTGGAAAAGAAAAGAACAATCTGGTTGACATATTCGCCAGGACATGCATATCGCGCAACCCGTCCCATTCAGCCTCCTTAAAAAAAAAAAAAAAAAAAAATGGTCTCGCGATGTTGGACTCGAACCAACGACCCTGAGATGAAGTGTCCCATGCTCTTACCTACTGAGCTAATCGCGCTCCCTTATTGAAAATGTAATATTAACGCTTATATAGTTATTTCAATTTGCATGCAACATGCCTTGAAAATTGCTAATCAGGTTTGTGCATTATTCATGCCTCGAATCTGACACCTTGCCCGCATTCATAATATACGCAGAAATTAAACAATAATTATGCAGAACTTCCACAAAACGGAGAGAACGCTATATTTCGAAGCCCTGAAAAGTTTTCAGGATAAAACGATATGGACACGATGAGACACCTTTTCCCTTACAACACTGAAAATAACGAGGCACATTTATTTCCAAGTTAAGAAAAACTGGGACGAGCTCAGGGACAACATAATGTTAATGGTGTATAATTGTTTCGTTGGTTGTCTTGATTACTAATAGGCATTTTCAATGCATTGTGGCAAAGTATCGATATGCACAATCGGAAATAAAACAGTTCTTCATGAACGGTGCAGCACTGCAACATTTAACTCGTTTGAAAGTTATTCCATGAATATAAGTTATTACCCTCAAAATACTCTATATTAGAGAGTTCTGAGAGCCATTACATTGGGGAATTAAAGAGATATGGCAATGAATCTCTGGCCCGGACCTGGGGCTTCCAATTCCGAGCATTTTTTATGCAATTGGGCTCGAAAGTGGCGCTATTTGGCCATGTTGTGGAAGCATCGGTTTTCAAGATGGCTACCGTTCCGCTTTGGGAAAAATAGGGGTCGTCTTCTTTGGTCGAGAATTTCTCGAAAAGTCAATGGTCAACCCACCAAAAAAACGAAATGAAAATGAAAGATGACATGTTGATCATCATTTTTCTGTGCAGTTTCAATCACTTGTATAGTTTCTGAGTTTTTATTTAAGAATTTTAGAGTATGGGCATTCGCACCAGTGTCTATGGGAATTTTAATGCAGGGTTTCACCCTAAAACGCACAAGCGAGCGTTACCTGTACATTAACATTATGAGCAGCGCCCCTGGTGTCACGTGGTGGGCAGCCCCCCCCCCCCCTTTCATGATAGGATTGGCCATTTGCCAAAATTCGGACTTTCTGACAGATTGGCAGCGAATCAAAAACTGTGTTGTTTATCAAAGGGAACTTATGTTACAGTTGCCAATACGTTTTCAGGGTGTATTTCAAGTTTGGTAAAAGAAACAAGGAATGCATTATTAAAAATAACAAAAACCAGATAAGAGTATCCTTTTCAACGTCAAACGGAAAAAGTAAAACAGACAAATCGTGTCACGTTTTTTGTTATACACATTTGGAAAAGAAAAGAACAATCTGGTTGACATATTCGCCAGGACATGCATATCGAGCAACCCGTCCCATCCAGCCTCCTTAAGAAAAAAAAAAAAATAGTCTCGCGATGTTGGACTCGAACCAACGACCCTGAGATGAAGTGTCCCATGCTCTTACCTACTGAGCTAATCGCGCTCCCTTATTGAAAATGTAATATTAACGCTTATATAGTTATTTCAATTTGCATGCAACATGCCTTGAAAATTGCTAATCAGGTTTTTGCATTATGCATGCCTCGAGTCTGACACCTTGTCCGCATTCATAATATACGCAGAAATTAAACAATAATTATGCAGAACTTCCACAAAACGGAGAGAACGCTATATTTCGAAGCCCTGAAAAGTTTTCAGGATAAAACGATATGGACACGATGACACACCTTTTCCCTTAAAACACTGAAAATAACGAGGCACATTTATTTCCAAGTTAACAAAAACTGGGACGAACTCAGGGACGACATAATGTTAATGGTGTATACTTGTTTCGTTGGTTGTCTTGATTACTAATAGGCATTTTCAATGCATTGTGGCAAAGTATCGATATGCACAATGGGAAATAAAACAGTTCTTCATTAACGGTGCAGCACTGCAACATTTAACTCGTTTGAAAGTTATTCCATGAATAAAAGTTATACCCTCAAAATACTCTATATTAGAGAGTTCTGAGAGCCATTACATTGGGGAATTAAAGAGATATGGCAATGAACCTCTGGCCCGGACCTGGGGCTTCCAATTCCGAGCATTTGTGATGCAATTGGGCTCGAAAGTGGCGCTATTTGGCCATGTTGTGGAGGCATCGGTTTTCAAGATGGCTACCGTTCCGCTTTGGGAAAAATAGGGGTCGTCTTCTTTGGGCGAGAATTTCTCGAAAAGTCAATGGTCAACCCACCAAAAAACGAAATGAAAATGAAAGATGACATGTTGATCATCATTTTTCTGTGCAGTTTCAATCACTTGTATAGTTTCTGAGTTTTTATTTAAGAATTTTAGAGTATGGGCATTCGCACCAGTGTCTATGGGAATTTTAATGCAGGGTTTCACCCTAAAACGCACAAGCGAGCGTTACCTGTACATTAACATTATGAGCAGCGCCCCTGGTGTCACGTGGTGGGCAGCCCCCCCTTTCATGATAGGATTGGCCATTTGCCAAAAATTCGGACTTTCTGACAGATTGGCGGCGAATCAAAAACTGTGTTGTTTATCAAAGGGAACTTATGTTACAGTTGCCAATACGTTTTCAGGGTGTATTCCAAGTTGGGTAAAAGAAACAAGGAATGCATTATTAAAAATAATAAAAACCAGATAAGAGTATCCTTTTCAACGTCAAATGGAAAAAGTAAAACAGACAAATCGTGTCACGATTTTTGTTATACACATTTGGAAAAGAAAAGAACAACCTGGTTGACATATTCGCCAGAATATGCATATCGCGCAACCCGTCCCATCCCAGCCTCCTTAAAAAAAAAAAAAAAAAATTGTCTCGCGATGTTGGATTCGAACCAACGACCCTAGAATGAAGAGTCCTATGCTCTTACCTTCTGAGCTAATCGCGCTCCCTTATTGAAAATGTAATATTAACGCTTATATAGTTATTTCAATTTGCATGCACCATGCCTTGAAAATTGCTAATCAGGTTTGTGCATTATGCATGCCTCGAGTCTGACACCTTGCCCGCATTCATAATATACGCAGAAATTAAACAATAATTATGCAGAACTTCCACAAAACGGAGAGAACGCTATATTTCGAAGCCCTGAAAAGGTTTCAGGATAAAACGATATGGACACGATGAGACACCTTTTCCCTTAAAACACTAAAAATAACGAAGCACATTTATTTCCAAGTTAAGAAAAACTGGTACGAACTCAGGGACGACATAATGTTAATGGTGTATAATTGTTTCGTTGGTTGTCTTGATTACTCATAGGCATTTTCAATGCATTGTGGCAAAGTATCGATATGCACAATCGGAAATAAAACAGTTCTTCGTGAACGGTGCAGCACTGCAACATTTAACTCGTTTGAAATTTATTCCATGAATATAAGTTATACCCTCAAAATACTCTACATTAGAGAGTTCTGAGAGCCATTACATTGGGGAATTAAAGAGATATGGCAATGAACTTTTGGCCCGGACCTGGCGCTTTCAATTCCGAGCATTTTTGATGCAATTGGGCTCGAAAGTGGCGCTATTCGGCCATGTTGTGGAGGCATCGGTTTTCAAGATCGCTACCGTTCCACTTTGGGGGAAATAGGGGTCGTCTTCTTTGGGCAAGATTTGCTCGAAAAGTCAATGGTCAACCCACCAAAAAATGAAAAGGAAATGAAAGATGACATGTTGATCATCATTTTTCTGTGCAGCTTCAATCACTTGTGGGTTCTGAGTTTTTTTTAAGAATTTTGAAGAATGGGCATTTTGCACCAGTGTCTATGGGAATTTTAATGCAGGGTTTCACCCTTAACGCACAAGCGAGCGTTACCTGTACATTAACATTATAAGCAGCGCCCCTGGTGTCACGTGGTGGCCAGCCCCCCCCCTCCCGCATTGGATGATAGGATTGGCCATTTGCCAAAATTCGGACTTTCTGACAGATTGGCAGCGAATCAAAAACTGTGTTGTTTATCAAAGGGAACTTATGTTACAATTGCCAATACGTTTTCAGGGTGAATTCCAAGTTTGGTAAAAGAAACAAGGAATGCATTATTAGAAATAATAAAACCAGATAAGAGTATCCTTTCAACGTCAAACAGGAAATGTAAAACAGACAAATCGTGTCACGTTTTTTGTTATACACATTTGGAAAAGAAAATAATAACCTGGTTGACATATCGCCAGAACATGCTTTTAGCGCAACCCGTCCCATCCCAGCATCCTTAAAAAAAAAAAAAAAAAATGTCTCGCGATGTTGGATTCGAACCAACGACCTTAGGATGAAGAGTCCCATGCTCTTACCTACTGAGCTAATCGCGCTCCCTTATTGAAAGTGTAATAGTAACGCTTATATAGTTATTTCAATTTGCAAGCAACATGCCTTGAAAACTGCTAATCAGGTTTGTGCATTATGCATGCCTCGAGTCTGACACCTTGCCCGCATTCATAATATACGCAGAAATTAAACAATAATTATGCAGAACTTCCACAAAACGGAGAGAACGCTATATTTCGAAGCCCTGAAAAGTTTTCAGTATAAAACGATATGCACACGATGAGACACCTTTTCCCTTAAAACACTGTAAATAACGAGGCACATTTATCTCCAAGTTAAGAAAAACTGGGACGAACTCAGGGACGACATAATGTTAATGGTGTATAATTGTTTCGTTGGTTGTCTTGATTACTCATAGGCATTTTCAATGCATTGTGGCAAAGTATCGATATGCACAATCGGAAATAAAACAGTTCTTCATGAACGGTGCAGCACTGCAACATTTAACTCGTTTGAAAGTTATTCCATGAATATAAGTTATACCCTCAAAATACTCTACATTAGAGAGTTCTGAGAGCCATTACATTGGAGAATTAAAGAGATATGGCAATGAACCTCTGGCCCGGACCTGGGGCTTCCAATTCCGAGCATTTTTGATGCAATTGGGCTCGAAAGTGGCACTATTTGGCCATGTTCTGGAGGCATCGTTTTTCAAGATGGCTACCGTTCCGCTTTGGGAAAAATAGGGGTCGTCTTCTTTGGGCGAGAATTTCTCGAAAAGTCAATTGTCAACCCACCAAGAAATGAAAAGAAAATGAAAGATGACATGTTGATCATCATTTTTCTGTGCAGCTTCAATCACTTGTAGGTTGTGATTTTTTTTAAAGAATTTTGAAGAATGGGCATTTGGCACCAGTGTCTATGGGAATTTTAATGCAGGGTTTCACCCTTAACGCACAAGCGAGCGTTACCTGTTCATTAACATTATGAGCAGCGCCCCTGGTGTCACGTGGTGGGCAGCCCCCCCCCCCCCCTCCCCATTCGATGATAGGATTGGCCATTTGCCAAAATTCGGACTTTCTGACAGATTGGCAGCGAATCAAAAACTGTGTTGTTTATCAAAGGGAACTTATGTTACAGTTGCCAATACGTTTTCAGGGTGTATTCCAAGTTTGGTAAAAGAAACAAGGAATGCATTATTAAAAATAATAAAAACCAGATAAGAGTATCCTTTTCAACGTCAAACGGAAAAAGTAAAACAGACAAATCGTGTCACGTTTTTTTGTTATACACATTTGGAAAAGAAAAGAACAACCTGGTTGAAATATTCGCCAGAACATGCATATCGCGCAACCCGTCCCATCCGAGCCTCCTTAAAAAAAAAAAAAAGTGTTTCGCGATGTTGGATTCGAACCAACGACCCTGAGATTATTAGTCTCATGCTCTATCCTCTGAGCTAATCGCGCTCCCTTATTGAAAGTGTAATATTAACGCTTATATAGTTATTTCAATTTGCATGCAACGTGCCTTGAAAATTGCTAATCAGGTATGTGCATTATGCATGCCTCGAGTCTGACACCTTGCCCGCATTCATAATATACGCAGAAATTAAACAATAATTATGCAGAACTTCCACAAAACGGAGAGAACGCTATATTTCGAAGCCCTGAAAAGTTTTCAGAATAAAGCGATATGGATACGATGACACACCTTTTCCCTTAAAACACTGAAAATAACGAGGCACATTTATTTCCAAGTTAAGAAAAACTGGGACGAACTCAAGGACGACATAATGTTAATGGTGTATAATTGTTTCGTTGGTTGTCTTGATTACTCATAGGCATTTTCAATGCATTGTGGCAAAGTATCGATATGCACAATCGGAAATAAAACAGTTCTTCATGAACGGTGCAGCACTCCAACATTTAACTCGTTTGAAAGTTATTCCATGAATATAAGTTATACCCTCAAAATACTCTATATTAGAGAGTTCTGAGAGCCATTACATTGGGGAATTAAAGAGATATGACAATGAACCTCTGGCCTGGACCTGGGGCTTCCAATTCCGAGCATTTTTGATGCAATTGGGCTCGAAAGTGGCGCTATGTGGCCATGTTGTGGAGGGATCGTTTTTCAAGATGGCTACCGTTCCGCTGTGGGGAAAATAGGGGTCGTCTTCTTTGGGCAAGATTTGCTCGAAAAGTCAATGGTCAACCCACCAAAAAATGAATAGAAACTCAAAGATGACATGTTGATCATCATTTTTTCTGTGCAGCTTCAATTACTTGTGGGTTCTGAGTTTTTTTAAAGAATTTTGAAGAATGGGCATTTGGCACCAGTGTCTATGTAGCCTTGGTCAATGCTCTCGTCGTTATTCGTCCCGTACGTGGTCAATCGTCGGCATATATCCAGGCCTCACGTGCTATGCACATGCATATAAAAATACAGCGTGAACAGCGACCTCATGCGGCCACTTTTTTATGCAAATCAGTTGAGACGATCTCGAGCCTTGGTTCAATCGTCCATGTGGTAGCAGACCAGTAAATAAACTTCGATAGACCCCAATGGTAAATGCTCCCACTTCAAAAATTCGGGAAAAATACTCACAACTCTCCAAGGTGTTCGAAACACACATCAAATTAAAGCTTATTTCATCATCTTTCATTTTCTGTTCAATTTACGGGGGGTCAACTGATGACTTTTAGGAGAAATTTCCATCTGAAGACGATCACCCCTGAAAATAGTCCTGAAGCCCATCGCCATTTTGAAAAACGATGCCTACACTCCATTGCAAAATAGAGCGCTTTTAGGGTGCAAATTACATCCAAATTACACAGAACTGCAAGCTCCCAGTCATGTGCACGGCTTCCACCCATATTTTTTACAAACCCTCAAGTTCATGGCCCACAGCATGCTCAAATACCGAAGATTTTGAGGGCATGCAAATCGCGATTTGGCCGGCGCAGGCAATTTCGGACCGATTTACTGGTCTGCACCCATGTGAGGTTTTGGGGGTGGTGCTCATTATGTTAATAGCCTTAGCTGACCTTAAATGTCGTTTTCTTATTGGTCGATCGTTGCGTGGAATTTTGCATAGTGAAACGTGGCACCGTACATAATCCATACACGTACACGTTGTGTGTCTCTGCACACAGCACCAATGCACAAAAACTGTGGTTCATGTCACGTCCGCAAAAGGCGAATAGCTGCAAATATTTTGATGACGTCCAGATTTACCAAAGTGTGATTGGACACTCCACATATTAGCCCCGCCTACACTTATCTGTATTCGCATACGAGGTCGTGCGCTAGAAATCCAGCGCAAAATAAAGAAAAACATAAGCTTTTGCCGACGATTGAACCAAGGCTCGAGATCGTCCTCAACTGATTTGCATAAAAAATAGTGGCCCCATGAGGTCGCTGTTCGCGCTGTATTTTACATGTGCATAGCGCGTGAGGATATATGCCGACGATTGACCGCGTACGGGACGAATAACGACGAGAGCATTGACCAAGGCTAGTGTCTATGGGAATTTTAATGCAGGGTTTCACCCTTAACACACAAGCGAGCGTTACCTGTACATTAACATTATGAGCAGCGCCCCTGGTGTCACGTGGTGGGCAGCCCCCCCCCCCTCCCCCATTCGACGATAGGATTGGCCATTTGCCAAAATTCGGACTTTCTGACAGACTGGAAGCGAATCAAAAACTGTGTTGTTTATCAATGGGAACTTATGTTACAGTTGCCAATACGTTTTCAGGGTGTATTCCAAGTTTGGTAAAAGAAACAAGGAATGCATTATTAAAAATAATAAAAACCAGATAAGAGTATCCTTTTCAACGTCAAACGGAAAAAGTAAAACAGACAAATCGTGTCACGTTTTTTTGTTATACACATTTGGAAAAGAAAAGAACAACCTGGTTGAAATATTTGCCAGAACATGCATATCGCGCAACCCGTCCCATCCGAGCCTCCTTAAAAAAAAAAAAAATTGTTTCGCGATGTTGGATTCGAACCAACGACCCTGAGATTATTAGTCTCATGCTCTATCCTCTGAGCTAATCGCGCTCCCTTATTGAAAATGTAATATTAACGCTTATATAGTTATTTCAATTTGCATGCAACATGCCTTGAAAATTGCTAATCAGGTTTGTGCATTATGCATGCCTCGAGTCTGACACCTTGCCCGCATTCATAATATACGCAGAAATTAAACAATAATTATGCAGAACTTCCACAAAACGGAGAGAACGCTATATTTCGAAGCCCTGAAAAGTTTTTAGGATAAAACGATATGGACACGATGAGACACCTTTTCCCTTAAAACACTGAAAATAACGAGGCACATTTATTTCCAAGTTAAGAAAAACTGGGACGAACTCAGGGACGACATAATGTTAATGGTGTATAATTGTTTCGTTGGTTGTCTTGATTACTCATAGGCATTTTCAATGCATTGTGGCAAAGTATCGATATGCACAATCGGAAATAAAACAGTTCTTCATGAACGGTGCAGCACTCCAACATTTAACTCGTTTGAAAGTTATTCCATGAATATAAGTTATACCCTCAAAATACTCTACATTAGAGAGTTCTGAGAGCCATTACATTGGAGAATTAAAGAGATGTGGCAATGAACCTCTGGCCCGGACCTGGGGCTTCCAATTCCGAGCATTTTTGATGCAATTGGGCTCGAAAGTGGCGCTATTTTGCCATGTTTTGGAGGGATCATTTTTCAAGATGGCTACCGTTCCGCTTTGGGGAAAATAGGGGTCTTCTTCTTTGGGCGAGAACTTCTCGAAAAGTCAATGGTCAATCTACCAAAAAATGAAAAGAAAATGAAAGATCATGACATGTTGATCATCATTTTTCTGTTCAGCTTAAATCTCTTATAGAGTTCTGATTTTTTTTAAAAGAATTTTGATGGGCATTTGGCACCAGTGTCTATGGGAATTTTGAATGTAGGGTTGCACCCTTAACGCACAACAATTAAGCGTTATCCTGTACATTAACATCATGAACAGCGCCCCTGGTGTCACGTGGTGGGTATCCCCCTCCCCTGCGGGCAACTCGAGGCATGCATAATGCACAAACCTTAGTGGCAATTTTCAAGTTGCCAATCTGTTACTAAAGTCCGGATTCTGGCAAATGGCCAATTTTATCATCAAATGGTGACACCATGCAGGGTCGCCGTTATGATGTTGTTGTGGAATATGTTATAGCTTGTGCGTTAAAGGGGTACTAGGTCCTGAAATCCCCGAAAATTTTATGGTTAGGATTGTTTACCTAGCCTATTTCAAACATCTGGTTGAAAGGAAACTAACCTAATGTCTTACGAGAAAAGACGAAAAAAACCCCGCTTGTTTACATCGGACATGACGGAGTACTACGAAAGCCCTGTAGTGCCATCAAGTATATATTTTGTCCAAGCTCGTTTTTATGAGTTATATATTTCGCAAAGTTCGTTTTTATGAGTTACATATTTCGCAAAGTTCGTTTTTATGAGATACATTTTCTCGAAGTTCGTTTTAATGAGATATATTTTACGGAGTTACGGAGTTTTATGAAGTAACAGAGCCCCTAAAGTGACATCCAAAATTATTTTTTTATCTTGTGCGCACGACAAAGTATCTCGTGCGCACGAGATAATTATCATGTGCGCAGGACATATATCTCGTGCGCAGGACATATATCTCGTGCGCACGAGATAATTATCTCGTGCGCAGGACATATATCTCGTGCGCACGACATATATCTCGTGCGCACGACATATATCTCGTGCGCACGAGATAATAATAAGTATTAACGGAGCTTGCTGCACGTGCAGCGGACAAGTTTGTGTGTAACGAAAGTAGCATGTCAGTTACGGAGCCCCTAAAGGGACATCCAAAATTATTTTTTTACCTCGTGCGCACGACATAATATCTCGTGCGCACGACATTATATCTCGTGCGCACGACATAATATCTCGTGCGCACGACATTATATCTCGTGCGCACGACATAATATCTCGTGCGCACGACATAATTATCTCGTGCGCACGACATATTTCTCGTGCGCATGAGATAATTATGTCGTGCGCACGAGATATATGTCGTGCGCACGAGATATATGTCGTGCCCACGAGATATAGGGCGTGCGCACGAGATATATGTCCTGCGCAAGAGATATATGTCCTGCGCACGTGATAATTATCTCGTGCACACGAGATACTGTGTTGTGCGCACGAGAAAAAAAATAATTTTGGATGTCACCTTAGGGGCTCCGTAACTTCATAAAACTCCGTAACTCCGTAAAATATATCTCATAAAAACGAACTTTGCGAAATATATAACTCATAAAAACGAACTTTGCGAAATATATAACTCATAAAAACGAACTTTGCGAAATATATAACTCATAAAAACGAACTTTGCGAAATATATAACTCATAAAAACGAACTTGGACAAAATGTATCTCATAAAAACGAACTTTGCGAAATATATAACTCATAAAAACGAACTTGGCGAAATATATAACTCATAAAAACGAACTTTGCGAAATATATAACTCATAAAAACGAACTTGGACAAAATATATACTTGATGGCACTACAGGGCTTTCGTACGAATACGTTTTTCGTGTCGTTCTCAGTGTACGCTATACACGTTGTGTGTCTCGCGATCAGGAACAGCGCGCGGTGACCAATCACCAATGCAAAAAGTATAGTTTTTTCAACGTCCGCAAAAGGCGAACACTTTACGCGTACGAATGAAATCACAACTGGCACCAAACAGAATTCATGCTCGAATTTATGGGGTCGCAAAAGTGGACCCCGAAATTCGTTCTCTCATGCATAATACAGGAATAACACAAAAACGCCCAGTTTTAAAAGGATAGTTGTGTTGATGTTTATATCCTACTTTTAAATGTTATTTCCGATATCATCATCTCGTTCAAAGCGCGTTTTGTATCCCAATTTGGCTGTTCCAGGATCTAGTATCCCTTTAACGTCCCATGGTCTCCGTCTTTTAAAACTACTGGGCAATTCCACCGTGGACATGGCTGAAAAGTGAAATTTTGGATTCCGGGTAGTCATTTTGAAGAAACATGAAGAAATTGATGTGCTTTGAACCGAACAGAAAATGACACTATTAGAAAAGGCAGTTACACTGCCCACACTGACATTTTCATGTCTCAGAAAATCGTCACTGATCAAATTTAAACACACAATCCACAGACATTATAGTTTACTTGCTTGTTGACGTTGTTGTCCATTTCAAATGACTCTCAAATGGCTTGGTTCCTTCAAGGACTGAAAATAATTTCCAAGAAAATGGAGAAACGAGTTTGACTTGAATAAGTCATTCCCTGCCCGCACTTGCAAACCCGGCCCAGGGCATGAGAGAGGTAGGCCTAAAGGGGGAGAAATGAACTTTGAACTCGGGCACTAATTCAGTCTAATCAGAAAGCCCACATTTGGTGAATGGAGGAGCGCACTACGCGCCCACACCATGCTCGCCGGGTGAATCTGCGTACACACTGAACAAAGTTATCGTTATCGTTTATACGTGGGAGATACACTTACACAAAGGTATTTCTTGAGGAGCCACACTGCATATGTCTTAAGTTGTGCTCTTCCGACTAGAACATTTTTGGCTCGAAACTTCAGAATTTGTTTAAAGAAAAATAAATGTTCAATTGAAAAAAAAATAGAAAGTGTAGTATCTATTACAAGTACATTGTATGAAGAATGATGAGATTTCTTCTCGAAGTATATAATAAATAACATTTAGGCCTAAAAAAGAGGTACTTCTTCGCAAGATTGCAACTCGAACCAAAAGTATTTAGCGATGTAAGTGTTCATGATTGGTCAGAAGTGAGACGAGAGACACGAAGCCTATTGATGCATCCTGGGCAATTATACAGCAACACCAATGCGGATCATAACTCAACGATTCTCTCAATTATAGTTTTCGGGTTACGAATTCTGCTTTGTGCTCCCATTTGGCTTCGCCCGGCCAACTTCAGTCCCCTGATCACCCGATTAGAAGCCCCATAGTGAAATATTAGCCCACTTTATGTCATAGAAACACCACATTTTTTCGCCAATTTTCCTTAGATTGTAGCGCACCAGGATTTTCTAATGCACTTTTAGGCTCGGGTGCGGTGACGGAGACGAACCGTCGCCGAAATCTGGGATTTCGAGAGTGAAAAACGGGGAAGACCGCATTATCGTTAGACCGCCACCAACGTTCAAACTAGTTTGGCAAACTTTGTGATAGTCTGGTACCATAGTGGAGAAGTGTAGTGCTGAACAAATTACATGCCAAACCCTGGCCTCGTGTGTTCAGGAACCGTACCTATCTACACAAAGTAGTTGATACATGTAATTAACTTGCGGTGGTGAGTAGTGAACTCGAGTTTTAAGTAGTGATTTTGCCATATATAAAGTTTAACACTGCCCCTTACATATCATTGAATGTTTAAAGACTACTCGTCTCCTTCTCTGTCAATTTGCTTTCCATTTTAGAACGATGTAATATAGGTAAGTGATCAAAATGACATCTCAACCGGTTGTGATACGCATAGCGAATCAGTATGGAGAGAACGTCGACTGGACAGTTCAGTCGCCACACGTATCGTTTCAGGATGTTTTGGTGAGTGATTTTCTAGCAATTTGTTGTTGTGTACATGTCACACTTCTGTTAGCCCCATAACTGTGGGAAAGAATTCCATACTCGGACGTCAGTTATCTGGTATCTGCCTAGTCCGAGTAACTTGGACCCAACTTATCGCCTTTTTTAACATTTGGACATGGTCTGGCGATAGGGTAATCCTTATCTTTAGGACACCTCTATTTTTCACAAGTTCTGTTCAAAACTGACTTTGGCAATAGACTGTCCAGTACCAAAGTGGCCTTTGCAGGCTAAAGAAATCTTTTATCTTCTGATTAATGTTCTAAAGTTGTAATTTTGAAAGCACTTTCAAAGAAAATGTGACTTTCCTACCTTTTTTGCAGTTTGCCATCTTGGTTTTTGAGTCTGTTTACTGTTTGTCATTGCCGTGTTTTACCCCCTAATTTCCCTCATAAATCAAAGCCCTGCCAGCCTCTTTCCACAAAATTAAACCTGCTGATATTCAAGAAGGGTCATACTGTTCAGATATAAGACAAGAAATATCAGAATGTCACTTTTGAGTGTCATTTAGTCAGCTGTTTTGGTGAGTCTTGTAACCTTATATAGGAACGGGGTCCTAAAAGTAAGGATTACCGGCGATAGTAAGGTCCAAGCTAATACCGAGACCTAGACAACACAGTCACTGACAGTCCCAAAAACCAACATTTTCCAACAAAAAACATCAGATTTCACCTTCAAAATGGCCTCCAAATTACTAGATATGTCACCTGAGGTACAAGTAGACATAGATGATTAAGATGGTTGTACTTAAGTTTACTAACGATCCGGAAAAAAAGTGAAATTTTCCGTTCAATTCTGAAGACCCCCTCTGCCTAGGTTGTCGTTGCTGTGCTCACGTTCAAAACTGCATGATAATGGCGTCTGACCTCGACCTCATGCAAAGGTCGTGACGGCGCGCTTGCGCACAATGCACTGCATGCACGGCAGATTCCCCTGCGCCGCGCCGACGACTGTTTCCTGATGAAGAGTGCTGTGTAAGTTCGCGGTACGCCTAGGAGTCGAACTCTTCATCAGGAAACAGTCGTCGGCGCGGCGCAGGGGAATCTGCCGTGCATGCAGTGCATTGTGCGCAAGCGCGCCGTCACGACCTTTGCATGAGATCGAGGTCAGACGCCATTATCATGCAGTTTTGAACGTGAGCACAACAACGACAACCTAGGTAGAGGGGGTCTTCAGAATTGAACGGAAAATTTCACTTTTTTTCCGGATCGTAAGTAAACTTAAGTACAACCATCTTAATCATCTATGTCTACTTGTACCTCAGGTGACATATCTAGTAATTTGGAGGCCGTTTTGAAGGTGAAATCTGATGTTTTTTGTTGGAAAATGTTGGTTTTTGGGACTGTCAGTGACTGTGTTGTCTAGGTCTCGGTATTAGCTTGGACCTTACTATCGCCAGACCATGTCCAAATGTTAAAAAAGGCGATAAGTTAGGTCCAAGTTACTCGGACTAGTATCTGCCACTAAGCACATCAATGTTCACCTCGCCTGTTCAAAGTTATGAAAGTCTGTGGAGAGTCAAGAAAATTTTCTAAGTATTTCCTAACAAAATTGGAAATTTATGTTTCTTATCATCATTTTTGCAATACCTGCCCTTCATTGAGATGATACATGTATATGAAGAAAAAAGTGGCGTCAGATTGCAACATTTTTACATGATTATAGTGATCGTGACATCGAATTGCGAAGTAGTTATATCACGAAGCGAATTTGTAAAAATAACGGAGGTTTCTTTTGAAAAAATAGGCCTCATAATCTACAACTGAAGTTCATGGAATACAACATGCAATAAAAGTTAGCCTTGGCCCCGAAGTCTATGTTTAAAACTAACTATTAAAGATGATGCACGCCAATGCCTGCTGCAAATTCCGCAAACGTATACGCACGTCGCATGCTCATCAGGCTAGGCCTGCAAGTCCAGCAGCAGTCCACGTGTTTACGTATACGTACAGGACGTAGGTCGTGTAGCATTATGTGCATGGAAAAATGGTGCATCTGGTTACCAGACGATCCCCTGAATAATATGATGATAGAAGAGAACGGAATAGTCAGAACCAGACTTAACTGCATCGATCATAGAAACAAAGTGAGTTAAGATCCGCGCGCATCGCAAACTTGGCCGAGACTAGGGTGCAGCGGGAAGTCATTCAATTTATTCGAAAAAGAAGTGGTCATTCTTGTTTCTAAATTCTTTTAGTTGTAAATGAACACTGTAGAGTCAAAAAAATTAAACCCGGCGGCTGGATTTTAAAGCTTGGCGGTGACTTCTAAAACATGGCGGGTGCCGCAGAAAACATGGGGGGGGGGGGCGCCAGGTTTGTTTTACATGTTGGAGAACACTGCATTATACAGCAAGCCAATCGAGGGCAGCTGGTGAGGATGCTTTGCCACCAGACATGCCAAAGATGCGACACCGAGAGCTCAACTAGAAATTATGTGTCAGCAACACCTATTTTGGGCACACAAAACACATCAAAAGGCGCCCTCTGTCATCCGTGGCGTAGTAATTTCAATACCTTTACACCCATACTTAACCCTAACCGCCCTGAATCCTCCAAAATCCTTTTTGCAAATTGGAGGAATTTGCAGGATTGAGGTTACATGGCCAAAGTGCGTTGCTGATTTCGGAGTACGCACTGTGTCAAGTCTTGGGCCGGACCTTTTGTTGTTTATGCTCAGCCATGCATAAATTTAGTCCTTGATTATACTTGACATCCTCCGCACTGCTCCAGGATGTCACTGCCTCTGCCTCAGCATATTGACAGTCATAGCCGGAGGATTTTGCAGGATTCAGGCAGTGGTCACCCCTCCATGGACCATATTCAAGAAACAACAGAGGAATTTGCAGGATTGAGGCTATATGCTATTTTTCCATGAGGCCAATTGGAGGATTTTGCAGGATTGAGGCTACATCCTAGCAAAAAGGCCTAGGGAGCTAGGGTTGAAATATGGTATAGGCCAGGGTCTGAACGGAGGCAAGATGGTGGCCAATGGTGGTGTTGCTGGGAGATCATTTTTCTTGTGAAGAAAATTCCATTTTCATGAATAAAATTTAACCTCAAAACCTGTCAAAGTTCTCTTTAACTTATGTGTACATGTAGTACAGTGCTTGTCTCTTTTTCCAATTTATAATGTAATTTTGGAGGTGTTGATGGTGTGTTGACGTAATTGACCTATCGCCGTTTGCGAGTTAGCCACGCCCCTTAGACAACCCAGATGGAATTTTGTACGTTCAGTTTTGTTTGTCTCAGATTTTGCGCGTGCCGCGTCCATTTGTACATCTGTAATTGGACAATATTTCACAAGCTGCATTGATAAGATTCTACCGCGATAGGTTAATTGTGCGTGTTAATGATAATTTGTATGACCCAGTCCAGTACTTCAAAAACTTTATGCGAGAGCCATTAAAATTTTCAAAGTATTTTTAAAGTTCAATTTTCAAGTATTTTTCAAACAAAAATAATTCATTATTTCTTTATTAAAAAAAAAAAATCATTATTTCAACTTCAAAAAATGAAAATGTAACTCACACATCTATAACTGCCAAAACTGGTGAGAAAGTCGCCTTTTTCTTCCAAAGTACTGATCATTAAATTATATTTAGAGTTAATCTAACTATTAAAAATAAAACTGCTTGAGGCTAAAAAGGTCATTTTGGAATTGACATTCATTTGCAAAAGTCATTTTGAATGGAACTAGTTAAATTAGAGGCGTTCCTAAACTACGCTTTCTCAAGGATCAGTTTTGCCACTATATTTCCGTTTCTGAACTCAGTACCCCTTAATGTTTTGTACAGTTGGAAAACTCTTGTTCTGCAGAATCCTAACAAGTCTGACTTTAAGCTCATTCTAATTTGAACATGCTAAACATGCTAAACATGTCTATATCATTGCTTTTTTGTAATTTCAGAATGCAATTTTCTCCTTTCTTACTAATATCCATTTAGAAGAATTCCTACAGAAGGTGACGAAGGTATCAATCATCCAGTCATCCCTGACAGTTTTGATTTTTAAAACAGGGCTAGATAACAATTTCAACATATCTCCTATTTTTATGCCCCGCGGCGAAGCCGAAGGGGCATACTGTTTCCGCCTTGTTCTTCCGTGGGTGGGTGTGTGGGTGGGTGTGTGGGTGGGTGAGTTTGTCTTACATACGCAGTGTGGACTTCCGAACAAAAGACGTCCACATAATGTAGGTAGCACCGACGTTGTGTGGACTTACCCCACGTCCACACAGTGTTTCCCCATTTCTGGAAAACAGGTTTAGAGGCATTTTTGGGTTAGGTTTATCTGTAGCAGAATGAAGAGAAACACTAAAGGGAATCATAGAAAAAAAATTGGGTTGAAAGAGTTTTCACAGTTTGAGAAAAATGAGTTTTTTCACTGGTTTTTCTTAACTACACGAAAGCAATGGAAAGTCCACACTAGTCATGTGAAACAAGTATGGGTGTGTGGGTGGGTGTGTGGGTGGGTGTGTGGGTGGGTGTGTGGGTGGGTGAGTTTGTCTTACATACGCAGTGTGGACTTCCGAACAAAAGACGTCCACATAATGTAGGTAGCACTGACGTTGTGTGGACTTACCCCACGTCCACACAGTGTTTCCCCATTTCTGGAAAACAGGTTTAGAGGCATTTTTGGGTTAGGTTTATCTGTAGCAGAATGAAGAGAAACACTAAAGGGAATCATAGAAAAAAAATTGGGTTGAAAGAGTTTTCACAGTTTGAGAAAAATGAGTTTTTTCACTGGTTTTTCTTAACTACACGAAAGCAATGGAAAGTCCACACTAGTCATGTGAAACAAGTATGGGTGTGTGGGTGGGTGGGTGTGTGTGTGTGTCCGGACAAATCTTGTCAGCGCGATAACTTGAGAAATACTTAACATATGAACTTCAAATTTGGTTTGTGGATTGTTCTTGGTAATCCTAAGAAGCCTTTTGCATTTGGGGCCAAAAGGCCAAAGGTCAAGTTCACAGTGGCTAAAACAATAGAAATCTTGTCAGCGCGATAACTTGAGAAATAATTAACATATGAACTTCAAATTTGGTTTGTGGATTGTTCTTGGTAATCCTAAGAAGCCTTTTGCATTTGGGGCCAAAAGGCCAAAGGTCAAGTTCACAGTGGCTAAAACAATAGAAATCTTGTCAGTGCGATAACTTGAGAAATACTTTACATGTGAACTTCAAATTTGGTTTGTGGATTGTTTTTGGCAATCCTAAGAAGCCTTTTGCATTTGGGGCCAAAAGGCCTAAGGTCAAGTTCACAGTGGCTAAAACAATAGAAATCTTGTCAGCGCGATAACTTGAGAAATACTTTACATGTGAACTTCAAATTTGGTTTGTGGATTGTTCTTGGCAATCCTAAGAAGCCTATTGCATTTGGGGCCAAAAGGTCAAGGGTCAAGTTCACAGTGGCTAAAACAATAGAAATCTTGTCAGCGCGATAACTTGAGAAATACTTAACATATGAACTTCAAATTTGGTTTGTGGATTGTTCTTGGTAATCCTAAGAAGCCTATTGAATTTGGGGCCAAAAGGTCAAGGGTCAAGTTCACAGTGGCTAAAACAATAGAAATCATGTATTTATTCTGAGATTATAGGGATTAGGGATTAATTCATATAAAACCTACAGAAGACACTAATGCTGTCAATGAATGTTCCATGTGACCAAGGTACATGTAAGTTGATGTTAAAAGAGTGGTGTTATGTCATGGGAACTGTCACGGTTGCGGGGCATTTGTGTTTGTAAACACACCTGACTTGTTTCTTTTTTTTGCTATAGGATGTTATAGCACAAGTGTTGCAGAATGGTGCCACAACAGCATTTGAATGTGAGTTTTCCGTGCCCCCAAACCTTTATGTTAGTGATGTCCATCTGGGTCATTCCACCAGGTTGGGACACAATGTGTGACATACACATGAATGACCATATTATGAAAAGCATGAATTCCTTGCTTGCAGTTGCTCTACATAATATTTGTTGTTGGGTGTTTCACTACTGCAGAAAGTTTTAAAGCATTTGAATATATTTTGCCAAAGATATGAGCAAAATTGTCATTCAGACGTAACATTAACACCGTGTCAATGTTTCCTGCAAATATTATATTTGTACCTTTTTTCAAAATTTCTGTAAAGCATTACCCAAATTCACTTTACGTACTTCTTACTATACATGCAACACACTAAGAAAAGCTTTTGTTATGGTAGTCGGGTATCAAATGGAGCAGAAATGATAGCTTGGTTGTGGATGTAACATTGACACCGTGTCAACCCCAAATGTCACACTTCCATTGAGTGACTTTGACACCGTTAGTTCCACATTAACATATTGCTTCTGCTATTTTAACTCTGACTACACCAAAACAAAAGTTTTTCTTGGTGCAGTAGGTGTCCAGTTATGAATATGCAATGTCAGTTTGGGTAATATTTAACATACGTGTAATATGTGTAAAACACGGCAAAAAAGAATATTTGGATGTAACATTGACACAGTGTCAATGTTACGTCTGAATTTATAAATTTTTGCTCATATTTTTGTCAAAGTACCTTCAAAGGATTTCCAACTTTTTTAAATATTGAAACACCCTAAGACAAATACTATGTTGAGCAATTGTTTAGAATGCATTGATACTTTTAATAAATATAATCAAATATTTGGATGTAACATGCACTGTGTCCCAACCCGGTGGAATGGCCCATCTGCAAAATGCATGTCCCCTGTAGCTATACAGGGTGAGTCAAAACAAAGGAAACCCATACATGTAAGTGAATTGTTTTCGTTCTGCAGAAATAACACTTACCGTTTTTGGTGATCGGTGGACAAAACTTTAAAACTGTGTTTGTGTTCAAAATTCCGTAACTTGAAAAGTACAAATGAGCGATTGGAATGTTTCTTGTACCTGTACTAACAGAAAGCTTATGAATTGGGCTTTCATATACTAGATTTTGAAAATGCTACATGCAGAACTTCTTTAAAAAATATGTCCTGACATTTGGGGTTCTTTTTTTTGACTCGCCCTTTATATTAATCCGGAAAACTCTTCATCTGTCAAGCTCGGTGTATTAATTTGATGGGGTCGGTAGGGTGAAATGTATGCATGATGAACTAATCATTTCTGTTTTTTTTTCTGATACTGAATTTTTATATTTTCATATAAAACGCCAATGTCTCCTATAGCTTGTAATCTTGTGCATTGAGTTTGCTCACAAACAAGGTTCTGCCCAAGTGCAGAAACTCTTTATAGTGTCCCTTGTGGTGCTTGTGTTCTTGGGCAAGACACTTTACTACAATTGCCTCTCTCCACCCAGGAGTCTAAATGGGTACCTTTGAAGGTAGACACCAGAATACGCTAAACTCGAGCTGCTGCAAAAACTGGTCTCATGGCCTGATGAACAGGGGGAATAATTGTGAAGCGCTTTGACACCTTTGGTATAAAGTGCTATATACACTGCCAAAAATATATTTCTTACTTTGAGAAAAAAAAACTTAAAACAAGTTATTTTTTCTAGGGAGTGACACAAGAAAATATTTCTAAAAGGCCAATTCTTGTTTTAAGAAACTTGTTATTAGATTTTTTTTCTAGTGTTCTTGATTTAAGATAAATAATTTTCTTAACTTTTGTCAAAATAAGAAAAAAAATTCTAAACTTTTCTCACTTATGTTTCTTATTTTAAGAAAAACTGCAAGAAAATTTTTCTTGTTACAATTTTCTAGGGAGTGACACAAGAAAACCTCTTTCCTTTTCTTGAATCAAGAATATAACCCCTTCATATTGCAAAAAAAATCTAGTTTTTTTTCTTGTTTCTTACTCAACTTTTGTCAAATTAAGAATATTTTTTTCTAAACTTTTCTCAGTTATGTTTCTTATTTAAAAAAAAACTGCAAGAAAATTTTCCTTGTTACAATTTTCTAGGGAGTGACACAAGAAAACCTCTTTCCTTTTCTTGAATCAAGAATATAACCCCTTCATTTTGCAAAAAAAATCTAGTTTTTTTTCTTGTTTCTTTCTCAACTTTTGTCAAATTAAGAATATTTTTTTCTAAAGTTTTCTCAGTATGTTTCTTATTTTAAGAAAAACTGCAAGAAAATTTATATTGCTCAATCCACCTGAAATCAACTTTTCTCAGCTATGTTTCTTATTTTAAGAAAACCTGCAAGGACAATTTTCTTGTTACCATTTTCTAGGATTAGGAATGACACAAGAAAACCTTTTTCCTTTTCTTGAATCAAGACAATTAACTCCTAGCTGGAATTGTAATCTTGGGTGTTTTTTTTTGTTTCTGCTGAGGTTTTCTTGGATTCCAAAAGAAAAGACATCATAAATCTTAGTACAAATTAATGAGAATTGTTTTCCTACTACAAGAAAACAACTTCAAGGCAAAGGTATGCATTCATCATAACAGCAATGGATGCCATGAAGACATTGTGTTAATATTTAACAAATAAAAGTCCTTTGTTTCAGGCTTACCTTTTTTAATCACCCTGTATAGTTTGCTCATTTCAATAATAGTATTTTCACCTTACATTACAACTTTATTTAAAAATTTTGTCACTGTCATAACTAGGCCAATATACATTTTTATTGGTGAACTTCAAACCTAGTTTTGAGCATTATTCTCCAAACTTAGATTTGCTTCTCGGGCAGAGCCTAATCGCCAAACTCAGATTCACTTCTAACATGGAGGAATAAGAACATCTAAAAATCAATTGTCATATCAGTGACTGCCACTTTATATGTTACTTTCTATAAAAGAAAAGGAATTGCTATCTCACTCATGCTTAGTGGGTTATGTGTGCAATGTTCAACATGTATTACAGTATGCATACATTTGCAACTACCGATCCGAAACTTACACAACTTTCAATCTTTTCAATCCTTAAACATCTTCAACAATAAAGTTCATACAAAAAGCCATCCTTAATCTATGATAATTAAGTTAAAACATGACAATAAAACTAACATTTGTACATACCTCTGGCAGAATGAAAATGATGGAAATGATAAGTGAATGTTCAGGCCTGACAGCTGAAACAATACACTTTTAAATTTCAGTTGGCCACTCCCCCAACAGCGCCCTCTGTTGTTCTGGCCAAAGTCATACAATTTTAATTTCATTCAAGAAAAGTTTTCTTAAAATGAGAAAGTATTTTTTTGTACAATGCATCAACAAAGAACACTTGGCAAGAATAATTTTCTTGAAGTGTAGCATTTTTTGAAGACAAGAATTGTTTTTATTAACAGGAAATATTTTCTTAAAATAAGAAAATAGATAGCAAATATGAGAAAAACACAGTTCGTAGTTCTTAAACAAATTTCTTATGTAAGAAATTTTCTTAAAATTAGAAAATTTTCTTGTAATGAGAATAATTTTGAGAAAAAAAATCTTTAAAAAAGATATAATTTCTTCAAGTATATTTTATTAAATATTTTAAGAAGTATTTTCTTGCCCATTTTGTTTTTTCTTACAAATTATCTTAAATCTAGAATATTTTTCTAATTTCAAGAAAAGTTTTCTTAAGTAAGAAAATATTTTTGGCAGTGTAAGCACCACTTATTACTCTTAGTTTGCTAAAAAGTAGTCGGAAATGTTTGCCATTATGTTAATTATTGATGGTTTGCAGATGAGGATGAAGATGGTGATCGTATCACCGTACGAAGCAATGATGAGATGCAGGCCATGATGGCATATGTAAGTACAATCCAGAAAATAAACAAATGACCCAACAACCCGTCAAACAAACAAACAAACAAACACCCCAACACCCCAACAAACAAATTAAATGAGACATTTATTTCCATACTTTTACATTAAAAATAAATTGCATAAGCTTAAAGGGCTATGACATGAATATTACTTGGGAGCATATTTTGTGTAATTTTCTACTCCTTGCAAATGTATGAAATCTATTTGATACCCCTTTTTGGTTAATTTTATCGAAAAGTTCACTTTTTTAAACATTTAAAAGTTTCCATGTTTTTCCTGACAAATGAGGGCGCTGTTGCTGTGATGTCATTTTAGAAAGACACCGTTCACTTCAGGGCTTTTCTGTTCAAATTTTGAACCCAAAATTTGATCATTGAAAACTTTGCGAGAGAACTTTGCTCATACATGTAGGCTTACTGTTATGTACCGAAACAATAAAGAAAAGAAAATTTACGAAAGCAAAATATCAAAAATTCTGGCAAATTTTGGTGCTGAGATAGATGAGATTTCTGCCTGAAAGGACATTACACTTTTGCTCATGAATATGGAAATTTGCATTATAACCAAAAAGGCACCAAAATGCCCGTAAAAATGAAAAAATGAAAATTTAAAAAAAAGTTAAATGGGACACAAAGGTGCATTTTCAAGGATAGCATTAAAAAAAAATACATGTACATTGCATGGGCCTTTTAAGCAAAAATGTAATAATTAAATTAACCCTAACCCTCCTCAATCCTCCAAAATCAACCAGGCTGTTTTGGAGGATTTTGGGGATTGAGTCTGAACGGCAAAAGCAAGATGTTGATTTTGAAAAATGCATTGTGTCAAGGTCTTATGCTGTACCCTGCATTGTTTATCTTCAGCCATGCATAATTGAGGCCTACATTATACTAGACATTGTCCGCATGCTTCTTGATATCATCTGCACTGCCTCAATGTATTACAGTGATTGTTGGAGGATGCTAAAAAAATGAGGCAGTGGTAACGTCTCCTCTGAGCACACTCAAGAAATAAGGGGTGATTTTGGAGGATTGAGGATGGATCTTACCAAAAAATGCCTTTTGATTTGGGTTTAACGAGGAAAAAAATCAGAGCATGGAGTCGTGTTCAACTTTCTCAGCATTAAAGAAGTTCCAAGATTTCATCTTTAAACACTCTTATCATCAGTCTCCATCTTAACATCTGTGCCTCCAGGATTCGTGTTCGTTATGTGCAAACCCTCTTCCTAATTCAGTTTAACTCGACCTGGGAAGACATTTGTTGGGAAAGCCATGAGGAAGTCTGGCCTGCTGTTATTCTGTGAATAACAGTTGTGGTCGAAATGTCATACATTACAACATCATCAACATACATTTGTTCAGCTGGTAGATTAACGTATGCAGAAGCATAAGATTGGTCCATTCGTGGCCTACATACAGTACGTTATGCCAATTTGACTACCTTTCTACAGTTTTCCTTCAAACTGTGTGATGTGAACCCATCTGTTGAGATCCAACAGGAGATTTGGGGAGATTTTGAAGGACTGGGGGGAAGGGGGGAGGGGTTTAGAGCCCAGCTACCGTTACTTTACACGGCATCTAATGCAATGACGTAGCAAGACATTTCTTATGAAGGGGGGGGGGGGGGTGTTACAAACAAAATCACCGAAATTTTCAATTTCCATGGAATTGAGAAAAAGCCTAAGACTGATGGTTTAAGCCATGTTGGCACACAGCGTGCCACTCGCAGGCGGGGCGTGTGCAGAGAGCGTACTGATCAGATGCTACCCCTCCCTTTTTCCTCCCCCTCCCCCTTTTTCCTCCCCCTCTTTCCTCCCCCTCCCCCTCCCCCTCCCCCTGGTTTTTGTTTTTGAGTTTTATGGTTCAGTCTTTTTTTCTTTTTTTTTTATCTTTCCTCGGTTTACTACTGATGACATGCACATAGAGTTCAAAAGTTAAAGGATATTGCCATTTGAGTTGTTGCATGTTGGAAGATTTGGGAAATTGAGGACCAGACGATGCAAGAAAAAAAAAACAAGGCCACGGGAGTAACGGGGAACAGTGGTTAACAATGGTTAAGAAAGATTTCATGTACTTGTTAGTGTGCATATTCATACATTGTGCATATTTTTCTTTGTCTTTGCAATAACCATAACTAGTGAGTATTTGCGATAACACCATGTGGAAGAATCTGTTTTGAAAAATGTTACATTCATGTAAAAATAAAAGTTTCGCTATTTTTGTTTTGCACCTGGTCTGGTTTTTAGTACATGTCTGTCGTAATGGAGAATGAGTCTGCTAATGTGATGGCACCTCCGCTAGTCATATACCCAAGGGGTGAGTACGGGTACAAGACCTCTCATTGCTAAGGTAGACATTTTCATCTGAAGTTTGCCAGCCTATGGAGTACCGAAGTGAATACGTCACGCGCACGAAATGTGTGTAAAAGACATTAGCGCCTGATTCAGCCCGTGAACCAACACGTGCGCGTACTCCATTGGTTTGCACTACACTTTCTGGTTCTAAATGTCGTCACACTTCGGTACTCCGTATGTCATTTGAATAGCGTCTTTGTTTTTGGACATTTTGAATGATTGGGATTTTGAACAAATTTGCAGGAAGGCTCCTTGCATAGAAAGTTCCATCAATCGATTGTTGACAGGTAGCTTGTGTATTTTTCATTTATCAGAACAGTTTTATTCATACCCTGCTTGATTTGTGGCAGAGGGGTACTCCCCCCCCCCCCTCCAGTGTCCCTATACTCTATACACCTACTAGAACTATTGTTACCTAACACATGACACCCCCTCCCCCCTCCTCCCGTTATCTCAAAATAATTCCTAAGAATTCCAGTTACACAATAATCAACACAAAGGGGGGGGGGGGGGAGGAATCCCTCTGCCACATATCTTGCTACCTATATGGTTGTATGTATTCATTTTCATGTCTGTCTCATCCTTTCAACAGTCATAAAGTCGGGACGGAGAAACATTCACGGGTTAACGGTAAGTTGAAGTCTTGGCCATAGCATTTCCTCATCACATTCACTTCTGATGTTATGCTCAGTGAATGAGTTTGAAAAGAAACCTTTCCGTACTACCCGTAAATACAAACTACAAGATAATGTTAAGGAACTAGTTCAATCGCCTGTACATTCTTTGCTTGCGTCAACTTCATAAGTCTTTTTGTTAACAAAAAAAATCACTTTTAGCCCCAGAAATTAATAAAGCAGATGTTCTCCAACTTTTCCTCCAAACTGTAGGTCAACACGAATCCCCCTGGCAATGTACCGAAAGGAGCAGACAGTGGAATCAGTCTTCACTATGGGTAAGATTGTTCACTTTATTCTTTCAGTGAACTGCAGGAGTTTAAAGATGTGAAAACTCTTTACTCAACTACATGTATGATTAGCCGAGTAAAAAGCTGTTTGGAGGTCGTATTCAATAGTCATATAGACTCAGAACAGAAGTTTCAGTGGCACAGTGACCACCCACGAGACATTCCGTCTGTACTCTGTAGCACACTACGCAGCGTGCATTTTGTTGGCGCGCATATGGCATAAAACACCCGCGACATTTTCATCCAAATGTTCACAAACCTGTAGCATATTCATAAGATGGAATTTTTTTTGCGTCGGGGTGATATAAATCAAATTAGGTATTGCCCTTCACCGACGTTTAAACACTGTATACTCGGTGTGTTACCTCCCAAGTGAAAGTTGGGGAAAAAAATCACTCGGGTGGGACTCGAACCCACAATCTCCTGCTTTCTAGTGCAGATGTCTTACCACTCGACTACCGAACTAACGGGATCGGTTGGCTGGTTCGAGTTGGTGATTTTTTCCAACTTTCACTCGGGAGGTAACACACTGAGTATACAGTGGTAAAACGTCGGTGAAGGGCAAGACCTAATTTGATCTGTAGCATATTCACATGGGTACCACCTCGTAGCAACAATGACATTCATAGATGTGTCTCCTTGTTAGCACTGAGGAGGTCCATTCGGTCACTTGTTCAAAATTTTGACAAACTTTGTTGGTTTATTTGTTTATGAAACAGGAGGCAAGATGCTGAGTTGCGTGAAATCATGTCTTCTGGGAAGGTTGGTATTGGCCTCTAAATTTTGATTTTTCAGTCGGAGTTCGTCATGATCCTTTGTGACCAAAAACTGTGGCCATTAAGTTGCCTTCTGTTTATTACGTTGTGTACTACCATTGAAGAAAAATAAAACTTGGATCTATGATAAACTACAAATCGTCGGTTCAGTGCTAAAAGGTCCTTGCAGCAGTCCAGTGATTTATGGCAGACACTCCAAGGTCAGATTTTGAGAGTGAAAGAGTAAATTATGTCAGATTAAAACAACTTCCAGACTAATTTATTAAAAAAAAAAGATTGCATCAATATGCTTAGATTTTGCAATTTTTTTTGCTCTTTAGCTTGTTATTTGAAGCCATTTTTGTAAATACGGATCTTTGAACCAAATTTTCAAATAAGGACCTTTTAGAGCTGAGACCGCGAAATGTAGCGTGGTGGTCAGTTTGCCAATGTGACTTTCCCATCAGTGCAGCTGTACATGCCCCTATTTCGTTGTTGTTCTTGCTTCATTGTAGATCTGAAAACAGTTTTTCAGGTCTCAATAAAACCGCATGAAATGCTAATTCATGATGGACAAAATAGTCGTACCATTCAGCAAAGGCCAACTGGATTACTGCTAAGCAATTAAGTTCAGATTTTGTTATCAACTCCAATTTTTTTTTTAACTCCATTTTTGTCTTCATTTCAGATATCACAAGCTGATATTCAGCATTTAGAAGTTCTTGGTCAAGGCCACAGTGGAACAGTGTACAAGTAAGTAGTGAATCCGAAGTTTTTTTTTTCCTCAAGTTATTATTCACGTCAGAACTTTCTTGAAACAGTTTAGAGAGTTCTGTCCCACAAATATTGGCTAGGATTAATGAGCGATCAAAATATTTTCTTTTTGAAAAGGTACCGGCGTAGCTTGCGGAATCTTTTCATTTCATTGTTATTTAGTTTTCAGTCAAGATTTTATACCTTAGATCTCAATTATTTAAAAATAGTAGAATAATAAACATCCTATCTTATCAAAGCCTATTTAGGCTTGCACAAATACTGAGTTGTGACATCTGATTGCTACATTTTTTAAGAGAAGGCAGACATTTAAACAGACATTTTGTAAGATTACTGGACTGGACTACAATCACTAAAGCACCACCTGATCATGTACTGTCTGAGATAGATGAGAATTTATTTTTGTCTGATATTTAAGAAGAGTATATATGTTGTAATATGTATTGTTTGTTCTTATCGCAGAGCAAGGCATATAGCTACCAACAACATAATGGCAGTCAAGGTAGGCTATACTCCACCCACCTCCATTTGTTTGCTCTCAATGGTACAGTTGGATTCTTCACAGGATCCTAGCAGTCTCAGCTAAATCCTCTGAAAAGTTTTTGTCAACAAAAATGTTACTTGGGATAAAATTATGATTGGTGCGAATCATCTAGTGAAATACCATTAGGCTTGCCTGGTCGATTTGGACTAGAAAGTCTGTGATTCTTAACCAATCAGACTGCTCCGTCTAACTTTGGTAGCAAGTCCCATACATTGTGTAGGAAGTCAGGAACAGATTATTCAAGTCGGTAATTGGTATCGACCTACACGCATATTGGGGCCCAGGATGCACAAAGCGTCCCCGCAATATGGTGCCATACTGCCCGACTGTACACCCGGCCAATTGGCCTTATTCATGAACAAGTGGGGGCGCTGTAACGACGCCATTTGGGGTATAAAAAGACGTGAATCAAGGCCATTGACCTTAGTTTATACCAATTGCTACAGCTTGAAAATTACATAATTACAATGCTTTTCACAATCTTTATTTTTAGGTTAAAAGTACAGTTACAAAACTGCTTCGAAAAAACGTGATTTGTCAGTGTTTGTACCAAGGAAAGGGCGCCCTTATTTGTTCAAGAATATGGCCTACTACTGACTGGATTTCAAGTCTACTATCATCTGGTTCAATAACTTGTTCAGTAGCTCGTGTCACATATAAAACTGAAATGAGCCAGACTAAATGCACTTTTCCAGTTTGACGAAAAAACATTTTTTGACCTTGTACGTTTAGTGGCAAAGTGTCTGTATAATACAATCTTATTGGAAATTGCTCTTCTGTTTGCAGGTCATTTCTGTCGATATCACGCCAGATGTTCAAAAGCAGATTCTCTCAGAACTCCAAATACTGTATAAGGTAGGTCATAATCCTTTGGCCGGAAAATAGGTCAGGCGTTCTGGCAGAATGAGACGGAGTTCGGCACAGGCCTTGTGGAGAAAATTGAAAAAAGAAAAATGAATGGGGGTGATTTTTTCTGATTTATTGATACTTGTAATGTTCGATATGTCTCCAAGTACTACACATTAACCCTTACCCTACTAGACCCTCCAACGCATGCCAATATGTGCCTCAAGAAAATCTCCTATGTTTTTTGCATGGCCCTCCAATATCTGCCATGTCATTTCAAGGGTAACTGGACAGGCACTCCAATACATGCCACAGAGAACAATGAGAGTCCTCTGATAACAATCAAGTGCCCCCAGCTGGTCAGTATCAGGCACCCTCCAGGGCCTCCAACTCCTGCCAATTGGAGCCTTCACTGCTACATCAAAGTATCCTCCAATAAACTGCAGCTGGAGGGCATTGGCATAACCAACTGACATGCAGTAAACTACCCTCAGAGAGTAAGGGTTAAAGAAATAGTATAAAAAATGTGGGGAAAAAAAGTGTTTTTAAGGAAAACCAACTGCCATCTTTTTCACGACTACAAAACAGACAAAACTTTAAACGCCCTTTTCTCAGTATTTTACTTTTCTGACATGCCAATAAATGCGAACTTTAAACAGCCATAACTTGTCAACAAAATGCCCGATTTAAGCGCAGCTAGTAGTGTTGTAGGGAGAATTTTATTCTCTTTCCTAATACCCGCAAACCCTCATTTCGACCTCTGCCTAGCTCTGTCTCATTGTGCCAGAAGGCCTCACTTATAATAATTAATTCTTTTGTGCATTTTCCTGACGTTCTTCACCTTGGTTCTTCCTCTAGAGCAGAAAATGTAAATAATCTGCTTACTTTAAAAGACATTAAGTGAATATCACTTGAGGAATATTTCCAATGCATGATGCTTGTACCCTTCAATATTTAATACAAACTTGCGCGGGACGAGGATCGTTTAAGTTTGAAATAATGACAAGTAAATAGTAAATACTTCTTACCTTGTATTGGGAATTGTATTTTAATATTCATTCATCAGTAACTCACAAAATTCTTATTGGTTGAGAGCCTACACACACACTGTATCTTTAATCTATGGAAATGTGGCCACAAGTTGACCAGAACTGCTGAAAACTTTCCTCATGTTGACAGCAAACTGAGGAAGATAAGCATTTGCGTTCAGTCTTCCTGAGCAGTATGCATACATGTACATGCCAGTCCAATATATCACAGCCACATTAATCTCCCAAAGAAGCATTTACAAGTATTGCTAATGTCTTTAAGATATTTTCATTTAAGTAGCAAAAGACATCCCTAGCTACAGAAACCTAACGTAGTAGTAACATATATTTTGTTCCATTGGGTATTTTTATACAATATTCATAAATACTAAGACAGTTTACCCATTCCTATTGGTCGAGAGCCGTCACATGGTTGATCATGTTGATAAAGACCGGCTGGCAGCTACATCTTAAATTTTTCTTAGTAGTCTTAAATGTTTTCCAGTGTTACATGAAATTTGAACATTCACAATCCCCACGTAGTAGGCATGCGAAATACTGCCAGTGAGTCAGAATTTCATAGTCCTAACTCCTAAATCCACAATACACCGGCACCTGTTTACCATGATTTTGATGTTTTAATATTGTTAAGTATCATGCAATTTGACCTTTGGCATGTTTGCATGGTTTGGGTCACAATGTAATATGAATAAATATACCATATAACACAGCTGCATTGTGCGCCACATCGTACACGAATCTCGATAGGAGTTGTTTATGACACTCGCAAAACTGGACATGCCATAATATAACTAGAGGGGTGTCCTGAAAAACATGAGGTAAATTGTTGAACAAAATCATTGGAAATTTATCATTTATGACTTGTTTTGACTTTTGGACTGAACAGTTTTGATTATTTGACCCAAAAGGTATAATTTATGAATGGGTTCGGAGAGGGTAATTATCAGCATCCAGACTCCAACCGGTCTTAAACAGAGTGTTTAAAACCGGACAAGCATGCTTTTATTCCCCTATTGAATACACTAGCTGCCCATCATCTAATTTATGTCATTGAACCATCAGAAAGCCATGAAAAGTTGTTTTTTTTATGTGTACATATAGTTATTTCTCTTCAAGTTCATTTGCTACATTTTCATTTTCCAGTTAGAAAAGATCACTGTTTATTGTAAAGTTTTGATGCAAATTAACCTACTGATATGACATCCACTGGAATGAGAAGCATGATGAGTACATTGTACAATGTATAGCTTGTTAAAAAAGATCTCATTGACAGAACATCATATCTCATTTAGTTTTTTCCTCTTATTTTTTGGAATGCTTCCTTGTTTTAAAGATTTCTTTCATTACATATTAAAAAGTGTTGGCTTAAAGGGAATATACAACATTTGCAAACATCAACAAATAAAACTACCAAGTTTTTACGAAAAACCTTACTAGGATGTTGGTTAATGACAGTCTAAAGCATCCTGTAAAATTATGGCACCTGGTGTGAAGTCATTTTCAAGAAAATGGTATTTTTGTATAAATTTCCAACCGTGGTCGGCCGACCACCGTTGGAAAAACCCAACTATTTTTCAACTACTGCTCCAAATTTACCATTTGTTTCAGTTAAAATTTTGTTTGCTATTGGTCACATGTTCATGAACGGGTGCAGGCCAGCTAGACTGGTTCCCTTACCTTACAATTTTCCGGCATCTATAAATTGATCCATTTCATCTTTGGTGGAGTCAGGGAACCAGACTACTTGAACATTTTTGTTTTTCTTGGCTTTTCCAGCATTTCCGAACACAAAACTTCAAACATGTCAGTGTAACAATATTTGATCTATTATACTATCCCCTCAAATAGTTCATTTTTGAAAATTACAGCAAAAGCCAATGATGTACATTCCCTTTAAGTGATGTCTGAAATAGGAATTGCTTAAGAAATTAAACCCTCAAAAACACATCAAACAATGCATTGCAGTCTTTAAATTTCATCTCAGTTATGTTTGTGAACGTTATTGCTTATATTTTAAATTCTTTTATCAGAAATCATAGTTAAAAGTGACAGCAGCAATCTAATAAAACCCAGGCACGTCATAAAACCCCTTTTTTTGTTCTGAGTATAAGGTACACATATGTGGCTCTATCATGAGCAGAAATCGTACCATATCCTGATATCACCAAAGTAGTATTAAAATGTTGGCATTACAGTAAAATCTTATCCTCAAGAAAGACAAATAAAACTCCAGGTCAGTACTTGATAAAAATCAAGCATCGCCTAAAGGAAAAGTCTGCTGCACTTTCCTGTTATCCCAGCCTTCCAGTCTCGTCCAGAGAGAATGGAAGTAAACTCCGGGGAATCAGATTACACTATTGGACAATCCCCCGAGGTCAAGAGTGCTCTGAGTAGTTCAAGGAGGAGTGACAGAATACCGGATCTGTAGCACACAATCAGTTGCTGAGCCATTCATGAATTCAGAAGATGAGACCCTTAAGGTCCTTGTGAACATTGTTTGAGTGTTCGAGAGTTCTGAATTAGCAGGGTTGGGTTTCAGCTGTAAGCATGTATTATGAGATTTCATTTTTCTCGCTCAGCACATAGTCAAGATGTAAGAGCTTCAAAGAAACGGATAATTGTAAACAGCCTCTTACTTGCAGCTAGGTCACAAAAATCTTTGTTTTTCATGTTTGTTTACTTCGCAGAAACAGTGACAGTATAAGTACATAAAAAGTGAAGATTATTCTCAGAGCAATTTCTTGTTAGACTCTAGAAAATCAACAATCTGTAAATTTTAGCTAATCGTTAATATTACAAAACAAGTGGTATTACTGATAAAGTGCAGTGTGAGCGAAACATCAGATTCAGCAGAGATTCATGAAATATATAATAGATGTAATCTTAATAATGAAAGCTACATGTATTGATGTAATAAGTCAAGTTTACTACAGCTTGATTTAAATTTTTACAAACCTGTACAAGTACTGTAGGTACAGTTTATCTATTTACTTGTGCATGTACATACGGTACATATTATAACAGCATGTTTATAAAGCAGTATGTTATACTGGGTACAGGACTGCAGGCAAGGCAGGTGAAAAATCTCATAGATAAGATTGAGGATTACTTCAATTTAACAAAATCAGAGCAGTTGGTTGAAGGATACTTCACTGTTCACTACATGTATGTTATCAGTCTATCAGTTCCTCTAGGTGTACAGTTTTATAACAGTCGCACGCTGCTTATAAAGTACATGTTCAAATTAATATTGCCAGGAGATATCATCATTTACAGGCTGCTTGCCTATGGGTCATCCTGTAGTAAGCCTTTTGGTGGCAGAAGCGGGATAAAGCAGATAACCTGTGAATGTAGTCAGGTGTTGTGTGTTGCCGCTCAGGCTGTGGCTCCTGCTCAGGCGCGTCCAGACCTCGTCTCTCTCAGCCAGCTCCACCACGGCGCTGTTTGTGTACATCGTGCGTAGCTTCTGTGCCGCGTCTCCGTGCACCGCCACCAAACGCTCCCCGTTCTTAACGAGCTCCACCATCACGTCGCGGTCGTGCACTACGTTGAACGTGAAGAAGTAGGTGCCGTTGGTCGAGCAGACAAAGTGGCCTGTCTCAAAGTTGAAACGGTTGCCGATGTTGGTGATCACCCGGTCGTAGGTGATGTCTTTCTCAGAATCGCCGTGCCCAGGGAGATCCGACGTACGCACCACGGTGAACGCGGTGATTTCCACGTGCCCCACCCGGTGTATCAGTGGAGGAGAGGCCATCATCATCTCAGGCCCTGCAAACATCTGCGTCTTCTGCCCTTTCAGAATGTCCAGGACTTCCTGCAAGTCTGACAGTACGTCTGGAGTTTGCTGGTTGAGCAGCTTGAGTATCCCGCTCATGTCACCGGAAGCTCCTCTCTCCCCCTTCTCACCAGATCGGCCTGGTAATCCAGCAGGGCCATTGAGCCCATTCAGCCCATCACGGCCTGGGAGGCCCTGGGGTCCTACCACACCAGGTAGCCCCGATGGAACCATGGGGCCTGCTTCCCCCTTCTGCTGGCAGCAATCTCTGCATGGTCGGTCAGAACGTGAGCTGATCAAAGTTGGTAGGAGTGAGATGAACAAAATGTGCTGCAGGGTTGCAGAGGACATCATCTGTATCAATAAAAACACAAACAATACACTTTTTAAGTATGGGTACGCCAAAGTCAAATGTCTTAAAAATTCATTTTCTAGAGTTGTGGAAAAAAAATAGACAGTCCTTACATACATGTACATTTAAAGTTGCTAATTGGACTAAAATAGCAATCAGCACTGAATAAGTAAACACTGCAAAAAAAAGGCCACACTCATTGGAGCGGTCATCATTTTGAATTTGATCGTCTTATGATGAGTTTATGAGAAATGATGCAGTTTGAAAAGTTGCAGATTTATAGGTTACACAAGGAGAAGTTGCTAAGCGCGACCACACACGCCCATAATTGGCCGGACTGTACAGTGCCCGAACAAAACGTGGGTAATTCAATTTCGCGTTCTCCAATGCATACATGTTCTACATTAGTACTGAGCGATTGATATTTCCTGCCGTTCATTTTGGGCAGTGTCACATTGTCACTCAGCAATTTGCAGCTTTTCAAACTGCATCATTTTTCATAAACCGTTTTCAATGTTGGACGATTAACAGTCTTTGGTAGCAAACGGAGTATCAAAATATAGCTAACAACATTCACCAAAGGTCTGTATAAATGACGTCATTATAAGACGATCAGATTCGAAATTATGACCCCTCCAATGAGTGTGGACCTTCTTTTTTTGGAGGTTTTTACATGTTGTATAAACTCTCTGCATGAACAGTAGATGTTTTTTTTTTAACGCTGTCAAGAGCTTTGGAAGGGGGGGGGGGACAATGCGCATGCACATACTAGTTTGTGCATTTCTGGTGTGAAGTGCTCATGACTATTTTTATTCTGAATCTACACAAACTTATAATATCTTCGCAATGCCTTGGTATAGCCTCCCCAGTGGCCTCCCCCAACTCTTCTTGTGTGACCATAGAGGAAGTACTTGTGCACGGAGTCCATATGGCGAATCAGCCGACGTCTTACTACACAGAAGTAAATTGGCCGTGTAATCATAAGTCAGTTTTTCCATAGACATGATAGATCTACAATGTATGTACTGAAATTGGTCTGTACTCCGGAGTAATTCTCTCTAATGAAATGACCTTTTGAACATTTCTGCCGCCGTGAATTCTGCCTGCAAAATGAAATTGCCAGCGGGCAGATTTCAGGGTATCATTTAAAGTTGAGTGACAGAATGTACATGAAGATTAATTGCAGATTCAATTATACACGTGTATGCACCTTGTCAATTGAAATGTCATTTAAAGAGAGGGCAAAAGAAAATTGATTTTAGTCTTCTTCTAATGTTTTTAAAACATCATACATGTAAGTACTATAATCAAATTTAGAGGTTAGGTAATGGACGTACATGTAGTTCACAATTATAGGGGTATATTCTTGTTGATAACTTTTGTGCACATTTTCAAGGAGACACTGGTAATGACGACATTAATCTTTATAACTTGCAGTGGTCGATCCATGTGTGGCAACAAACCATGCTACATTATCCCATATACCATGGCCCATATACACTGTACGCATTCCGCGTATCGCACTATTTCACGATGCGCACGCCATTCCCGTTGCACGCATAACCGCTATAAAGTTTGTGTACAGCGTGCTTGTTCCAACGTTACTGTGCTTCACGTTTGCTGGAAAATAAAATCATCCTGCTCATGGGATGTTGGACACAGATGCACTACATTATTCCGTGTTGCATTTGCGCCCGTAGGATAACTAATAGCACTTGTATGTCCAGTGTTAATATATGTATTTAAATACATACGTGTAGTTGATGTCCAAAGTTTCAAAGGCCATTGGAAGCTGGACAGAGCTACATGTACCATACATGTACATGTACATGTATGGTATCTGAATACATGGTTCAAAGAATGTGCAAGTTATGGATAATTTTTCCTTCAAAATTTGTAGCATCTTCTGAGAACGAACCTTCAGGGATCGAGCATATACATTTGTAATACAATGTACATGTGTACACCACATTTTACATTCACAGGGATTATGCCTTTCCAGAAGTTGACAAACAAGTCAAATTTATATGCCTTTGGTGGAATAGTTTGTTTGTCATTTTCTTGCTGTGCTGCTGTTTTTCACCCCTCCGTCCCACTGGACGCAGTCAATGCAAAGCCAATAAAAAGCCCCAGTGAAATTGGACACACAATGATGAAGAACTTGATCCCCAATAAGTGCCCGCGGACCGTCTTAACAAAAGCAAAACGTTCGACATCCCTCCGGCCAGGCTTATCCCAGCTCTCTCTTGTCTTGTCTGCCCTGGGGGGGGGGGGGGGGGGGGGGGGGGGGACATGTCATCCTGTGCCCCCTGGGTCCATTACGGCAGGGGTAATATTGATTTCTTTTCTCTGGCCCTCGGGAAGCAACATTTACTATTTGCCACCTTTTAAATTAACAACAAAAAAACCTTTAGCATTTTATTTTCCTACGGAAGAGGAGATATTTAGCCCGTCTATCCAGGATGAAATGTTTGTGTGTCCATGCAATTACATGTACAATGTATACAGTTTTCTAGCTTCTACATACAGATGTGTGTACATGTAGTTCCACTGGAATGTACATACATAAATGTAGGTCTATGCAAGTAAACGCTGCAAATAATATGCATGCTTTTAAAAAACAACTTTTCAAACACATTTTAAAATTTGTTTATAAATACAATACACAGCTTTGCAGTGACTGCATGCACTCACTTTTTCTAAAAAGGTACATGTTGAATTGAAAATTGAAACCTTGCACTAAAAACAATATAACACGCTTACAAAAAAAGGGATCATTTTTGCCAGTTTGCAAAGGTCAAGAGGCACGTTCTTTGTATGTCTAAATAACTACCGGTATCAATTTTATGTTGGAAAAGGAAAGATGGAATAAAGTTTAATGAAAGAAAATTCCCAATTCATTTTATTCCCCTTTTTTACTTCATTTTTTATTGTTCAGCTTTTTTGCAAATCAACAAATATACATTTCCTTATTTTTTAACATGACTTCAGTTCCTTTGTATATGATGGTTTGTGCTAAGTTCTTTCATGCAATACTTTTTATTTGCAAAATTAGAGACAAGCAAGTTTTGATGCAACATTATGAAGTAGAAACTTTTAATATATATGTGATGCAATCAAGCTACATGAGTCGTTTGTCGACCCTGGTCAATTTTTATTTTTTGACATAGAAAAAAGAGCACAATCTCAGCATTACTGCTGTGAAAACCGCATGCTGATACCATCTTTCGTTAAAAAATTATGGAAGTCGGAACACCAAGAGATGTTATGAAGTGATGCGATGAAGTGATCTTATTTTGGCCTGTATCTCCAAATAAAAATTCCCGACAAACGACTCCTTTAGCTTGATCGCATCACATATGAAGCAAGAACTGTTCTAGTTTTTTTCCAACTTCCCCTGTCCGTCAAAATATTATACACGCCAGAAAAAAAATATCATGTTTTGTATGCAATATAACCAAGCGGATGCTTTTTTATTACAAACGACCCAGGATGATATATCTCCCAGACTACTAGGGCCAACTAATTACAGGGAGTCCTATCAAAACAGAAATTCGAATGCGAAGGAAAATACCCGGCCAGTCGTATCACAACAAATCAGGAGACACTGGAGCGGCTGGCGGATTGAGACGGTGCCTACAGATTGAGTCAGATGGGTCTTATTGGATTAGGCTTACTCCGGTCGCTGTCCATTTTGTTACAATCTTTACGAAATTCGACTCGCTGTGACATTTTTATGAAGGGAAATCTCATTACGTTTCGTGTTTTTTTGAGATTTGATCATTTCCAAGGGAAAATAAAGTGAAACAGCACCTATTGGACTTAGCAAAAGGGATGGATGTATGGTCGTAAAAAGTCAAGACAGAACCAAAAAAATAGCTAACAAAAATTACCAAGTAAAGGCCGAGTCATTCTTCAATGCGAAAGAAAAACGAGTTTGACATCAGGAAACGTTTGCTGTGAAATTTGTGTTCAACTGTGGGAAGTGGCATTATATACACAGAGTACAGGAAATGTAAAGTGAAGACTGCGTAGCACTGGTAGATGAACAATGTGAAAATTGGTAAAATAAATGAGCCAGTGCTCACCGTGATTGTATACATGTATGTATACATGTACTTATTGTGAAGCCACAAATTCACCTTCACGTTCGCTATTGTACTGAGAATGAACAGGCCTTTAATCCTAAAAACATAATGTGTAAACATTTTCAGAGGAAAAGTCTTCCTTCATGTCCTTATTGTTACAAAAATTTGGAAAATAAAATTTAGTCGTTCTGTTTTCAACAGAAGCCACTTCTGACTGATACCTTTAAGTGGTATTTCCTTGAAGACAAATTCACAATCAAAATTTGTCGCCCATTTATCAATAGGAAACTTTCAAATGATGTTATTTCTATTAAAATTGTTACATATTGAACATGTAAAGTAGTGTTTTCTTTAATATCAGTTTTCAAAATTCCTCCCAATTTCCCCCGTGCATTGCACTGAAATCTCTCGTACTCTTTGGATTCGTGATGGTTTTCGGGGGACAGCATTGTGTCAATAGTTTCATCATGCCATTGATTTTGGTTTGTTTTGAGCAAACGCAATCCACTTAAAAGGCTTGCTATTATTCAATCACTGTCATAACCTGCACTTAGTCAATCTTGACAATTAAATTTCTGGGCAATTTCATTGCAATATCTTTTCATAGGCTGTAACCAATTTCTAAAAAAATTATATAATTTACCGGTACATGTACATCTACATGTATAAGTCTTCTTAAGAACAGGGTAGGATTTTTTTCTGATTAAAGTTTAGTAAGCATGGTAAGGATTATTATTAATTTTACAACTAAATGCACATGTGTGTTGGGTTTTGCTAATACAAAAAAATATTTAAAAAGAAAAATTAAGTCCTGATGAGAGTGTGGTTTTGCAATTACTTTAATGTGATGTTTCTTTTGTTTCTGGATGGAAAAATAGTCAAATTAACAAGTATAAATTTTAAAAAAATGAATTTAGTGTAGGCACAGTATTTTTGTATTGGCATTTTACAATCTTTCAAGTCCTCATCCAGGTTTCCAAAGCAAAAATGTTGGGACAAGAAGAAGGCTGTTCTATTTATCATGAACATTTTTTTGTCTAGCTGAGTCATTCTTAATGTACATACTTGTAGTCTTTCTTTAATTATCATGTATGTATGTAAGCAGTGGCAGGGATGAATTTGAAATAATTGGCATCCATTTGAGACGTGCGTGTAGTGACTCTGTCCGAGAGTAACGTCCTTGATGAGCCACCCGTAGTCTCCCAGACGCCCGGAGTGCTCCCAAAGATTTCCCCCTTAGTCCTTTATCATGTCCACAGCTCAATAATTCGCGGTATCATTTAAGCATCCGGCAATTTATACGTATCGTCCGTGGGGCTCGCAGGAAGGACACGTCCCACCGATCGCGAGAGCACGCGTGCACCAATTTGCTTCCCCAATCATTTAGACTCTGCGCCGGGAGTTGAGCGCCATGGAATTAATGGATATTGGCTGTCGGTTTGGAAGGCCGAGGTTGCATTTAAATTGGAAAGATACGTAAGTGGAACAGGTTCCCGTTTAATGGAACAAGTTATCACCTTTCATACATATGTATCAGATTTGTGTTGAGTGGGTTTTATTGGTATATCTCTTCGCGGTCACACATTTTAAAAGCTGTACATGGTGGACGAAGGATTAATTACATTGGGTACCATTATTGATTTTTGTTAACATCCTTCAATAGATGCACTTTAGTATTCAAGAGTTAAGAACAAGACTGTTCAAAGTTTGAATTTACTGGATCATTTGAACCATCCAAAAGACCCACCCTAGCCAATCTGGCTTCCTTACTCATTTCCCATGTTTCCTCTGGAAATTTTAGAGTCATGTTTTGAAATCAAAATCAGTTGTTGACCCAATAAAACTGTCTCATTAAAAATCAAATCAAATTGTTAAAAGTCATTTTCATGTAATGTGGGAGAAATCAGAGATTTGAAAATCGGGATTTCCTCATTTTTTTCCCTTCAAACCGAGTAACCATGATAACGGTTATAACAGGGAACTCTAGATCAGTCAAATGGGCAGGCTATTCATGAACCAAGCAGACCACTAGCAAGTGAATGCAGTTACAATCAGAGACCATGGAGCAAATTGGGGGATTTTCCAGTTGTTTTCTTTAGCCTGTGTCACACAAAAAATTGAAGGCCTGATTTTTTATGGTTGGTTTCGAATATATGTTTCCAAAATCCAAACCAAATAGTGGAATTCAAACCGAATGTTAAAACATCGGAACTTTAATCCCGCCACTATTTTCATGAATGGTCAATTATATGAACCTTGCAGCTACATGTACATGTACATGTATAAAGTCAGTCAGGTTTCATTTTTTAGTTCCACGCTCCTCTGATTGTTGTGCATAGAGCTACATGAACACACAAGCAGATGTATGCCGTATGAATTCCACAGAGCATTTCAATTTGACATCCGTTGCATTAGTTTTCATTAACAGTTGACGCCCGTCCGACTCTCGGCCCTAATAAGCGTGCGAGGTGAACAGTACATGTACGGTAATGTTGCCGGCATTTGTTGCAAATCAGTCGCGAGCCATTTAACACCCATACGAGAGTGATCAAGTCGCGGCCTTATAGCGTGTTCCATTTCCCAAAGGACTTGCCAGTCATCCAATCTTTGCGTATGCTGGGAGCGCCGTCTATCAGTGGAGGGGTTAGTGGTGTGAATCCTAGCATGTGAAACGATAGGGGGGGGGGGGGGTTTCTTCTGAAGGCGTAATCTCTGTGTTGAATGAAGGCTATTGAACGTGATAGGTTGTGGATTGGGAAAGTATTGAAGTTCTTTGGATAGCAGTAAGCGTATACATGGCATACTTGCTTGTCAAGTGAAAATCATGAAATTGTAGGGCTGTATTATAAAAGCTTTCTTAGGTGTGTTTTGGGGTTGATATATTGACTTTTATAGAGTTTTGAATAGATTTTCAGTAAATTGTGTTGTGATTTTCGTTTCACATAAAGATATCTACAGTTCTTGTTGTCTTCAAAAACAGTACAAGATTTTCCACAGTTTCTACTGAATTCTAAAGAAAAGATGTAGGTCTATTGAATAGCTTATTGTTTCAAGGAAGTTGACATTTTCTTTGGAGCTATGTCTCACTTTAAATTTTGATCTTGGGATTGAGCGCAGGGGAATCAGGTGCAGACATTTTTCACATTAAATGGTTGCACTGCTTGTCTCATGTGCCTGAGCTGGCTTGATCGATGTAAATATGTGTGTTGCTGTCCAGTACATGTAATTTCAAAACACCCCCACCCCTCCAGAAAAAACAATGAAGGAAATTGGAAGTTTGTCGCTCCAGGGCGATTGTAGCTGATTATCCAGCAGGATTCTCCGAGTCTTTTAATACGTCCGATGTAACTTGATGAGGATGGGACTTGTTTTTGCAAACTCAGGTCTAAGTCTTTGGAGTGCACCGATACGTGTTAAGTTACCTCAGTGATGGGATGCTGTACACATGTCGGAGGTGGTGAACAAAAAATAATGCGCACAGCCCATGCTAGTTTTGAGGAGTTAAAATTTAATTTTGTTTTGTCTGTTACTCAGTAGAGTGGTCGATAACCAGGAATTTTTTCACATATAAAATCTTTTATCAGTGTATTCTTGTCCAACGCGTCCAACTCTGTCTGTCTCAGAAATAGTGTATAGAAACGTTAAACATTTGAACTGATGCCTAGTCAGTCATTACATACTACCAACAGTATTTTTGCTTTGTTGTGCGAAGGAAATTAATTAACTACTCTTCCTTTCTGTTACATGTGTAATGTGTACTGTACATGTATGTGTGTATCCCTTTATATTGCCATTGATCATTTCTAGCATAGGCTAGTTTTTAAACATAAAATAGAAGTGTATGTATAAGTACGATTAAAACCCCTTTTATTTAACAAAAATCTCACAAAAGATGACACTCGTTATCGCTCAAAAGTTGGTGTGTTCAATATAGTATCGTACTACGTACCGGTACATGTTCATCTTATGATTTAAAAAAAGAAAATTGGGTCAATAAAGGCAGGCATGAGATTTTTCAGACTTTTGTCTGAATTCAGGCTTTTTTAATCTGAGAGACAGACATTATCAGGATAGAAAGAAATGCATCTTTCGGACCTTTCATCCAATTATCAGATTTTTTTTAAATCGAAAGTCTCATCCTTAATAAAGTCCTTTCAAGCCCAAAGGCTGTGCATCTCTTATTAGAGGAAATGCAATTTTTCCAACTTATTCCTCATTTTGAAGAAGCCCGTCACTGGATCCATCCTTACCTTGTATTTGCCCGGCTAGTCTGATCCAGGTAATCCAGAGGTCTGACAGTGATGTTTCCTGGACCGATGACAGATAGATTAAAAACAGCCTGCCGCACACTTTAATGAAACTGTCACAATTGGCAAGAGACTCAGGAGAATCCACCAGAACAAAATCCCTGTCAAGATTCCTGGCGTTTACACTTTGTAATAATCGGGCATTGGCACTGACGATAGAGGAGTTCTTGCAGTGGAAATGCCACTTTGATGTAGTCTCGCCTGACTTTGGTTTCCACGGTCCTGCCTTGACGATACTGCATCGGCAAGTGTGTGTGTGTGTGTGCAAGGGTGGTCTTGTCCTGGGCTTGTGTGGTGTGCTCGGACTTCTACACTCTCATTGGAGGGGTTATTGTGTGATCAGTATCGGAGGCTGTGATTGGCTGATGAGAGGGATTATCGTCTAGATATCTGATACAGTGTGATATGTATGTGTCTCTATCCTTGTGCCGAGTGATACATGTGCATATTTCTACTGTTGTTCCATTTGCTTTGACAATTGTCTAGTTACGTAATTTCCATGCAAAGATATAATGGCAAAAACCTGTTAAAATATCAGGATTGAACATGTATGTATATATAATTTTATAATTATAATATCAATATCATTTATTTCCATCAAAAGCAAAGTAAAAGCATCATGAGAACAAAAAGGAGTTATATTAAGATGGAGGCAAGATTTTAAAAAGCCAAAGCAAATAGGGGCAGGCCTATATAAATGCAAAATTGTAAAAACTGATTTTAAAGAATTTAAAGAATAACAGACAAACCAAATAGACAAGTGCAAATGAAACACAAGCAAAAACCAAGGACGGAGTGACTAACATACAGAAAACAGGGGTCTAAGATTTACATACAATGAGACTAAATAAATACTAGGACCTGTAGGAGGAAAGAGGGAGCCAAATAGCTGGTACATGTAAATGTAACTAAATGTATGAATTAGAATTTGTAAGTTGTCTTTGGAAATTTAACCTCCTCAGCAATACATGTATCTACCACACATGCATTTGTTAAATCTCGCTGTAGTAAGAATTGTGAGGAAACACTAGCGTACAAGAATAAGAAATTTAGAGAAATGAGTTTCATGTAATTTTTAAGAAATCATAACCAAAAGAACTATAGGAAATGGAGTAATGTTGGCAGTTTTGGAGATGGCTTCCCATCTTAATGTACATGTATGTGTGCTCATTCCTGAATTGTCGCTGGAAATTGGTTGAGTTTACATTCATAGCCATACATTTCAAAACTAATAATGTATTAAAAGATATTTTAAATGGGAGGTGTATGAAAAAACATCAATATCACATGTGTCTGCCAAAATAGTGCAACATTCAGAAAACAAATAATTAAAACTGTTTAATTTTTTTTCCTTCAATGAAATTATATATTACATTATAACCTGACTATTTCTCACTCAACTTTTTTTTACCCCATGCCATTTGGGTCCCTAGATCCAGAAATACAATCAATTACCGGTACATGTAAGTGAAAGGGTGTAAAATTTTACTTGGGCCACTCTCACCTGGACATGCTGAATCTGGGTTAAGCATCGAATAGGCATTGGAGTGGCCCAAGTAAACTTTGCACCCTTTCACTTAATTGTTTGCATTTCTGGATCCAGGGACCCAAATGGAACGGGGTTAAATGAGTGGATTGAGAAATAGTCAGGCTTGAATATAACATCTTATTTCATTGAAGAAAAAAACCTGAAACAATTTTAATTATTTGTTTTCTGAATGTTGCACTTTTTTGGCACGCTCTGTACCCATGGTCATTTCATTTTAGTGGTTACCGGTATATTGAACATTTACAAATATTAATACTAGTTTATGTGACTGACATGCATGTTTGATACCTACGGTATATTTCATTGTCTCTCTCTCTCTTTCCATTTGACAGTGTGATTCCCCTTTTATCATTGGCTTCTATGGGACCTTCTTCACAGAGAACAGGATATCAATATGTACAGAGTTTATGGATGGTAAGTCATTGCATGAAGCCGGTCTGCGATTGTACATGTACATTTACGTGTGTCCAGAATAGCAAATGTGATCGTCTTCATTATGAATCAGTTAACTGTCGCAAGATGTCAACTGTGTGTCTGTGTCATACATTTTTTGTAATCTGGTCATTAGACTTGGCTACCGAATATGTACAAATGCAGCTGACAGTTTAAATAATTGTTTCATTTAAATAATATTTACTGGGGTTTTTTTTTGGGGGGGGGGGGGGGGTTTCGGTAGCTTGATTTTGTTGTGTGCTAAAAGGTACTTTATTTCTGCTCCTCAACAATTCTTTTCCTAACAAATTTAAATGTATATGTATTTTTTTAACAGGAATCTTTTGGATATTTTCAACCCTCTGAAAATATGTTTTTATTGTTGATTGCTTTAATTGCACCCATAATGCACTAATTAAGCTTGATACATTTGAATTATTGTGGGGCTGCAAGTAATAAATTTATATTAAAGTAAATATACATCGGCAATTTCTTTTATTGGATGCCTCATTCAAAAGTGAATTAATTTTGCATTTCATGAAAAATGGCAATTCGTCTATTTTTTTTTAATGTAAAACTACATGTAGGAAATAGCACAGGGCAGACATCTTTCATTTCAGGTTTGTATTTAAGGCAACACCTTCTCAAGTCAACATAGTCAAACAAAAAAGAATATTTCTGAGTTTATTTCGGCTTAAGATAGGAATTTATGGGGACTCCCTTGGATGATACTACTACTACTATTGGAGTCTTACATGTATATAGCGCTGGAGATATGTCTATTATTAAAGAAAGGTAAATAAAGTTTATGAGAAATATGAGACCCATCATGTAGCACCTTATAATGGTTTACAAGATGCTGTGGCGCATATTGCAGCCACTGCCAGAAACACCGGGGCAAACCCCTTCTCTTAGCGATAAGTGTTACTGGGTTCTTTAACGTGCATTACACAACACATGGGACCTACGGCTTTGTGTCCCATCCGAAGGACGAAGCAATAATGGTAAAGTGCCTTGCTCAAGAGCACAAGCACCGTGTTCCCACGGTCAGGATTCGAACCCATGTACCACGGCACACGAGTCGAACACCGTAACCATTGGACCACAGCACCCCACTAAATGCTTGGATGCTTGGATTTGTGAACAACTTGGTGCAAATTTTTCTGATAAATTTTTTTTCCATGCAATGAGTAGGCCTATACATGGATTGGAAAGAGTTTAATACCCGGACATCACTTGACAGCCTGTGCACAAACCCTATGAGACTGGTCTGACAAATTCCAAGTGTTTTCTCAGTAAATGCTTCAATATTTGCCCTGCTAAATTTGACTGTTTATGACATGTTATCACTTTCTGACGGCTAATAGGTCACTGCAGGGAAAATAGTGATGACCATGTATGGAACTTATTCCCGTGGATTTTTCAACTGCTTTTTTTGGTATGTTCATGTCATTTTTCCCTCTTGTTTAAGGTGGTTCGTTAGAGATGTACAGATGTATTCCTGAGGATCTACTGGGAAGAATTACTGTATCTGTGAGTAGGCCTACTTACCTTGAGATTTATGAATGTGTGCGCAATTACAGCCGTGGAGCACATGTACATGTATGCTAAGGTTGATGTTTCAAGGGGTTATTGGCGCATTTACAGGCCAGTATTTGCCAATACATGTAAATTATTTGAAAATGTCAGTTTGATCTGACTTTTTAGGAAATTATTCGTGGTTCATATTGTTGAGTTGCCTTTTCAATGAAAAAAAAAAAAAAAATAACATTTCTTATTTTGTGTGTGGTGCATGGTTCTGTAAATATCCCAAATGTGTTTTAAGATACATGTACATTTTGGTGTTTCAAGGGCCATGAGATGTTGAAAACAGCTTAGAAGAAAAGCACCTAAAATCCTAACCTTGTCATTTTGAGATTTCGTAAATTTTAGACCGTACAATTGACTTACATGTACATGTTTTATGTGTCTTTGACCAGTAGGGCATAAATGCTCTATGGACGTAAAACAGATATGGATCGCCTTATATTTTCCTTCTGGACAGAATAATTCTCAGTTATTTATTTATGAAAAACAAATCCAGCTTGTTTTACATCTTGATGGAGCTTGTCCAGTTGACCTGTCTGATGCACTCTCTGTTTGTACAATATCAGGTTGTTAAAGGATTAACCTACCTCTGGAGTTTGAAGATCATGCATAGAGGTGGGTAACACCTATGTTTTGTAAGACTATGTGGTGTTATAACTGACATACAGATCCTTGTCATTTGATTGGTGGAACTCACATCACGTGACATTCATTATTGCTCCCATTCACGCCGGGGCTCAAAAAGTCCCATTCGCCCATGGGGAATGGGAAATACTATTCAACAGTTAGGATCACCCTTGTTCAATGGTGCGGTATTTGTGTGCAAATGTATATGCTGGTGTGTGCGTAGCGCGTATTGTTCCCAAGAGCCAGTAGCTACAGAGTTGGGTTCAAACATTTCGCGAAGGGGTGGTTTAGAAGAGAGAAATACATTTCCCGCCAATGTTGTATTGAAATAGAACTTCATATTAACTGTAAATCAAATGACAAGGATCTAGTTATATAAAACAAATATTGAGTGGCTTTAAATTGTGAACATGGTGAAATGGGAGAAATATTATCGCTCGGTAAAATCTGGACTTTTCCATTTCACTCTGCTTTGCCTCGTGAAATGGAAAAGTCCAGATTTTACCTTGCGATAATATCCCTCCAATTTTGTTTTCATGATTTTTTCACTATTTAAAAGAAAAAGCTCTTAGCTTTAATCTGATACCCAAAACATAGAAATTCACAGACCACATATTTGAAAAAAGGCATATGGTTCTTGGGTTGCATTATTTGGGGTCACCCTGTATATCTGGTCACAGTAGGCTAGGAGTGAACCTTCCCCAAACAGTCCCAAGGTTCTATCCCCCCCCCAAAAAAAGGGCTCAAAATTCAGAGTGTTTAGACACTTATCTTTTCTCTCCACTTGTTCCATAACTTTTGACCCTACTATGTAGATGTCAAGCCTTCCAATATTCTGGTCAACACTCAAGGTGACATCAAGCTATGTGACTTTGGTGTTAGTGCTCAACTCGTCAACTCTATTACAAAGACATATGTTGGAACTAATGCATACATGGCAGTAAGTTTTTCTTTGTTTCATTTGTCATGTCTGTAGATTAGAGAGGTTTCGCATACGAACGGATACGTGTATGCATACGTTTAGCTATTCGTACAACCGTTATCAACCATTGCGTTGTTTCGCATCAGGTACACATAATGCATTTGCGTAGTTGTTGGAACCAGGCAGTAATCCAAAATGGTAGCCTCTGGTGAAAACCTCATATCTGCAGCTAATCCTGCTTTCAAACACGAACAAATGCGATATGCATATTCAGCAATTTATCTCGTTTCAATCAAGTCATACATGATTAAATAACTTATCAGAAAAGAGGTTGAAAGTCAACATTTAACGCATAACGCGCGATATGTCAGTGCTCTGTACACGTGTAGCCATGGTAGCCGGTAGCGAGTTGCGTATGACGTCACAAGACCACACAGACTGATGATCTATCCAGCACACTTACTGTATCCGTTAGTTTGCAAAACCTCTCCATTATCCGCTCCGTTCACAAGTACCCCCTCACCAGCAAAGAAAGTACAGTTGGGGGATGACCGACCGACGCCATCTTACCTGACTGCAATTTTCCTGCGACGCGCGACCGTACCACTGTGTGTACATGTACATTGTACAAATCCCCTGGTGTACGTGTGGCACACACTAGGAACGGTGCGCGTCAACCAGCTAAATGTCCCACCCATGGGACGTTGTTGCTAGGTAAAAGGGCACCCTCTTTCGTTGGCGCACAGAGCCCATTGTGGCATTAACAAAATAACTTTTCCCTTGTGACATTCTCCTGTGATTGTTTACTATCCTTTATGATCATCGTCCAGCTTTTGTGGATTATTATCTAGCGTTGCAACTCACGACCAAATAATGTTTAGGCAATCGACATGTATAATCTTGGGTGATGCTTGGTTTTCAAATCACGCAGAGAACTCGTGCATGCACAAGCCTGTAGTGAATTATGATGGGAGAAAGTGGATTTCAAAATCCGGATATCCTTTTTTTTTCAAAACGAATAACAATCCGATTTCACCGGAAGTTCCCATTCAGCTCACAGTCATGCCAACAAAAAGTGACAAGTGAGGTGCCACGTGAAATGCCCTCCACAATGATTGGGTATAGTTTGCAGGATTCAGTGACCACTGGGCCTTTACAAAAACACTCCAGAGTTTTAATGGTGATAAAATGGGTGGGAACTCGTTGATAAGTCAATTAGGCAGGCATACACCAAGAAGACCACTAGCAAGTAAATGTTGTTACAGTCAGAGGCCATAGAGCAAATTGGGGGATGTTCCATTTGTGACTGGCTCCACAAAAAAGGGTATTATGTCGCAAAAAAAGTGAAATTGAGTTACATATATGTTTGGTAAGCCCACAATGTAAGATTTCATTTTGTATATAAAAGAACTCAATAGCCCCTACCATTCTGGAGATATGACGTATTTGCATACTTATTACTTCCTTGGAGTTCAAATTACACAACTGAGAAAACAGGCTTTGAAATAGCTGGCTTTGTTGTAGAACAACAGAACGATGCACACAAAATCGTTCATCAAAATCAACATTTCTGTGAATGAAACCTGAAACTGAAGGTATTAAAGATGTCATTCATGACCCCAAAAAAGGAAATTCTCATTTTGACGAAATGTTCACCCTCTCAATGTTGAGCGGACCATTACACAATAATGCTCAGTGCGACTTAATACCCTGTTTTGTGGAACCGGTCACGTTTGTTTTCTTTAGCGTGTGTCACAAAAAATGGAAGTTCTAAATTGTTTAAGGTTGGTTTGAATATCTGGTTGTCAAAGTCCAAACTGACCAGTGGATTCAAACTCGCCACTAATTTATATGACAAGAATGAGCAGAAGATCGAAGCAGAAATAGTACCTTTGGACTAATGTTTGCAATATTTACCAGTGGGGTTTATTTATGCACTTGTATACAGCTTGTAATGGTCTTTGTGAATTTCACAATATTCACCAGGCTTTGCCCAAAACAATCTCACTAGCCTGTATTTCTCACTTACCTGCAGTTTGCATTCATTTCTCATTTTATTTCCCTAGCCTGAGAGAGTGAAGGGAGACCAGTATGGCGTGCATTCAGAGGTTTGGAGTCTGGGGGTATTTCTACTTGAGGTACAGTCACTGTGACTCATGTTACATTGTTATATTACGTCTGGTTCTTTAACCAAGGATTCCTCAAAAGGCCCTAGACACTGAAGCTCGTAAGCCGGAAGAAACCTGTAGAGAGGAGACAATGAGAAGCAATTACAGTTTTAGAGGTGGGAGGAAAACCCCAGAAGAATATTCTGGGGAAATCCCACGGAATCAGGCAGGGACTGAAAACCCAATTCACATGTGGACCAGGGCAGGAATCGAACCCTGGCCATAGAGGGGGAAGGCAGGGAAAGAAACCACTGCACCAACCTGACTCCCTGTGTTCATGTAAATGTAGGTGCATGTACATGTACGTGAAGCTTATTTTAAAAGAAACATGTACAGTAACTCAGTTTGCAACTTTGCCATTTTGTGGGGTTTTCGATACTCATGGTACTACATCCAGTTAAGCATAAAAGCTTTTCAACTCAAGTACATGTATGTGGCAAAGACATTCCTTGGCCATTTTAGCTGTCATCTGATGAAATCCTATGGAATTGACAACAACTTAAGGATGTGATGTTAAAACGTTTCCGAAAACAATTCTAAGTCCGTTTACAAATTTTCAAAATGTTTGATCAAACCAGAATTATTAAAAATAGACCTGCATTCACAAGATCCTCTTTTTGAGTTAAACATACATAGCGCAAATAATTAACGTTTTCGAACCTATTTAATTTATAAAACCTTAGAAGCACTACAGTATTTGATTACATTCAGGATACACGTACTAAGATTTTACTTTGTCAATGACTGCCTGCTATTTATGCCAGTCATTGTTGATTTATCACGTAAATCACGCCAGTCTGCAGAGACAAAATGGCAGGCGTCTGCCTTTGTGAAATGGCTAAACGTTGAAACGGTTCTTAAAATATTTGCTAAATGTATACAAATTTAAACACAAGTCGCATCCTTACAGTACAGTTAAGAACAGGCTTGCACTCATATGTTTGATGTACTCATCTGGTGTGAATGTTTCCTTTTCTTCTAGATGGCAATGGGCAGATTTCCATACCCGGTAAGTCTGTGTTTTTCTTTTTCATAAATATTCTGTGTTATTGTTCATTTGTGTTCACATACAGCTCTATTTAATGTATTTTTCTAGTCTTCTGCATCATACTACTCACTTTTATCCCATTTTGAAACGTTGAATTCATCTTTCCTTACAGGTTACGCCAAGAGAACATGAACTATCGGTAAGTTAATGTGCACTTTCTCTCATGGAAACAGTTGGCATTAGACGACTAACAGTCACTTAATGGTAATTTCGTTTTTCTGATTATTTTCATCTGTCAGTAACTGGTCAATTTTAGGAATTTGATTTGTATGATTTTATGAGTGGATCTTTCAGGCTAGAAAACCAATCATTATCTTTGTCATCTTTTTTCCTTTTTAGCCAATTGACTTGCTGCAGTGCATTGTACATGAGGTGAGTTACTCTTCTAACTTTTCGGTTGTATTTAGTTTCAAAGTCAAAACATCCGTGAACATTGATTGCATAAATCTCTAACTTTCAGTTGAGGTTGTGGTTTACAAATCAAAACAAAAATAATTTCTTCAGTAGTTCCAGTGTTTGTGTGACTTTTCGACAATGATGAGACCTGTAAAGCAACTAAGTAAGTAAAAGTCTGTCACAAGTCAATGTTGCCAAACAAGCCGGCGTTTATCTAACCGGCCGGCATTTATCTCTGGTTTTAGTAGCATGAAAGGGCTGAGAATATTTGTATCCCCCCTGGATGGGATGCCATTCCATCGCAGGTTACTCCTCAGCTAATGTCGGTACCTGTTTTTTATTCTTGGGTGGAGAGAGGCAAGTGGGGATGAAGTGGCTTGCCCAAGGACACAATTAACATATAACCAGCAGCTGGATTCGAACCCTGACCCTCTGATCATGATTCACAAACCCTAATTTAGTAATTAGGGTCACACTCCCTACATTAAACTTGCCGTGCTTGTAGAGCACTGTTAATACTTATAGCTACAGTATGAAGAATCTTTGTGAACTTCAACATGTGTGATGTTATTTTCTTTGACTGCAGGCGCCTCCATCATTACCCAGGGATAGATTTTCAGAACCATTTGTGGATTTTGTAGCCCAGTGGTAAGTAGAGGTAGAATTCTAAATCATATCGACTAATTTTAGCTGTATAAACCTTTTTAAGCATGCTCATGCCATTTCTTGAAAGTTGTTGGCTGTGATGTATTTCGTATTTAGAGATTTCTGTACTTTCTTGTTCATCTCTACACCAATTATGAAGAAGTTCTTGCAGCATTTTATGTGTACATTGAGCTTGCTCATTCATTGGCTACTCTCCACGGACTGAACAAAAATTAGAGACTTTGTGCTTAAAGAGCTGTGAAATCAAAGCTTTTGCCAAGGATGACAAATGTGTAGATGTTGCTCAAAGGTCTCATGGTCAAATATTCCATTACTTGTATGTAATGGCCTAGTGTCATGGCCTAGCGGTTAAGAACACCAGACTCATGCTCTGGTGTTTCAGAGGCAAAAGTGGCGTGGGTTCGAGCCCGGGCAGACACTTGTGCCCTTAAGCAAGGCACTTAACCATTATTGCTTCGTCTTTCGGATAGGACGTAAAGCTGTAGGTCCCGTGTGTTGTGTAATGCACGTTAAAGAACCCAGTTACACTACACTAAGAGAAGGGGTTCGCCCTGGTGTTTCTGGCAGGGAGATTATCTTTAGCCATGAAGTCTGCACTTGTAAGGAAGGAAGGAAGGAATGGTTTACATAGGAACAAATATTATGTACATTTTTTCTGGTGTAGAAATGTATTTACTTGTCATGTTTCATCATTTGCCTGCCTACAGGCTACAGTGCTGTAGTGGAGTCCATCACAAGTAAATCTCAATTCAATTCACAAGTGTGGTCTAAAATAACGGGGAATGAACAAAGGAATCCCCTTGTCGTGGTTCTTTGGAATGGCTTGTGATTTGACTTGGGACTAAACATGCTTAATGACATATGATTGACTTTTGATGGACTTGCAATGGACTCAACTACAAAACTGTATGCTGAGTTTAAAATTCCTTGTACCTTCTTCAGCATGCAGAAGAATCCCATAGACCGGCCCACACCCGAAGCTCTACTGCACCACGCCTTCATCAGGACGTACGACGACGGTAACAAGCAGATCATCGCCGAGTGGGTCTACAGGAACCTGCAGGAGATCAGACTGATGGGTGCAGCAGCAGGGGGTGGGGGGATGTGAGGCTGGCTCCTCCCCACCCCCCAAGGGAACTGGTGACCTCATTGAACGGATTTTATTTATCTGGTGACCGGGGTCCACGCTTCTGTGTGCGCCTGGCACGTGGGCATGAAATGCACGGACATTGTTTATGGCAAGGGGGGAGGGGCTGCCTGGGGAGGGGCTGCCTGAGGACAAGTTTCTCCCCCCCAAAAAATCCAAAATATCAACCCTCCCCCCAAGAAGTGTCATTCTTTTTCTACAGTAATTAAACAACAAAAGGAGTATAGAAAACCACTGGAGGAGTGTAGATGTCTAGTTTTAAGTAGATGGTATAATTCTCTTCCCGCTATTGATTTCTAAAAATATGAATAAAAAAGGGGAAAGAGAGCCCCCAAGCACGAAATCAAGTCCAGTTCCCCAGCCCCTCCCCAGCCCCTCCCCCCCCCCCTTCCCCAGACTGGCTGGCCAGTCGGTACCCTGAACAGATTGGAGAAAATTAATTTTGGATGCAAGATTTGTACCCCCCCCCTCAAAATGGTTGTGCCCACCCTGCCCCTCTCTTTCCCTACCCCCACCCCCACTAAAAAAATCCTGGCTACGCCACTGGTAATTGACCTACCCACAATGTCGTGTAACGTCTACATTTCCCTTTCAAGATCAAAGGGATTAAGAGGTCACTGTAAATCCGAGGGAACACAGTCTGAAACTTGATAGGCATCCCTTCCCTTCCTAGAGCAACTAAGGGTATATGCAACGGTGCCTGAATCTGATCTTCTTGATGTTTACGTTAAAAAAGGGTGCTGCTACTATATTTCAACTCCAGCAACATCTCCATAATTATGGTTCAAGGCTGTTATTTTTGCCCTCTACGATTGATGCTCCGCATTTATCTAAGAATCAAACCTGAACAATTTTAGGGTACATGTGCATGTACCCACAAGTGCATTAATTAATGTTTGTTATAAAGGTAGAGTTGACCATTTGCAGCTATCCAAAAAGTGACCGGCCAAAATACTGCTCAAATGCTTACTTGGTTTAAAGATAGTAGTGACTCTAAACTCCCTCCTTCAGGCATACTGTCATTTTGAAGAAAACAATAAAAGAAGGTCATTTCCAAAGATGTGTCAAGTGACACATTTTTGGAAATGTCCGTTGGTACATGTAGTTGGTTTGTAATTGGGAGAATTGGTGAATGGGTGGTTGCATCGCGTCGCGTAACATCGCGTAGCTGCAATCAGCTGAATGAGGACATTTCCCAGATGCTGAATTCGGGCGCAATTTAATATATGACTCAGAAACTTTTTAATTGAAATCGAGATCCTGGAAGATTGTTTTTTTTCCGGAATATACAGCATTCACAGAACTAAAACTTTATCAGGTTAGTTGTTAAGCACCCTGCGTAAGATTTTGAGCACTTTTGTTGCTTCAAACGAGAGAAAAAAAATGCACAATTTACTAATGGTCCACTCTGCCTTTAAATAACACAAATTGGATAAAAATGATTTTGTCATTTGTAAGATCGAAAATCATATTGGCAGATTAAGGGTAAGCAATCAGTGCAATACATGTACTATGTGTCAAAAAAAAAAGTGTCACACTTTTGATCCTAAATAATTGTGTTGTTTACCAATGGAATTGAACCAAAATTTCAGATCATGTAAACAAGGCATGACAAATGTTATGGAGTGAGTTTGATAAGATTTAAACACCGTATGACAAAAAAATCTGCCACAGTCTCCAGAGCTGTATCACCATTAGAGGATGCCAAGTCAAAAGTGGCAGATTCTGAAAGTGAGTATTGTTTTCGTATGGCATTTAAATCTCACCTTCTTGCACAAAGCTGATGAAACTCGCTCCATAAAATTGTCATGCCTTGTTTACATGATCTGAAATTTTGGTTTAATTTGATTGGTTAACAACAGAGTTATTTAGGATCAAAAGTAGGACACGTTTTTTTGACACGTAGTATCAGTAAAAAGCCTTATTTTTAGACATATTAAAACAAGCTGCATCGGTGTATTGGAATTTATAAGGGAAACTTGCATATTTTACTACAAATTATTGTTTGAAATTGTGCCTCCAATTTTGCTTTTAGCAGTTTAAGGTTATGCTGTACACTGTAATTGGGGGATGGCATGTACATGCATATCTCTGTAAGGCGGATGTTTAATCTGATTTTTGATATTTTTTTCCAACAAAGTGTCGTGACTATATTTTTGAAAGCATGTTATAAGCAAGGGGCAGAATACTCCAAACGTATTCTGTGAATGCTTGAGTTCTTTTTCTGTGGATATAAAATTTGCAAAGCCTTTTTTTGGCCAACTCATTTCCGTAAAATAGATTTAAAAAATATAAATTACTACCATTTTTGGAATAAAATTTTAACTGGGTATTGTATTCTGTTCTCAAATGTTAATTTGTTTTCTGAAAACGAGGTTTATATCTGAAATATGGTACCTAGATTTCAAAGGGAAAAAACGTCTTTTATTTTGTGCTTCCCTGGTTAGGTGTTCAGCACCTAAAGGAAACCTATATACCTGTCTTTTTTTTTTAGACCTATGATAACAGACTCGAGTATTCATGTCCTAAGTGCCTCTGTGTTTTCCTAATGACCTAATAAGCAGTTTGTTCCTGGTTTTTCTCTCTATTGCCGCTCATGCAATCTATATTTAATAGTTTTATACATTGAATGCCAATTGTTCTGAATATAATGAATGTTAATAGAAAACAACCAAAGAGTACCCTGACCTGGTTGCTTCCAGGGGACTTTTCCGAGTTAAGCCTTCTTAGACACAGGTACATGTAGTTTGTTTGTGGCACTCACTGATACATCTCACTCGAACCAGCAAGTTGACCTTGGCAAGCTAAGTAGTAAAATGTCTGCACTAGTAAGCAGTAGGTCGTGGGTTCAAGTCCCACCCAAGTAAGGTTGTGAAATTTTTTTCGCAAGGCGTCGGACAACACCGAGTATACAGTGTTTATAAAATACATCAACGAAAGGCCAAACCCAATATAATGAGTTTTGGATAGATCAGGGGTATGGGTGAGTTATTCCCTTGTAAGAGGGAAGAATTAACTGATATTTCGGAAAGATTTCCATATACGAAGTTCACTAATTTTCCTCTGTATTGACTAACGAGCCCCCAGATAGCAATTTCATGTCATCAAAGTCAATTTGAGCAGTGAGAAAATACAAGCATTTTCTTAGAAAACACTTAGAATTTTTCAGTCCAATGTCATAGGGTTTGTACACAGGGTGTTGAGTGAACTTCGTATATGGAAATCTTTCCGATATTTCTCGCAACTTTTATAACTTACAAAGGCTTCAGACTTGGATATCAACTGTGAACAGTTTCTCAAGTATAGGGGAAGATTCGAAAATAAGGAATAACAGTAAAAGTAGAAATAAGTCATATAATTTTATTCAAGTATCAATGTGTATTCTTTAGTTTTCTGTAAATCATGGCAAACTTAATAGTTTTAAGTATGTTTTTACACAGGACAGTTAAGAGGACTCTTAGAAAGATTATTGGATGTCTCACATTTAGCATTTCGCTCTTAGCCTTGCCATTATATCTACATTGTACTTGTAGATGCATGATTCTAGGCAACCACATCTAGTACTGCCTAGCCTTATTTATGTATTGTTTTTTATCTTTAAATCACCTCATTTACAATGTGTTGCTTCCTACAGCCAAGTGCCGGTGTAATGTGAAACGTGGACTTGATGAAATATGGATTCACTGGTTAAATTGTGCAAAGTGAAGTTAATAGGACAGTGACAGGCCATGCGCGAGGGTTAGAGTCCATATAACGTGGAAGGGACTTGATTTCATAGGAGTCCAAATTTCACCTAACACCGGAAGTCAAGTAAAGTAGACGGCAAAGATGATAGCAATCATTAGGAGAAATCTTGTCCTGATCATGGGTTTACAAAATGTCTATGTGATGTGATCGAGCTAAATGAGTTGTTTGTCAGGAATTTTTATTTGGAGATTCAGGCCAAAATAGGGCCACTTCATCACATCACTTCATCACATCTCTTGGTGTTCCAACTTCCATAATTTTTGAACCAAAGATGGTATCAGCATGCGGTTTTCACAGCAGTAATGCTGAGATTGTGCTCTTTTGAAATCTGTAAAAAGAATGTTTTGACCAGGGTCGACAAACGACTCATGTAGCTTGATCGCATCACATATGTTTAAATGACAGACATCATGAAGAAAAAAAACTAGGCGTCTACCAGTATGACCAATTGACAAAACCCATGTTCCATGCCAACGTGAGTAATGTGACATAATTCGACTCGCTGATCCTCACAAATAGCCAGCGAATCTTGTACTTGGGGCCTCCTTAAACATAAATGAAATGAGAGTATATTTAAAATAAAACTAAAGTTACATTTATATACATATGTATATAAAAACCAACATGCAAGATGTCCGAGGGTGTCACTCTTGTTGCAAATGTGTTTTTAAGGTTGTGGTTATATACATGTACATTTGAGTCTTCTTTAACCAATTAGCACCTAGATTTATTGAATTACAATGTATTCACTGAAAATTCAATAAAACGATAGAGTGCTCAGGCGGTTTCAGGCACTACAAAGAGCAAAAGGCAGGGCGGTTTGGGGCGCTACAGTGACTAAAGGGTTCATACCAACTTTCTTACAATAAATTCTGGTAAATTCTTGATTTATTTGCAAATTCTGGTCTCATCCCTGCATTTATGTACACAATAGATGAGACTGGCGCTCCTCTTCATACAAAATTCAGAAGAAACTAACATTTTGGCGAGGTTTGGCCGAGGTTTGGCCAAGTTTTGTTAATGGGAGTCAGCTGAACTTGAAACAGTAGTCCATGGGCGTCGCCAGGATTTTTTCTAGAGGGGGGCAAAAAATTTTTTTTGCCAAAAAATGCTTGTATTTCTCAACACATTCTCGATTTATCAGTTTTAGAGGGGGGCAGGGACATTCCCCCCCCCCCCCCCCCCCCTGAACTCATTAAATTTACACCACTTTGTCTTCACGCCTCTTTTTCTTTTTTTTTCTTCTTTTTTTTTTTTCTTTTTTTTTTTTTTCTTTTTTTTTCTTTTCCAGGGGGGGGGGGGGGGCAAGTGCCCCCCCTTGCCCCCCCCTCGCGACGCCCATGCAGTAGTCTTAACTTTCCTTGCAGCACATTACTTATGTTCTGTTGAGATGTTAGCCTTACCCACCTACATATACATTCCTCAAATCCAACTTTAAGATTGAGATTTTGCAGGATTTAGTATAAATTGGAACCAGGCCATTATTACCAGCTTAATGTACCAAGGGACTTCAAACTCCATACACTTTGACATATTTTGGACGAATCGAAAATCTGCCTAAGTGTATGGAGTTTGAAGATTTTGCATGAATCAAAAAGTGTCCCAACTGTCGGCTACACGTCAATGAGCTTTCAAAGAAATTCTGTTCCAGCTTTATAACTATACAGGATGAATTAGGGTAATAAAAGAACTTTAAAATGGACAAATGTAGACTCTGGTGTGTAAAAACCAAGAGTGGGAAGGATCTCTTTAAGGTGAGGGCAAGGACATCAAATAGGATCAGGTCTGTGTGAAAAATGGCGGATGACTGTCTTTGTCACTGCTTGATTACAATGGTCTAGGTGCTGGGCCAGAAGAAAGGTTATGCCTGTATCAGACTGGCATTTGTTAGTCGTGCTGAACCAAATGATTCTGAACATGTGAATTAAGTACATAAAGGAGCCACTATGCTTAACCATCAGCTTTCATTAAGAATGACTCCAAAGTCTAGTTGATGGACAAAAATAATTAAGTTTACCCATCAAACCGGAGTCTAAGTGGGTTTACCTGACTCACTCCAAGACTATTTTATTCGAAGTGAGAAATCGTGTAAAGCAACAAAACATGCACCAAGAGTTGGGACGGGCTGAACAGCTAGTTGAACATGTATTTTGCTTGATAAGTATGGGCTATGAGCCCAAAGAGAGACACACAGGTATGTTTTGAAGAGTTACAGATAATTTTCTGTTCAGTCTTCATCAAATGTGATCTTCTTGCCCTGGAATGGCACAATTTTGGACTCCTCTTTGCGCTTCCTGCTGGCCTCCCAGGACGGATGAAGTGATTCTTTGGCGGCGGGTTTCTTCTGAGATGAAATGGTGGCAGAAGCGGGATGCTTCCCTTGAGTAGGGTGTTGCTTGGCTGCATGTCTGGACTGACTGGCTAATGGCTTGGCAGGCAGCTGCTTGCTCTGAGGTCTGGTGGGGAAAGGTTTCTTCCCAGTTTTTTTCTCTTGGGTATCTGAAGGAAGAAATTAAATCTCAAAATAATGAAACCATCCTTACTGGGTCACGATTTTTGTAACTTTCAAGCAAACACTGTCCTGGCAGGTGCACATATAGGCCAAACTTATCTATTCTCTGTGGATTTTTCACACAAGTACCCTCTTAACGGTGACAAGAAGAGTAACGAGAAGAGTAACAGACACTTAAAGGCCATTGCTGCTATGCCCCACACGGCACCCCTGTGTCCACATAATTGCTTTTTGCACATTCAGATGAAAAGCAGTTGTGCATTGTGTGTACTCCGTGCCATATACTTGCCAACCAATGTACAAATGATATGGCCCGGGCAATAGAAATTTTAAAAGTGGTCATGCAGTACCAATGCCATATTTTATGCTCCCAAGTTTTGTGCAAACTATATTTCTCCTCTTCTTTTTGATTCCAGATTCAAATTGCAGATTCAGTCTTCAATTTTGCCAGAAGGCTTTTGCACATTAAGCATGTTGTTTGATGAGATTTGAAGGTTTGCATGGATCGAAAATTGGTCCCAATTTCAATGCCATACCTCCGAGAGCATGTCTGGGCGGTAGGTCTGGGTGGCAGTTGATACCAGGAATCAATTTCTCCCCGGGGGTGTGTCTGACGGGGTTTGGCTGGTCCACCATGGGGATCTTGTGCCTCATCTTCTTTGCTGGTCCTTGGGTTTTCTCTTGAGCTGGTCTTGCTTTCGGCTGTTGCTTCTGAGGTGGCCTATGTTAACAGAATGATTTGAAATATTGAAAATCAAACGTTTCAATTTGACATTTACATGTATATACATATCAGAGGAATTAAAGGCATACACCGCCCACAATTTTGTGATCCTCTCCCCTGCAAAATACTAAATGAAATAAACTGGTTTTGGGGTATTTTTTTCAAGCAAACAACATTTTTAAAGAATTAAAAAAAATTGTGAACATTTTTGCATAGAAAAATTATAATAAATATATTTAATTTGATCAGTACTTAAGTCACTTTCCAGTGCAATCTGGTCTCTACCCTCACATGTACCCATTCATACTCCTGGGTGGAGAGATGCAATTGTAGTAAAGTGTCTTGCCCAAGAACACAAGCACTGTGTTCCCCGTCAGGGTTCGAACCCATGTACCATGGCACATGGGTTTGAGCACCATAACAACTGGACCACAGCACCCACAACAACTAAAGGGAATTATCCTAAAGATTCCTCCTGTATATCGTCCGTGTACCTGTTTTCGAGGCATCAAGTTTTCGAGGTTTGACCTTGTACACATGTTGTAGCGACGCACACGCACAGATTCGTACCACACAACCAGTTGATTTGTTGTGTGTGCGGTATGTGACCCACCGCCAGCCCAAAATAAATTGGAAACCGAAGGCTATGTCGGTGTTTTTCTCTTGCTTGAAATGAATCCTTACACCCTCGAAAACCGGTGCATCGTGGATATACATTGTTAAGGGAAATCTGTTGCACTTGCAACAGTATGCCATGGGGCACAAAATATGTGTATTTAACAAACTGTGAACAACCATTTTACAGAAAATAAGCATTCTTGACTCCTTTTAAAGCATGGTGTTGGTGAAACAAAATGCTTTTCAAAAACCAAGTCTGATTCCATCGCGCCATGGAACCAACTTCCTTTGTGGACCAGACTTCCTTCGGTAAATCATGGGCTCTTTGTCTGAAAAATAAGACAAATATTCCCAATGAAGGCCATGATGGCTACACTAACTTAGCTTTGTTTCTTTGCTTCATTGATTCTTTCTCTGTCGTCTGCAGCATCTCTGTGATGTCCTCATCCTGCATGCTGGATAAACTGCCAAGAAACGTGGAGTCCAATTTTCTCTTCCCAATCAAATGAGACTTTTCTGGAAGTGCAGCATCCTCCGAGATTCTGTGAGCATCCTCATCCTTGATTATTCTTTTCTCACCAACAAGCAGTTCCAATTGGACTTTATGTTTATGGGGAGAATGTTGGGCGCCTCTAACTTTGGATCCTAACAAATCATCGTCATCACTGTTGTCTTCGTCACGATCCATCATTTTCTTTATCATCAACTTCTCCAGAGAGTGCGCATCATCGTCGAATGTAACATCATCATTAATGTCATCGTTATTGCTATCATCGTCATGATCTTGCCCATCCAATGTCCTTAACTTCTTAGCAAATTTTGAGAATATTCATCATTATCATCATCATCATCCCCATCGTCCCCGTCATCATCTTGATCTTTCTTATCCAATGTTCTCATTTTCTTAAGAAACTTTTGGGAAACTTCATCACCATCATTATCATCATCATCATCTTTGTCGTCATCGTTACCATCATCGTCTTGATGATCAATTGTAGCAAACGTCCTCATCTTCTTAGCAAACTTTTGAGAAAATTTATCATCATCGTCATCGTCAACATTATCCATCTTATCTGCTGACACCATCCTCTCCAAGGTGACTTGATAATCTTCCTCCTCCTTCAGTCTGGCTTGGGCCTCTGACTCAAATTTGCCCTTGCGGAGACGCTTGTATTTCTTGCTTCCAGTCCTAAGAAAGTCCTTGGTAACCATGTCTGTGTTGGAAGAGAATTTGAAAATACCAATGTCACCCAGATGAATTTAAAAGTAGTCAACCTCTGCCGTACATGATAAACGGCAGTTTCAATCATTTAACATACACATGGGAAGCTCATTGGGCATATTAATCATTTCTGGTAATGAAACCAAGGATTCTTCAAAAGCGCCCTAGGCACTGTACGGTAGCTCGCAAGCCTGAAGAAACCTGTAGAGAGCAGACACTGAGAAGAAATTACAGTTTTTGAGGTAGGAGGAACGCCCCATAATGATATTCAAGGGGAAACCCACGAAATCAGGTAGGGACTGAAAATCCCATCCGCACATTGGCCCAGGCGGGATTCGAAGGCAAGGAAAGAACTATTATGCCAACTTGACTCCCTGATCAATGTATAAAACATCTTGCCTATTAAAGTGGACATTATAGTGCCTTTACTTACCCACAAGGCCCATTTTCAATCTCTTAAGCTGAAAAAAAGCCTATCATGGTTTAAAAAAAAGGTGCCTCCAAACTTCCATGTTCTAAAACTTCTGTTTCCCTCACACTTTGACTTGATTTGAAGTATTTTCAAATTGTATAAATAATAATAGGACAGATCAGTCTGATCATACCTTTGAACTGTGTCACCCTTTCTTGTATGAGTTTGTGGTAGATGATGCGTGCCAACACTCTATCCTGGGCGGAAGACTTTGGCTGATAACAGAAAGAGGACAATTGCACATTAAAAAGGCAAACATCTCAATTAAACTTTGGAGCAATCAATTGTTAATGTTGATATTGAATCAGCTGATGTAGCTAACTAGCTATTACATGTAAGTTGAAAAAGCACAATTGCAGCAATCTGGTGGTCAGGGTTCACTGCCAGTTTATGTGTCATCTTCTAAGTTTATGATTAAAAGGCCCATAACCAGAAGAAAGAGAGGATTGACATATACATGTACCCACTTTCGACCTGGCTCAACTTTTAACTGTTTAAGCAAGTACAATTTAATCTTACATGTGAAAACTGTCCCAAATTTTTTTTCAAGTACACTGTATATCTACAGGTACTTCGTCTGGTCCAGTTTGCAGTATGTATAGTATTGATTGCACACTTACATGTGTAAAAAAGAAGGAAAGATTCACTTAAAATTTCACCCCCACTCTGGACCACCAGATCATCATTGTAAGGGTTTTGGGGCTTGGTTTTCATATCCTTGTTCATATCGGAACTCTTTTGGGAAATGGTTACTGAAAACAAATTACCCGAAATTTTAGGGCCAGTTTTGTTTTCATCTCGAGGCGGCACACTTATGCTCGAGGGGGCATATTTATGTCCGCAAGAGGGGCACTTGGGTAAATCTGGGGGGGGGGGGGGGACAGATCTCCAGCTCACTTTTCCACACGTTGGAGCAGAGCAGATGTATCCTGAAGCAATGCAGGTAATTTATGCATGGCTACGCACAAACAACACCAGACTTGGACACAATGCATCCTCCAAAATCAACTGGCACATAAATGGCGAAGAGCCTCAATCCTCCAAAAATCTCCAAAACCGCCTGGTTGATTTTGGAGAATTAAGGAGGGTCAGTTTAATGCATACATTATTGAGGACTTCTTGCAGCGTCTTCTTCATTGTTGCAGCCTTCTTGGTGATTGTGTCTGGCTGGAGGTCCTTCATTGCTTCAATCTCTGCCACAAACCTCTCCACTCGCCTCTTGTTCTTGAGTATCTGCTGCTCTGAACCCCTGTTTAACAAGTTGGAAATGTTTAAAGAAATAATGGAGCTTTAAAAGTGAATTCCCTCTTGCAACAAATGTCAAATGCATTATTGTACATTGTGTATGACTTAAATCACACCATTCACTCTCGATACAGCATACATGTACATGTACCGCACATGTTCAACAACAAGAATTCAAATTATTCAAATGGGGGGAGGAATGTAATTCAAATTTAAATTCTTACTTTTTCTTTCGCAGCTTTGTAATGTGCCTTGTGAGAGAGTGTGTGATCAGCACTTTGACCCTTTTCACAACCTTCCTCATGCTCACAACCTGCAAGGGAGGATAAAAAATGTACATTGTCCAGAAAAGAAAATGTAAACATTTGTGACCATCATTCCTAAATGTTTGCAATACGCCCATTTTTAAAAACATATAGTTGAATATCATTAACCCTAACCCCCCTGAGGTGATTTATTAGGAGCCTTCCTCACTCTTACAAAATCCAACACCATATGGTAAACTCCACACCCAAACTGTTGTAATCTGATTATGGTGGTATGCCTGACCCCAAAAGCTAATGCAGTACTCACTCTTACAGATTCCAACAAAAAATGCAGTTGGATTTTGAAGGGTCGGGGGTGGTTTGGGTTAATCAAAGTTACTGAGAAAGTTCAACCAAAATTTACAAGATATGTTTAGCACCTAAACAGCAAAGATGTAGCCGAATGTGAGTGGAAAATAGAATGAATGAATGAATGGATGGGAATTGGATTTGACTGTAAGGCTGCATGCTCAGCGCACAATCTATATTGTAGCCAGCTTAGTTTTGTTTCGCATGTATTTTGCAAATTTTACAAAAAGAAAGATTTGTTTGTATCTTGAAAGATGCATTTTGGTCCTCATAAGGGGTAAGTGGGATATTTTGTACCAGGGGATAATACGACCACTTGTTATAAAGCACAAACATTGAGTCTAATGCCAACTTATTACTGCATACAATTTTGCAAAGTACATGTACATGTAAGTGAGTGGTCATGTTTATAAGTATTTTTTGCTGTCGACTGTCGAGCTTCACAACGTCCTTACATTACGTTGGCACACGCTCTGCATCCCACAAGATTTGAAAGACGCCAACATAACCATCCTCTACAAAAACACAGGGAACCGACGACTGCAACAATTACAGGGGATCTCTCTGCTGAGCTTAGCTGGCAAGGTCTTCTGCCGTGTGCTACTGCCTAGGCTGCAGGTCAGTGCCAACAAGATCCTTCCTGAGATTCAATGCAGCTTTTGCTCCCCTGGCTTTTGCTCATCTCGCTCTACCGGTGATGCGGTATTCTCTCTACAACAGATCCAGGAGAAATGTGTTACCCACTACATGTACATGTATGTGTTGTGTTCGACCTGATGAAAGCATTCGACCTCTAGAATCGGTCAGGCCTGTGTGTCACCCTGAAACATCTGGGCAGTCCAGACACCCTTCTTTCCATCCTGATAGGAATCATGAGGACATGAAAGCTACAGTCCAACACAACGGCTACGGCTCCAAATCCAGGAAGTTTGCCATTTATCAAGGTGTCAAACAGGGATGTGTGCTTGCTACACTGCTTCACACCCGCAGCTCTGGGAAGTTTTCTAACCACTCCCACCTCCATGCAAGAACAAAGATCGGAAGGGTTCTCATCCCTGAGCTCCTCCATGCAGATGATGCTGCCATTGTTGCACACTCCGCAGCTGAGCTCCAAGATCTCTGCAACTCTTTCGCCAAAGCATGCTCGGAGTTTGGCATGAAGATCAGCCTCAACAAAACAGTTGGTCTCTCTCAAGGGAATTCAGCTCCACCAATCATCTACAAATGTGCATCAATGGAGCAGCACTGAGTGTGGTAAACAAGTTCTGCCACCGTACCTCGGATCCACAATTGCTAACACCAACTCTCTGGATGCTGAGATTGACACTAGCATTGGGAAGGCTTCAACCACCTTTGGTCAACTTCGCTCCCGTGTGTCACAGTGTGGGACAATCAGGACCTTTCAATCAATCTGAAGTTCCGGGTGCATACGGCTTGCGTGCTGGGTGCCCTACTCTACTGCAGCGAGTCTTGGTCCATGTACAGCCGACAGGAGTGACGCTTAAACTCATTCCACCTCCGTTACCTTCACTCCATACTTGGCATCTCCTGGCATGATCGCATCCCGAACACCTCCATCCTTAAGATCACTGGAGCAACTGATATGTTCACCATGTTGAGAGTGCGTTGCTTTCGCTGGACTGGTCACGTTTGCAGACTGGATGATGGACGCCTTCCTAAGACCATCTTCTATGGTGAACTGACTGATGCCCCATGCTCTTGTGGTCACCCTAGGCTGCGCTTTAAGGATGTCCTCAAGCAAGACCTGGCTACTTTTGATCCCGGATGTACCTGGGAGACTGTTGCACTGCACTGGACATGCTGGATCGCAACTCCTGGCGCAGTTGGATCGCAACCCCTGGCATGCCTGGCGCTCTGCTAATCCACTCATTTAGTCTCTTCACAGAAATTGCGAAAAAGGCCGAAGTCATCGTTTACGATGGGACAGGCCATGATGATAAGATCTTGCTCTCTCAGTAACACTAGGAAGTGCTGGTTGTCCTTAACTGGACGAATCCTCCCCATGTGCATACAACAACAAATCACATGTTTAAAAATTAATTATTTGAAAATTTGAAAATAAAATTAAAAATCAAACATACATATAGCCTACAACATGCATGACTAGACCCACTAACTGGGGCGCTAGAACTCCTTTTTTGACATTTGGGATGTACCAAATGTCAAAAAAGGAGTTCTACTAACGCCCCAGTTGGTGGGTCTTATGCATGACATGAGAATAAAATGAATTTAAACGTGTATTATTAAGTGGAATAAAGCAATGCGTGTATCACTGCACAGTGCATTACGTATAATAACTGATGATGGGGGGAGTACATGTACTTCTAGAATTAAAAGGCTTCTCTCCGTCAGCTGACGGAGAAGAGCCTCCTAATTCTAGAAGTAATGGGGGAGGACCACATGTAAAATGGATAAATCATGTACTGGGCCGGCTGTTGTCCTTGCTCTATGATAATACTGTGGTAAAGACTAAACTAAAGTAAAGCATGTAAAGTAAGATGTGTGCATCATCATGATTTTGTTCTGTGATTTGTGTTCCATAAATTTTCCATCTGGCAAGGATGGGCATGGGATAAACTCCATCAATCCTTACCTCGTTGTTGAACTGTACTTTATCCATTTTGTATGGTGTGTTTTTAATCAAGTAATCAACGTATGAAGCTTAACAGTACACAACCAAAAGCAGACGACACCACCAGACACGACCAGCCATGCCAGCACGAGAAAGGTTTGTTTTTGGACATGTGCTATGCTGCATTGCTGGGGGTCACGTAAATATAGGTCGACACGTGAGGGCAGCAGTAAAGCGAGCCGTGTGATCGATGCGTGCATGCATTATGCATGTAAAACATGCCCACACCTACCGCTACAAAAATGTGATACGAATCCATGCATCTCTGATCACTTGAATTGTTCTGCCTTGTTTCATCACGCAAACCCCTTGGTTAGCCTAGTTTAATCGGAGGAAATATTGAGCAGGTAATGTGGATTTCTTTTGTTGAGATACGAAGGTTGATATTGTGCAAAATCTGTTCTCTTCCTGGTGTGTTTTGTGTGTGTAGGCCTAGGCCTATTTATTTTGTGTGTAAAATGTCGCCCAGTTTCCGGACGATTATTATATTTCTCACAAGTGTAGGCCTATGGCTATGCATTCTCACACAAATACAAAAGATATGGCGGTACTGCTGTGGGAAAGATTACCATGTCTGGCCATCACTTGTCACCCTGTGCACAAACTCTATGAGACTGGTCTGAACATTTCTAAGTGTTTTCTCAGTAGGCCTAGGCCTAAATACTTAAATATTTTCACTGCTAAATTGGACTTTTTAGGACATATTATCACTTTTTGATGGCTGATAGGTCACTGAGGTGAGGGGGAAAATCAGTGATGGCCAGATATGGGAATCTTTCCCTGCTGTGCTGTTGTCTGTTGATTGTTGTGCTTGTTTCAAACATTGTCTGTGCATGATGAGCCACGGAGTTATAATTGTAAAAATGTTTTTAGCTCATGTTAACAACAATTGCCAACATGTTAATAATGCTGAAATTTGCTATTTTGATGGAAGTCAACCGTTGCGCATTTGCATCATCAGTAATCAGTTGTCAACCGACTTCACTTGGACTTTTCTTTCCTTTATAAAAAAAATCAGAAAGATAGATTAGGCCTAAATCTGGAAAGAATGTTGGGAAAAAATGTTGCAACCTGACGCCCCTTTTTTCTTCATATCGATCATCTCAATGAAGGTCAGTCATTGCAAAAATGATGATAAGATATGAGTCTGGGACTGAGAAACATTTCCAATTTTGTTAGGAAATAACTTAAAAAACTTTCTTGACTCTCCAAGTGGCGTCAGGTTGCGACATTCTTTCCTTAAATCTACTTCAGTATAGTATAGAGTAGGATTTGATTTAAAATTAAAACAAGAAAGGGGTCATTCCATGTCAGACCAACGCACTTTTTTACCTCATGTCTTCCGATTTTGATAAAAATTGCTGTGCTTGTAGGTCCTGATGAGCAATGAATGCACACCAATTTTTGGTAGAAATATGTCAAAACCATGTTAATTTTTATTGAATATATGCGAATTTGGTATCAAAATAATAAGAATTGCATGCTCAAAGCAACTCTTTTGTCAAAATTAAATTTTGTGAAAAGGAGGTCACGTGACCTTTAATATGTTAAATGTTCATTTCTTTGACCCAATTTATGTAATCATGTATCATTCCGAAAATCAACGAAATGAAAATGACTCGATAGAGCATGTCTTCCTCTATCAGAATCTACTAAAAATCAATTGGGGTCTTCAAAATTTACAACTTTATGACTATTTTTGTACAGTTGGTGGGTTACAAATGAGTCAGTTTATAGACTTTACATGAGAAATCCACCAACACAACTTACTATTCTGTTTCTAAAGCTACTTAAATTAATCTTGGTTTGGGAATTTCTCTTGTTTAGGGCTGATGAGGTCTAAACCAGACTCATAATATAAATTATCAGCAGTGGCGCACCCAGGATTTTGCTTTTTTGTGTGGGGGGGGGGGGGGGAGCTCATAGCTTTTTGTTGTAAAATTTCTGTAGGAGATCAAAAAAAAAATCGACAACCTTGGAGGGGGTGGGTTCAAGCCCCTCGAGCCCCCCCCCCCCCCCCCCCCCCCCCACTGATAATTAGCTATCCCACAAGCGGTATTGGAATATGAAACAATGCAATGCTGCTGTGACCCATATGCCACCCGACACATTACATTATTCCGTGTTCCACGAGCCATATAACGCATTTATCTTCAAGCAAACTTGACGTCGTATGTGTACATTGCACGTGGTGAGGGATGTAGGTGCATAGTGTATCGGACCGTTCAGCAGCAAATAAAAAAGAACACAATACATACATGTACATGTACATTCGATATCTGGGGCGCAATATAGCTGTGCAGTATTATATCAAATCACACTGTTGCTATACATGTAGATGGACTAATCAGGGTCTAGGATTCAAGTTTGCTTGAACATAATACTCAATATCGCAATCAAGTTGCGCTTCTTGAAATTTAATGAGTCTCACAGACTTGGCAATTTTTTCCTTCCCTGATAAATTTCACCTGGATGTGTGTCAGCTGTACTGGGTCCGGGTAGTAAGCATAGAGCTGTTGCGTACCCTAAACAGTAACTGCTGATGACAATAGACTATCAAGCATTCGATGTCAAGTTTGCTTGAAGATAAATTTGTTAGCCCACTTGCGCTCGTGGAACACGGAATAATGTAGTGCGTCGGGTGGCATATGGGTCACAGCAGCATTGCATTGTTTCATATTCCAAGCGTGCTTGTGGGATAACTAATTATCAGTGGCACCCCGGGGTGGGTAATTTTTGTTTTTCAATCTTCTACAGAAATTTGAAAACAAACAAATTATGAGCCCCCCCCCCCCCCAAAAAGAGCAAAATCCTGGGTGCGCCACTGCTGATAATTTATATTATGAGTCTGGTTAGACCTCATCAGCCCTAAACATGAGAAATTCCCAAACCAAGATTAATTTAAGTAGCTTTAGAAACAGAATAGTAAGTTGTGTTGGTGAATTTCTCATGTAAAGTCTATAAATTGACTCATTTGTAACTAGGTACCAACTGACAAAAATAGTCATAAAGTTGTAAATTTTGAAGACCCCAATTGATTTTTAGTGGATTCTAATAAAGGAAGACATGCTCTATCAAGTCATTTTATTTTCGTTGATTTTCGGAATGATACATTAGTACATAAATTGGGTCAAAGGTCATGATAACATACAATTAAAGGTCACGTGACCTCCTTTTCACAAAATTTAATTTTGACAAAAGAGTTGATTTAAGCATGCAATTCTTATTATTTTGATACCAAATTCGCATATATTCGATGAAAATTGACATGGTTTTGACATATCTCTACCAAAAGGGTGGTATTTTACTCTAAAAATGTCCTTTTTTTGTGGTTTCTGCCCTGACCACATGGTAGGTCGGATCGGGCTAAAAATTGGTGTGCATTCATTGCTCATCGGGACCTACAAGCACTGCAATTTTTATCAAAATCAGAAGACATGAGGTAAAAAAGTGCGTTGGTCTGACATGGAATGACCCAAAGGTAAGAAAATGTATGCGCCTATCAATGGTTTGTTTATTGATATTATGAAATCCATTACAATCATACACAACGTTTCATTATTCCTTGTATTTTTTGTACAGGAATTGATGACTCTTCAGTGGAGCCAGCAGCACCAGGGCTTGTAGCTGAGCATCTGCAACCTAAGCTGTCTTGGTGTCCAACTTCAACCCCCCAACAATGGCCACCTCATCAGGCTCGGTCTCAGCCGACAGTCGCACGCGACTCCTGGGCACCTCAACGACCAATCAGAGCGTGGAGGACATGCACAACCTGAACATCCAGGACGAGTTTGATCCGTTTGACGCGTACGCTGAGACGGAGAAAACAGAGACAACGACGGTGGATGGCAACTTGGTTTCACCACCCCAGAATGAGTATGTTATGGTGCTGTTGTTCATTATTGGAACATTTTGGTCATTTTACCTCAGATTAAACCGGAGCATTACATAGCCCTATAAATGGGGCTTAGATACCAATTGCATCTGTACAGTGTATGCTGAACCTCACTGCCAGTTTGTCATCTATGGTTGAACCCTCCTTTTGTTTGATCAGTCACAGACAGTCAAAAAGTCAATCGTGTTTCCCTGCCCTGCCTTTTACACAGGCTAGTCACCAATATTTCATAAGGCACCGTGACTAGTCAGATTCCATCAACAGACACAAGCAGGTAACTGGTAGCGCAGCTGGCTTATCAATCTCCTAAAGATAAAAAAAACAGTTAGGCCTACATGTATATCAGGTTTCATAACAATTACAGCCAGTCAATCCTGCTTTATGAAGGCAGGGAGCACTCCACTGTTAAAAAGAATCACTTGATATATTTTGACTGCTGGGCTGGCCTTGTTGAAATTGCCAGCCAGAGAGGAAGGGTTAAATTAATACTTTCTGTTTTACAAGTTGGCCATTTTAAGATATTAACTTTCTGTGTAATTTCCAGAACATTTGGAACCAAAACAATGCTCAACATTTTCTTGGAAATCTCGGATATGTTTCACCCCCCCCCCCCCCCCAATATGCAAGTTCTCAATATCTTTTTTCATAGGTGGCAGTGGCTCTTGGTGTAGAGGCAGTCTTATATCTGTGCCCTATTAATAAGCATTACACGTACATGTAGTAGTCATTTTGCCTGACACATATTCTTAAAGTTGAGCCACATGATGTGCATCTTAGAAACCATCTCTGTCAAAGTAGTATAAAGCGTGTAAGTTGACCCCCAAAAGCCTGTGAGATTTTACAAGAATACAGCACATCCTTGCACCATGTATAGGTTCTACAACGTGTGTAACATCCTATTTTTTGCATTTATTTTGTGGTCTGACTGGGCCCATCCAATCAAGGGAAATAAATGGGTATTTCAAAAGCAAAGAAAGCATTACAGTTTACAAGATATGAATTGAAAAAAATGCGAATTGGAGACTATTATACAATTAAAAATGTTGACCTCAACTTCCGTTCAATCGGTCATACAATTGGGTAAATTCAAACTTGGGAGTCTGTGACTAGAGTTTGGTTGGTATTAAAACGTTCACAGGAAAAGCGAACGTGGACTGGCGAGACTTACACGTTCTATTGAGTACGAACACGTGACAAATGTATGGTACCATCCCGGTAATGATAAGAGTTCGTTAACAGTTGCACCATGTGACAAATCTCTTTTGTGAGTTTGTGAGGTTCTGAAAAGAACTGGGGGAACTTAACATTTTGAGCAGCATACTTCGTCTATGCTCTGCCGGTCATGAGGAGACAAATCATATCCCAGTAATGGCTTCTAATTGAGTTTAGTCTTTACTGATTAGTCTTTATTGACACTGACTTCGTTAATGTTAATACCCTAACCCTGCTGAATCCAACAGGATCCAACTATGTCACATACCCGATGGAGCCTGTTGGATTGAGCAATTAACCCCTTGTGTACATTCCTCGTGCAAAATGTTGGATTCAGCAGGCAACTGAACCGCATTATAATGCCATGTTGGACTCTGTTAGATTCAGTGGACAACTGAAAATGAGGCACAGTGGATTGAACAGGAAAGTCCGGTTGGACTCTGTTGGATTTAGCAGGGTAGTCCTGAGGAAGTACTAGGGGGTTAGGATTGATTGACTGATTGATTGATTGGATGTCTTCATTGCAGGTGGTATCATGGCTGCATGGATCGGACAACGGCCGAGATGAGACTTAAAGGTGCACGGATCGGTAGCTATCTAGTCAGAGAGAGTGAGCGTAAGCCTGGCTCCTATGTTCTGTCTTACCTTGGCGTCAGAGGAGTCCAGCATTTCAGGTTGGTATTCATTTCCTCTGTCTTTTACTCTTAGAAGGGAACAGTATCTGACTAGAAGTGTTGTACATGTAGTCGAGTACATTCTTGTTGGTTAGGCGAGTAAAAAGGAGGCGGGCGGGGAAAAGGAAGTGGGCGGGGACAAGAAAGTGGTTCATATTTTACTTGGCCTTATGAGTGCCAGAGTTGTAATCGAGTCAATCACATGTCAATCACATGTCAATCATATGTCGATCACATGTCAATCACATGTCAATCACATGTCAATCACAAGTCAACACAAGTGACAAGTTCAGCCACAAGTCCAGCCACAAAATGTTAAGGGGATGAACATTAACAAAGCCACGGCTTCATTCCAGTTCATTGGAATGACTTGTCTTGAGATTAGAAGACTTGTGATGGTTTTATGAGGACTTGTGATGAACTTGCTTACATCAATGAAGAGTTGTAATTGAATCTTGTACAGGTAAAACTATCAATCGACAGTCGACACTTGACAATTTGGGTTGTTTACCGGCTGTCCGCACTGGACTTAATTTGGTTAACTTGGACAACTGTCTTAGTTGGTTTAAACAAAATAAGTCTAACACAATGGTGGCTCAAGTTAGGTCCCAAGTAACCATGATACAGTGGAACGCTGCTATAATGAACATCGCGGGATCCACAGAAATTGTTCGTAATAGCGATCATTCGGTATAACGATTTCAAGCTGCCGGTGCTCCGGTACTCATTTTTCAATAAATAGCGCCCTTCAGAACTTCACCCTGCACGCCCTGGTACTTCTACATGTAGTTACCGAAAGATGACTTTGAACACGTGCCGACTATTGAATTACATGTATGTTATTACACAGATTGTGAGCTTACTACCGGTACCTACAGCAATGGGTGGTTATTATTCCCCTTCTATTCCTTTGGGGAAATAATAACCACTTTTCACTCTTCTGTTGACATTTTTCAACAGCAATATTCAGTACAGTTTGTACACAAAAATCAATAGCCAAGGACGATGTTCAGTATAGCCAAATGTTTGGTATAGCGGTGTTCGGTAAAGCGTTCCACTGTAACAGGTGACAAAACAATAAACAAAGTTATGGTCTATAGTGGAATCCAGCGACCAGTATTAGAAGCTTTTACTGCGGTGGTGTTACGCTCACGGGCATGCTGCACGCGTTCTTAAAGACGAAGCACGCGCATTTTGGTATTCCTATTGGTTGAAGGTGCCCGGAGAGCGCGTACCGGTACTACCCGAGTGCGACTCGCGTGAGCCTGTCGCCGCCGCAGAAAATGGTTGCCGCCAGATTTGTCTATAGTCAAATTGTCATCATAGTTGAGTTGAATAGCTTGTGAATTTTTCAAGACTAATTGTTTGGTGAGTTCTTGTGATGACTTGTGATGGCCTGTGATGACTTGTGGTGACTTCTTTACAACTCTGAGAATGTTTCCCATATGTTATCACAAATACAACTGATTGCATTCAATGGGGGTACCAATGCAGTTTGTGTTAAAGTTGTGTTTTGATAATGTTGGGAAAAACAAGAAATGGGTGAGGTTGTAAGTGAACCCAGTTTTGGCAAGAAAGTATTTAATCACTATGGCAGTAATTTGTCCGATCGTTTTTTTTTAACAGAAGAAATGAAAAAATTGCATTTAAATACATTGTACTTGTACAAGTGGGAAATTCCAATGATAAACAAAGGATCAATTTTATTTGCCCTGTCAATATGTGAGTCTGTATCAACATAATGTACAAGTCCCAACATGCATAATTTGTGTGTGTTTGTATGGATTCATACATGTACATGTACATGTACACTTGCAATTTCAACTGCAAGTTTGTACATGTATGTTGTAAAGATGATAACAAACTTTATGACCAGGAATGCAAACTGCATCCAACCAGTTCTACAAATGGCAAAGCTCGTAATGTCACACTCCTCAGGATCAACATGATCAAGGAATAGTGAGGTACAGTAATATAAACCTGGAGTTTGCGACAGTTTCGAGTTTGTAAGAAAAAGGATTTCAAATAGAAATGCACATACATGTATGTGACCCACTCCGCAAAAATGAGTCTGTTGTGGCAAAACTGACATTTTGAGTTAACTACATTAATAAACTGGGAATGAAATAAGCTTTCATTTGGTACATCACGGACCTCTCTAGGACGTTTGGTTGCATTGTTGTGCTTGTTTCATTCTGTACAGTTTTTGCAAAGCTAGAAGTGTCTCAATGGAGAAAAAAGGCTTTGAAAAATGACAAATACACTGTAACTAACCAAGAAAAGCACCAAAGATTCATAATTTTTTTTCTTTTTCTTAAAATATTTACATTTCTGTGTAAGATATTTGAACTAAAACTATCAAACAACCAAAATACAACAAAAACAAAAAAATCCAAATTTTGAGCAAATTTTTATTGTTTCAATTTCAAAATGGCAAAAGCTTGAATTCAAATTATGCGACATCAGACTCATTTTTGCAGAGCGGGTCACATATGTGAAGGTTTTTTATTTTACCTTTTTGGAATACAATCGCACTCACTGTTTAATTTGTTTTTATTATTTCAATGGTTTCTAGTGGTACAAGCATGACAAGCTACGTAGCTACGTAGCTAAGTTAATTCAAATCGAAACCAGCAATACTCTACATATTTTCATACATACCCCACATACATCCACTTTGTACTATACATGTAAATGTGTACCTGTTTAAATACAAGAACCAATAATTTTGAAGTATTAATTTCTCAGTAAAAGCTTCCAGCTGTTTTTAAATCAAGTAGTTACCGGTATCTACAATGTACATTGTACACGTACAATGCATACATGTACATGTACCTTCAAGGGAAAATACAACATTTGCAAACATCAAAAAATAAAACTACCAAATCATTTTGAAATACCTTGCTGGACTGTTAGTGAATGACAGTGTAAAGCATCCTGTAAAATCATGGCTCCTGGTATACTGTCATTTTCAAGAAAAGTGGTATTTTTGTATCAATTTCCAATGCTGATCGGCCGACCAGCGTTGGAAAAAACTGGCTTTTTTTCAAATACTGGCCCCAGTTGACCATTGTTTGCAATCGATTACACACCTATGAACGGGTACAAGCCAGCTAGACTGGTTCCCTGACCTTACAATTCCCCAATGTATGTAAACTGCTCTGTTTCTTCTTAAATGGAGTCAGGGAACCAGACTACAGGAAAATGATTGTTTTTCTTGGTTTTTGTAGCATTTTCGAACCCAAAACCTCAAAAAAGTCAGTGTAACTATATTTGCTATATATTTCCAACCCCCAATTCCATCCATTTCTGAAAAATTACAGCAAAAGCAAATGATGTATATTCCCTTTAACCGGAAAAACAAAAACACTGTCTTTGGAAGGAAAAAAAACACTCTTAAAATCTTGTTCCTACATGTACATGTACCTCATACATTTGAAAAAAAAAACGCATTGTGCATTTTAAACTTGGGGAAAATATTCTCATTGTGTATAATTTGCAAAGCATTATATGTTGTAGTGAATATTCGCCATGAATATTCATGACATTAAATTCACTTCATGCATGTACATGTACATGTATTTGCATATGAAGTGTGATCATGTTCCCGAAATAAATGCACAAATAAATCTATACATTTTGCTAGATTTAGAAATATTCATGGCAACATGTACATGTAGCATTTTCTGAAGTGTCTGGTTTGCAACGCTTACTGTCATGACTGTGTTGTTATTTTTTTCTCGCAAGATGACCATTAATGGTATTGGTTACAGATTTGGGGTTTGAGTGTTTACTGTGTTCAACAACTGCTTTATGCAGTATAGACTTGCGGTTTCCAGCCTACATGTACGTGTTCTGCTTGAATTTCTCTGACATTATATGACGGACTGGACAAGGAAGTAGTATTTGCCTACAGGAAGGGATTGGGAATGTCAACCACCCTATTGACAGGAACACAATGACCCAGATATTAATGAACAAAATTAATCAATTGACATCGCGATGCAAACATGTACCAGTACATTGTACTTGAACACAAGTTTACTCTACCAAAAAAAGTGTTGCACATGTTTAATTCATGCTGTTATCATATTACAAACTTATACATAGGCCTACTGGGTGAATAATAAATCCAAATTTTTAATGTACTTTTTTTTCTTTTTCAATGAATGTTCAACATACATACATTTCTTTTTCCCATTTTCAATGGTTTTGAGGATTAAAGGTTATGAACAACATTTGCAAACATCAAAAAACAAAAATACAATGTACCAAATTTTTATGGAATAACTTACAATGTACTTGACTGTAAGTGCATAATAGTCTTTAAGCCTCCTGTGAAATCATTGCACCTGGTGTGCTGTCATTATCAAGAAAAGTGGAATTTTTGTATTAATTTCCAATGATGGTCGGCCGACCATCGTTGGAATAAATGACTTTCTCTTTCCAATACTGCCCCAAATTTAGCAAATTACATGTAAGTTACATGTAGTCCATATTTTGTTTGCAATCAGTTACACATCTGTAAACGGGTACAAGCCAGCTACATGTAGTCTGGTTCCTGACCTGACAATTACCAGACATAAATTCCTCCATTTCGCCTGAAGTAGGGTCAGGGAACCAGACTACAAGAACATAGTTTTTTCTTGATTTTTTCAGCATTTACCGGTATTTATAAGCACAAAATTTTAACAGTTCATTGTAACAATATTTGCTTTAAAATCCTAACCCCCCAAATTCATCCATTTCTGAAAATTACAGCAAAATATATTGCAATGTACATTGTACGGAAGCATGACTGCTTATTTCAGTTGATGTACAATGTAGTGACTGGTAGGCCTATACAGGACATTCTGGGGGCCTGAATATGTACTCAAATGTACAGTGCTAACAGACACAAACAGACTGAAAACAGTATGGAAAGCTGGCTTAATACTTCTGGCTGACTGTATGGGTGGGCCGTCACCACGTTAAATAGGGAAGTTTCTTTATTACATGTAGGACCAAGTTGTGGGGACTTTCTGCTGCCCCCACAGCGTCTTCGGTCCCCATAGTACCATGGGACATCTCAAGTGTGGTTCCCAAAAATACGGAACAAGTATGTGTATACAGTTCATGTTGCATGTACATATTTGTGTATCATGCAACAAGCATTGGTTCCCGTACAAATTTTGTCATTGCACTGTATTGTTTGCCATATTAACATTGGAAACGTTTTAATGTGCAATACAAAAATAGAAAATTTAAAGTGCTTCCTTATCAATCTAGTGTCAAAAGTAACATGTAAAACATGTAAAAAAAAAAAAAATTATTTACTTTCACAATAAACGGGCATGCAACCTTTCCTCTAGTCAGCTGAGTTCCTCTTGTAAAGCTTACAATTTCCTCTTTTTGCAATGCCTGAATTGTGGCTTCATCCAAATGGTCATTGAACCCTCTAGTCATGGAATATATCATGAGCAATCAAACATAAATAATATGCAAACAAATAGGCCTATAAAAGAAATCCAAGTACCCGTGTAGTGTGAAATTTGGACTCTTTGAGATACGGACTCATTCATGTCATTATGTGTATTGCCCATGCCACCGGGAAGATTATCAAGAAAGTGACAGACCTGTCACGTGTGAGAGTTACCGTCCATATACATCATGTACACGTAAGGTAAAACAGACCGGATTTCATAGGAGTCCAAATTTCAGATGACACTGTACTGCATTCCTTGTGCTACATGTGTACATAATACAATTATATTTCCGAATTTCATCCCAAACAATGGATTCCTGTTCTAAATTGGTTATTTTCTAAATACCAGTAGAAGAGTTATTCACTGTTGAATTAGCCATCGATCAGCCGAAAAAAAGCTTCTTAACAAATATCAATTTAATGGCTGGCAGACAATAAGTCCAGTTCTTGTGGGATTTGCCGGTTCTGGCCCCACAATCAGTAGTGATAATGTACGGACTCTGCTGGCAAAGCTGAGCTGTTTGTGCCCAAAACAAAAACCTTTTTTTTCAGACTGTTGCAGACATCCCACAAAAAATGAAAAAATAAATGGTTGGAACAAAACATTCAAGTTGAAAATTTATTAATTAAGAGAAAAAATATGTAATTTGTTGGAAAGCACAGGGGATACAACTTGAATTGAATCCATCATTGATGACCGAGTACATGTAGGCACGCTTGGCTTTAGCCGACCCATTTTCCCTGTTACCCCGTTTTTATCAACATCATGCTGTGATAAATTGCAAGTCCTTCGGAGAGCCGCCCTCCCCCATGCTTTTTGTGCAATCCTGGAATTGCTCTCTAATAAAATTGTGTCAGCGTGACATCCACTGATGAGAATTTTTTTGTGTCAGTTTCATTCTGGTCATTTATAGGGTTGGTTGAGCATATGTACATGTATACATGTACCGTACATGTGTTAGAGGGAAGATACAACATTTGCAAACATCAAAAAACGAGATGAGCAAATTATCACGAAATATCCTACAGGATTGTCAGGGAATGACAGTCCAAAGCATGCTGTAAATTCGTGGCTCCTGGTGTGCTGACATGTTCAAGAAAACTTGTACTTTTCCAATGCTGGTCGGCCGACCAGCGTTGGAGAAAACTGGTTGTTTTCAAAAACTGCTCCTAATTTTTCATGTTGAGTTATTCCGCATTTTCTTTGGAATTGTTTCTTCAGTCTGTGAAATGGTACAAGCCAGCTAGACTGATTCTTTAACCCTACAATTTTCCAAAGTCTATAAATTGCTCCGTTTCATCTTAAGTGGGGTCAGGGAACCAGACTTCAAGAACATGGTTGGTTTTCTTGGATTTTACAGCATCTCCGAACCCAAAACGTGAAGCAAGCCAGTTTAACAATATTTTCTATAACATACTAATCCTCCCAATCCAAGTATTTTTGAAATTTGCAGCAAAAGCAAATGTTGTACATTCCCTTTAAACATGTTAAAGGTGGAGTGCATGTACATGTAGATCATTTGCAGCCATCCAAAAAGTAACTGACGAAATTATTGTTATAAAGCTTACATGTATTTGGTTTAAAGATGGTAATGACACTACGCGTAAATTCCCTATGAAATTATTTCTTCTGGCATGCTGTCATTTTGAAGAAAATGTTTATAAAGATCATTTCCAAAGATGAGTCAAGTGACACATTTTTTGGAAATTTCCGTTAGTAAAAATAATAAAACACAAATAAAACTTGTAAGTTAACTGTTGAAAGTCAATTTTGGTGAAATAATTCATGCTCCTGCTGCTAAGGTTGTGAGTTCATTCAAAAAGTACACGAATGGATGAACACGATTCATTTCAAGCATGGGACTGCAGAAACTAGAGAGCTACATGTAGTGCCTTTGCAGCTGTGGATTATTAAATTAAAGAACGTTTGTAAATATTTCAAAAACACTTTTTTTCATTGTAATTCATTTTTTAAACAACTTTGTACATGTAGGTTGTTTGAAAAGACAAATCCAAGATTTGATAAGAATTGTGGAGGAAAAGCTTTGTTTTATTCACAAGTTAATTAACTGACAAACTGAAATGCGAGTGACGGAAATGCGAGTGACGACATTTTCCCCCTTTAATTTAAAATACTTTTTTTCATTGTAATTAGTATTTTGAGCACACTGGCATGACTGGAAAGGTTTATAAAGCAGAGTTGTAATGACTCAAGTCAATGACTCGACTGAAGTCCGACTAGGGTAAACATTTTTGGTGACTCGACTCGACTTAAGCAGCTAAGGGCAAATGACTCGACTCGACTCAAGTCACTGCTAGCAAATGACTCGACTCGACTCGAGTCCCCCATCAGAATGACTCGACTCGAGGAAGGCTAATAAGACTCGAGTCCCAAAAATAAAAGCAAAATTTTGCGAAAAATATTTGCAATGACTTACGCCGGTGACGGTTTTTGTTCACGTCACGTTAGAATGTTCGCGAATAATGTATACATACATACATGTACATGTGGTTTGATCAGTGTCCCCATTAGTTGAATGACGATCAGTTGGCACCCCCTTTTTATTTTCATTAAGAGTCAAATGTGGTGTCACCACATGTACCGTAGTAGCCCGAATGTAAAATTACAAAAGTCAAAAATGACTTTCTCTCTTGTGTTTATTTATTGTATAGTGTTCAAATATTTGTGACTCGAATTGACTCGAGCTAAATACTTGACTCGACTCGACTCGACTACACACTGTGACTCGATTCGACTCGACTCAACCTTCTTGACCTAATGACTCGACTCGACTTGAGTCAATTCTTTAAAATGACTCGACTCGACTCGAGTCACAAAAATCAGTGACTCGTTACAACTCTGTTATAAAGGTTGTTTAAAAAGACTTAGGTAAGACTTCATAAAAATTGTGGAGGAAAAGCTTCATTTTGTACAATGTATACATGTAACTTAATGAACGGACGAACTGAAATGTGAGTGATGGAAATGCAAGTGACGGCACTTTTCCCCTCTAACTTAAATACAGTTACTTGTTGAGGATATTTTGTTACCCTCATTTATACTTCAGTATGGTAGGTATCTACATGTAGTACATATAACCATTTGGTTGTGATACATTTGGTTTGAGGAGACGTTTCAATTAAAACCAAGACTATTTTTGGCATGTCCTTTTCACGACATGCGAGTGACCTTTTTTCCCACAGTGCCATGCTCATATTTAGCATCATTAGATTTTCATAATTCCATAGGGTTAAAGCCTTATATACCGGTATTGAGTATTTCCAAACCAAAAATTAAAGAGTAATTATCTTTTTTGTAAAAAGTACACCACTAAGATTGAAAAAGGATGCAAAAAAGTGAAATGCGAGTGATGCTGGGATCGCCCAGTACTGAAACCTTACATGTACGTATATATACAAATAAGTAAATTTACATTTTTGATGTGCACTTTTTGATGACTTTACAAAATGCACATAATTTGTTTCATTCACAAATGCTAGCAGCAAAGATTGTACAAATGTAGTATGCATATACCGGTTCACTTAATTACATGACGTTATAGAGTGGAAAAACTCTTGGATTGGGATGCCTGTGTTAGTTGTTAGTTTGGGGCAAAAAGTTAAGGTTCTCATTAGTATGTACATTTTGAACAGTACAATGGTCTACATGTACATGTAGTTTGAATTTTCTTTCATACTCTTGTCTGTAGTGCACACATATATATGCAAGTTTGGGCAAATTAAGAATTGTTCACAATGTACATGTACATTAACTTACATGTACCTTAAAACAAGTTCGTGACTAGTTAATGAATCAGTAATTGAATCACTAGTTGCAATCAATGCTGATACTGTTCTGATTTGATTTGAATTCTTTTCAGGATCACGGCATTATGCGGTGACTATTACGTCGGTGGGCGCCAGTTTCCGTCACTGTCTGAGCTGATTGGTTACTACACTCACGTCTCCAACATCTTAAAGAATGAGAGATTACTCTACCCCGTTCCTCCACCAGAGGTAGGTTGCCACATAAAAATGTTTTGGAAACGACTGATGTACAAAGGTACCTGCTGTTCCCATCTTTTGAAAATTGGTTCTACTTCAGTTGAGAGTCGGATTTGATTTAAAACAGTACATTTTCAGAAATTAAAAAACAGAGAAGTTGTCAGGACCTTTGCGGTTGAAAATGAACATTTATCCTATTGAGCTACCGAAGCATTTCTATCCCAGTAGGAATATTATACATTTTGTATGTTGTAATTTCTTAACTATAGTCGTTAGAAAACGCATAACAGCTTCCGTAAATTGGCAACTTCTGTAAATGGGCAATTCCTTAAATTTGGACGTACATGTCAAACACTTTAATGAGCTGCTGTTGGACAAGTGAATGTGACATTACTAATAATGTGACATCTAATGAGTAGAACACAATTACAGACCAATACATGTATGTACATGTACATGTACCGCCACCTTAACGATACATCATGTGGTCAGAAGTACGTTGGATTTTACGGAACTGCCCAAATAGGTCTATAGCTACATGTACTTCGTAATTTGCAAAAATATTATAATTTTAAAGTGCTCTGAGATGTGATTTTTCTCACACGAAAAGCATTTTCAAATAATGAATATACATGTACAAGTATTCAGCTATCACCTTACATGTATCACGCCATCCCCATTATATACTATACTCATCATTTCTGGCATTATCCCAATCATCATCATCATCATTACCCCAAAACATCATCAAATGTCTCCTAATGTTATTTGTTTTCATTTTTGTACATATTTTCTTTTATCATGATCATGATCATCTTTTTCTCAATTTGCCATCCTTCTCCTGTATTTTTGTCCTAAAGAGGCAATCTACCTGTAACTCATGTACTTTGCTTCCTAATGTTATTTGTTATTTTTGTCTTCTTTTTTGGTTAGCCATTGATTGACGACCGGAAGAAAGTTGTGGCTGTCTTGCCTTACACTAAAGTGCCTGACACCGATGAGCTCAGGTAGGTATTCATGTGCATGAAATTCCCTTGTCTACAAGAAAAACAAAAGTGTCATGCAATTTCCTGAGTTCCAACTCAACTCTAATAGCATTTTCTGATTTACCATTTTATGTTCGGAGTGAATGTGCATACATGTGTATTGTCGTTATTTACTTCTATTTTAGGGGACTGGTTTATTTTCTGTTGTTTAGATTGCATGTACATTTTCTTTCTGCCGAAATCCGCACACATGTACATGTACCGGGTATGCAACAGCATTTACTGATAAAAGCCAATTTTGATTGAAAACATGTAAAATCTACATTTTGTACATGGTTTATCAAGCATCAAATGTGAGAAGTTTAATCGATTTCATGTACATTATTGTCATTCTGAAATAGACATAATACCGAATACATGTGTGTGCACCGTATCTTGTTAAAATCAAAGTGTACCCTAATGAGGTTTTTTTTCCTAGTTTTATTTATTTATTTATTGTGATGTTTTTGTGAGGGTAGTCCTTTCAGTCATTATAGAGACTTCCTTCAAAGAAACCCTCTTCTAAAATGAAACTTTTAAATAAAATAGATATATATTAAAAATGAATTTTTGTTTCTTGTTGGCATGGTTGGGGCCTATTTTTTAAAAATATTTTTTTTTTTGGGGGGGGGGTTAAGAAGAATGATTTTAAGGGATCGTGCAGAGCTGTCTTTCATGGGAACGCTGTAATGTACAATGTACCTGTTCAAAGTACCGGTATGCTTAAATGTAACAGGCCAGCATGTGTACATGCATTTGTATTCTATGCCACTCTTGCCAACACCCCATGCATGTATCAATATGTCAACTCGGTGACCGTCCCTCGTCAGGGATCCTCTGACCTGGCCAATTATAGTTTATTTTCAGTGGGCAGGCCTGTGGGCCCAATTGTGACATTTTGAATTATAATTCACGCATACACACATGGCTTGTACATGCAGTGTGCTACATATAAAACAAAATGCGTAAAGGATACCATAGTGGAATTTTATAACTTTATTAAGGCATGAACTTCAGTTGTGAAATAAAACCTAGTGAATAGTTATGGAGCTGAATTTGGAGGTTAAGTCAGCATTTTGAAAATTTGGGTTGTCCAGTTTGCGTTAAAATGGGAGCATAGTGCATTTAATTTTCTTTATTTTTTTTTTATTTTTTTTTATTTTTTACTTTTAACAGAGACATCCCGAATAGTTTTCTGGGTGTCCAAAAGATATCTACATGTACCAAAACATCATTCCTAGCTAAACAAATCTTGGTTGAAAATGAAATGAATATTTGAGTGATTGGAACAAGGGGGGAAATTATTTCATATTATAATTTGTGTTTCAAAGACGGAGCAGTTCTTTGATTTCATTTTATGATAAATATACTTTAAGTCCTGTGCTACAAAACATGTTCCTCCAAACATACCGATACAAACAGTTTTGTACATATGTATATATATTTGAGTAAATATAAAAAAAAAAATTGCATTTTATTGTAGATTTTCTGTTAAAATAAAATTTAAAAAACCAGGAGGTTGGAAGGCTAAAAATTTATCTTCTCATATTTAGAAAAAAAGTCGGACAGAATCTGCCAGTGATTGATGAGTTGTTTACAAAATGATTTCTAACTCCAACAGATTACAAAAAAAAAAAATTGGTTTAAAAACATTTGCCTCTTTCCAGCCAGAAAGACCTCCTTAAGATGTCTTTTCTTTTCTAATTCATGTTTTGTTTTTGTTTCCCAGCTTTACTGCAGGGGAGGTGTTTGTTGTTCATAACGAGCTGGGAGATGGTTGGCTGTGGGTCACCTCCCAAAGAACTGGCGAGAGTGGTATCGTCGTAGACGACCTGGTCAAATACATCGTGAGTTTGGTATTAGTGGTCTTAATTGTTCATTGGAGGACAGAAATGAATGAGAGGGCGTAGGTTAATGTACATGTAGCATGTTTTTTTTGGGGGGGGGAGTTTATGGGCAATGTCCACAAGTGTGGTTACCCCACCTTGCCCCCATCCCACCCTGCCCCACCCCATCCCTAACCCCACCCCATCCCTAGCCCCACCCCATCCCGTACCACACCCCATCCCTGACCCCATCCCTATCCCCACAGTTCATTTGGGAACATAGAAATGACACAAGAAAGGGAGACATTTGGCTCAAAAAAAGTCGGCTGTTACATGTAACATGGTTAAATCACCATTTTGCATGTTTATTTCATTGGTTGTACTGTTCTGCAATACATCATATACGTGTGCGTTTATAACATCAAAATATTAAGATGGTGATACATGTACATTGTACATGTGGGCCTAGTGAAATTACTTCACAAAATGGTTATGTAATCGACCATTTTCTTCAAATTTCATATGATCCTGTATGTCGATCATATTTTAAGTCCCTAATGTGAGTCTATCACATACATGTACATGTACATGTACGTGTACTGGCACATACCGGGTACGTGGCCATGTGTGCACATACATCATGTATGTACATGTATATGAAATTCAGCACTTGCATGTATAACAATTCCAGAAAACATTGTACATGTGGGCAAAAGTGTTAATATACAGGAACTCCGACAAAAATCACTGAATAATACATTTCACTCAAACGCTTTGTACAGTTGTACGTGTGGATTAATTGTGTGGGTGTCGGAGATATTCAGAAAATGTGGCTGAGTTGTACATATACAGGCAAATACTGACTGCATAGATTGCAATGTACAGATGTACACTGAATGCATACAAGTACATGCACGTACAATATACCCATACGTGAGCACAGTGCTAATGTGGACGTTATAACAAACGAGGATTATGACTGTCCAGAAGTGTTTTCTACTCTCTGAGGTGATTCAACAAAGATCATCAATTCCAATGTTATGACACACTGGATATTGATACAGTGACGCTGGTAATTTATTGATCAATATATTAGTGTCACTGAACCGGAAAACAGTGTGTTAATGCCGGGCGCAGGAATACCTGAATGGTGGTGGGCGTTGGGCATAATATATTCTAATTTATACATAACAGGTAAATGTACATGTACATGTTACATGTACACGTGTATACATTGTATACATTGTACATGTGCATATTTGCCTGTATTTCAGATGTACATGTATACACGTACATGTACATTACATAACTAAATACATGTAGTCAATGACATGTACACCGGCGGTACATACATGAACACACAAAGATGTACATACATTGTATACATGTACATGCATGCCCCATGCCTCCCCTTTATCTACAGTATACATGTAGAATGCATCTCTCTCAAAGTCTGATAATTTTGTTCTAGAATAATTAGTGTCATATACACGCGTACATGTACATTTAAAGGCCAAATATACAACATGTGCGAATTTGAGATATCAAAAAACAAAAATATCAAATTATTATATAATACCTTACTGGACGGTTAGTAAATGACAGTCTAAAGCATCCTGCATGTCCTGTAAAATCATGGAATCTGGTGTGCTGACATTTTCAAGAAAGGTGGAATTTTTGTATCAATTTCCAATGATGGTTGGCTGACCATCGTTGGAGAAAAAACTAGTTTTTTTTCCAAATACTGCCCCAATTTACCAAATTTAGTTAGTCCGCATTTTGTTTGCAATCGAAGACACATCTGTGAATGGGTACAAGCCAGCTAGACTGGTTCCCTGACCTTATAATTCCCCTATGTCTATATTTGCTCTCCTTCATCTGAAGTTGGGTTAGGGAACCAGACTACAATCTTGAACATTATTTTTTTTTCTTGGTTTTTCCAGCATCTACATGTACAAACAAAAATCTTTAAACAGGTCGGTGTAATTATTTGCTATAAAATACTAACCCCCCAACAGCATAAGCAAATGTTGTATATTCCCTTTAAATCCTTTTTATTTACATTTGCCACAAGCCTAGGCTTCCAGAAGATGCCTCCATACCAATTTATATTTTTGCCTTTTTCACCTTTTTTGACAAACTCTATTTATTGATTTATGCACTTAATCGTGTGTTCTATGCTTGTATTTCTCATTTTGATGTGGAATTGTATTGAATTGAAACGAATTGAAATGGCAAACTTCCTTGAAATGTTCATGTGTTCGCACGTACAGTGTTTGGTGCGGTGGTGGTAAACTAAATACACAAATTACAAATATTATAACGCAGTGGCATGTTTTTGGTCACCTACATACATTGTAAGTTTGACAACATTTCATCAATGTGTTTGATTCACATACTTCATTCCAACTCTCTGATCTAGAGTGGCGAGTACTGAAAGTGAAGCCATCACTGTCAAAGTTGTCGTGAAACTTGTAATACATACTGTACTAGTACATGCATGGAACATGTTATTATATGTGAATCATGAGCAAACTGGGTTAACTTTTTCACTTTCAATTTAAAAAAAAAATTCAAAATGTTTACATACATTTTATATATTTACAAGCCTGTATAAATGAGTAGATTTTTTTTATAAACAATGATAAAGGCATTAAAAAAATTTCAAGGGAATGTATCGGTACAACATTTGCTTTTGCTGGAATTTTCAAAAACAATGGATTTGGAGGATTAGTATGTTAGAGAAAATATTGTTAAACTGACTTGTTTCACGTTTTGGGCTTGACAATTGTAGATGCTGGAAAACCAAGAAAACCAATCATGTTCTTGTAGTCTGGTTCCCTGACCCCACTTAAGATGAAACGGAGCAATTAATTCACTTTGGGGAATTGTAAGGTCAGAGAATCAGTCTAGCAGGCTTGTACCCCTTCATAGGTGTGTAATCAATTGCAAAGAAAAGTCAGAATAACTAAATATGAAAACTTAGGAACATTTGTTGGAAAAAAGCCAGATTTCTACAACGCTGGTCGGCATTTTTCTTCAAAATGTCGGCACACCAGGAGCCACGATTTTAAAGGATGCTTTAGACTGTCATTCCCTAACAATTCAGTAAGGTATTTCGTGATAGTTTGATCATTTCGTTTTTTGATGTTTGCAAATGTTGTACCGGTATCTTCCCTTTAAATGTAAGTTGCATATATATATACACAGTAAGTACGGTACATGTACATGTACATGTAAAATGGAGATAGATTTATAGTCAAAATCTAATGACACTATTACCGGTATAACAGTGTACATTTGTACATGTACATTCAGGCTGTTTTCTCGTCAACTAGTGTTTTTTGTTATTGTTTGTTTTGTTTTTTGGTTTTTGTTTTGTCTGCTTTTACATTTGCTTACACACATATTTGATATCATTATACATGTTCATGTCTACCCTAGGAATGACAGATGTGCTGTCATGTAAATGAATGGCCACACGCAGCATCTGGTAATCGCATAAGTTGCATGTTTAGACTTGTTTTGTATACATGTACATGTATGTACAATGCACCTGTGTTTTGTCATTACCAGTATACTGATATCTTGCGGCCATTAAAGGGCTGAAAATGATTCTGCTAGACAAAAGTAAACATTTCCACATTTTAAAGAAGAAAAATGATTACAATTACATTCCCCAGAGAGAAATTCGTAGAAGTGTGGTATTCGTCATGCACATGTACAAGTTTGTTTATGGGCATCAGATAGTCTTGTCCACATTGTCATGGGTTTTTAATTTTGTACGGTAAACAGGTACATGTACACACTACAGCCTGTCTTTAAAAAAAAGGGGGACAATCGAAAACGATTTTTTTTTTTAATATTAAATCTCAACATAAGTAAGTCATTTTGAGCATCACATTAAAGAAAAAGACCAGGCTTTCCAATACTTTTTGTTTCATCTCATTTGCTTTTGTCAATCCAGAGATAACTCCAGTTTACTGCGGAACACAAAAATCGAGTTTGTTTCTTTTGCCAAGTTGCAATCTTTTGTGAGCTTCAAGACAGCATGGCACAGTACTCAAAACAACTCTGCCCATGCATAAAAGTGGCACAAAATCGAATTTGGTGTATCGCACTAAATTGATTATATCTCTGAATTGACAAAAGCAAATAAGATCAAACAAACACTATTGGAAAGCCCAGTCTTTGTTCTTTAATACACTGTATTATGCCAAGTAAGAATGACTTATTTTGAAATTTCATTTTTAACCAATTTTTTTTTCTGATTGTACCATTTTTTTTTGAGACAGGCTGTTTACACACATTGCATCATTTTTTTGGTACACATGGTACACATGGTACATGTTCATATACTGTACACCCAAACGTGTGTTCACCGTTGATCGTGGACGTCCTATTGTCCCTCTTTTTAGGAAGACTCCCATAGGTTTTGTACACGACCCCAATCGCGAACGTATGCTGGGAATCGTGGACGATATTGTTCTCTTTTGTTCTCTGGTATTTTTCGTCCACAGTTTGAAAAGATGAACACATACATGTACACCCATACATGTAGAGTCATTATTTGGGAAGATACCGTACACTACGTACGGTACATGTACATAAACGGATGTACTGTGCACTTACATGTAACTCACAGCTCTGGTATAATCAACACCTACATTGTACATTGTACTTCACAGGATGAACAGATCTTATTTTTCCTGAACATGTTGAATGTGATTTATATGGAAAACTTTGTTGCGAGATAGAATCAACTTATTAGAAAGTATGGAATATGTTTCAGTCTTCAAATTTTTTTTTATCTCATCTAGAATGGATAGTTTGAAAAAACAAAACTCTCCTCTGTGCTGAAGCTTTTCTTTTCTCATTTTGAATTTTTTGAGTTTTATGTTATGCCCACATGTGCGTGTCCTTTAGATGCAAAAGTTCAATTCTTGCTATGGTTTGCTAATCTTGTTTACTGCCCTATAGTTGATTTATTTGAGTGGTGTTTTTTTTTTTCATTTTCGACCTGAATCCTCACTTGTTTCAATCCTTTCTGCTTACAGGACAAAGATACTGACATCAACGAAGGGAAAATGTAAGTAGTCAATTAACAACATTGGCATAATGTAAATATTATTGTTATGAATCATTCGTACTTAGGTTGCATCACTTGAACCCTCACTTCTGTCGTGTTTCAGCAGTTTGACAGAAGAACCTTACCCAATAACAATCGGAAACGAAACAAGAACTAGCGAAGGAGTTTCATTATTAATCAATTTTGCAGGGGAACGTCTAAATTTAGCGTGGATCCGGATGTTGGGGCTTATTGAAACCAACAATGCGAGTTGTGTTTCTTTCGTTTCACTTACTTTCAGTTTGTGTGGCAGTGTTGTGTAATGTTGAGTTCTGCCTCTCCTCTTCCCCCCCCCCTTCCCACCCCAATGAAGAGGGGATACAAGGATGAAAAATTCAGCAAAAGATGGCCTCAGCAACACATTTTAAATTTAAACCGTCTCTTTGGAAGCCTTTAATATTTCTGGAGAAATAAAAAAAAAATGATGGGAGCCATTAAGCAGTAAAAAAGAAAAGAAATGAAGCTACATGTATACAAATGAAGTTTTGAATCATTCTAAAAGCATTACAGTTTGAGGAATGATTGAATTTAACAATATGTAATTCAGACATGCAACTTTTCCTCGGATCAGCTGATTTCCTCGTTTTTCACTTCACACTTACATGTATGCCATTAAAAATTGGAAAATACTGTATAAAGTCTACAGTAAAATTTTCTCTGTTTTGTGGGGTTTTTTTTTTCAAATCAAATTAGAGTTTTTTTCAAATCAACTTAAACTTTCCAGATGCACGACATCAGTCATCAATTACATTGTAATGATTAGGATTCAGTCCATTGTTATCTTTTGGTGGCATATGTTATTCCTCGTCATTTTGTGTGTCACTCAGCTGGTACCATGCCAACGCCTCCAAAGAAGTTGCGGCCGACCTACTACTCAAGGGTAAGACTTGGAAAAACTTTCAGGTTTTTTTTTTTTCAAATCGTTATCAATGAAAACTAGACTAGAACCTAAATAAAGTCAAGCAGTGCAAAATAAGTTTTAAGTTTGAGGTTAATTAAAAGCTACCTTTCAATTTCCAGCCCATTTTATGGGTGGCATGGGTGGCGCAGCGAGTAAAGCGCTCGTCTCTCACCGCTGTAGCCTGGGTTCGATTCCCGACTCGGGTCACATGTGAGTAGAGTTGTACTTTGATTCTCTCCTGGGCCACGAGAGCTTTTCTCCAGGGTCTCCAGTTTTCCTCCCTCCGCAAAAATCAACACTTTCAATCTGGTTGTGCTCTTTGGTCAGACATGGGTCATATGGCGACTGTCTAAGGAACCTTAACATGCCTCCGGCTCGATGATGTTGTAATTGCAATCCTTCGCAATTCAGCTTCTCAGCTGCGAGTAAGGACGATTTGCCCCAGAAATGTATTTATTAATTTATTGTTTTGTATTAATGCAAAGGTCTTTCCTGAGCGAAAAGGACACTGAAACAATGCCATTTAGGGGTACATGTACAGTGTATAAACTAATATGAAGGTTATTGACATAGCTTCTTCTTCTTTTTTTCCAGCTCAGAAAATACATTTTCACAATGGTAATTGAGTGGTCGGGCACACCCGACCACTCTTTGAAATCGTTCGTATTAATCTTTCTGGTAAAGATGCATTTTTTAAACAAAATAATGGATTGTACTGGAAAGGATTTAATTTCCTGATCTTACATAAACATTTTCATAACTCAACTCGGCAGTGTTTAATGAACAAATTGCCTGCCCGACCACTCTGCGTTTGTAACAACAGACGCAAACCTCTAGTTTTAAGCTGTTTTAGAAGTTACTAAACTGCTTCAATAAACGTGATTTCTTTTGTGTTTTTGCTCTGAATATAGTGCCCTTACAGCACTTTTAATCAAGCAACAATATGACCTACATGTAATCATCTACTCTGGCATATATTGCAATGACATCACATGCATAATGTTTTTATTTATATTTGATTAGAGGGTGACGTGGGGAGCTTTCTGGTTCGGAACAGCGACAAGAATCCCGGCGACTACTCTCTCTCGTTCCGTGGTCCCACGACAATCCAGAGGTTCCGAATCCAGAAACAGCAGCATCACTACATAATGGGTGGACGAACCTATCACAGGTGACAACAACTACCCTCTCCCCTCCCCCCCGGTCCCTTTTGTAGTATGTCAAATGGGTTATTCTATAAATTGGGTCCACTTTTTGTGCTGTCTCTGTTACATCTGACATCTATAATTTAATAATCATGGATGCACTCTGTGATGCAGTTGTCCTCGAGGAGTGAGTATGAAAAGGGGGTGTGCATCCGAACCGAGTACCTGTCCGCTGATGTCAGGAACTGGTTCCAGATTATGGGATCGGGTACCCGTAACCAACTTTACAAATTACTTAGTAACTTCTCAGACAATGACAAAGTTTTGAATGCCATTTGTGGAGAATTTTCAAAATGAGAACCACGCTACATGGAAAACCAAAACAGATTTTATGTTTATGTGTATTTTAATGCGCCATAGATGACGCTCGCGAAAGTTGCATTTTACAACGTAAAGCTATGCAGTCCTTCAGACAACTTCCAGGATTTGAATTTTGGGGTTAGGATTGTTTTAGGATTATACGGATACCCGTGTTTTACTTCAATAGCGTAGGTGTACCTGATTCTTGTACTACTGGTAACTGCACACCGCTCATTACATGCATGAATAGCAAACTACCTACTCAACAAATAAAAAAAAAATCATTCTCAATGATACTTGAATGGCAAATTACAAAGTTCAGAGGTAACAAGGACAGGAAAAATGTCACACTTTGGACGTTAAATTTATAGAGTGACCAGTATCCATACTCCATGAACAAGAAATGGTTTTGAAATGCTGGCTCAAAGGAAGACTTTCCTGCCAAGCATGACTGAGTAATAATGTAAGGGCTGGTGTGATTTGTGTTTTTTTATTATTTCAAATTGCAGTTTGGATGCCATAATTGACCATTACAAGAAAGAAGAGATTGTCAACGGTTACAAGTTAGCCGCACCGGTTGTACCAAAGGTAGCCAATTTTGTTTGTCATTTCAAGAGTTTTTTGTTGATATGTAGTCACACCAAAAGGTATGGTTACTTTTCTAGCATACTCTTTCATTCACCAGCAGATCCAGAACCAGACTTTGGTGGGTTTTTTTTTTTTTTTTTTTTTGGGGGGGGGGAGGGTTTGGTGTGGTTTTTTTTTTGGGGGGGGGGGGGTTCTTTTCAGATTAACAAAAATTGGGAGTGGAGGACTGGACATTGTTTGATGCTAGAGGGCAGTCTTTTTCACCATTTTCCATTTTTTTCTGTCTCTAATTCAGGAATTCATAGAGGAAAATGGGATGAGTAGCATCCATTACAAAACACTATTCACTCTTCAGTTTTAATTATTTAAAAAAATTGACACTTTTTGGGGGGAGGGGAGGGGACCATGGCTACTGTTCCTATCCCCCTTTTCCCACAAATCTGCCGGTGGTTTCATTTCCAGTATCCCTGGTTCAATTCCCACCAACAATAACAAGTCCACCGTCTGTCCTTGGCTTGTACCCCTATTCAGATTAAGTATCTAGGGGATCATTCTTCCCTCATCTTTAACTTGCATTTCCTTCCTTTTCATCCTGGGTGTGTTGTCATTGCAGGGCAGTGACGATGTTGTTTCTGTCTTTCTTGGCATATTCCCAGTAAAAATATGAAAAGGGGCCAAATAATATGAGTTGTTGATATGTGGGAGAGTATTGTTATGAAAGCATAGAACAGAAAGTGATAACCATTAGTAGTTGTGTAATTCAATTATTTTCCTGCTTTCTGCTTTTACTTATTAATTGTATGCCCCCTTCCCCCCTCCCTTCTCACCCCTGGCCCCCCCCTCCCCCCCAAAAAAATTACTTTTTTGGATAATTTCCTATTAATTTTTTCCTCAGACTTTTACGAGGAATAAATTATTTTTCCAACCGTCGTTTTAAAAAAATCCCCCTACTAATATTTACATTGTTCAGAAGTTGGAAATTAGGACCAAGTCACCCGAGGCATTTTTTGCAGGCAAGTAAAGGAACTTTCACGATGAACAAATTACATTTTTCCAACAGTTTATGGAAATTCCTTAAAATGTTACATGGAATTAAAATTTGCCTTTTGTTTTCTTCTTGGAGATTGCCAATGACAAGTTGCCTGTAAGTTTCCTTGTGTGCCGTGGTCCTAAGAATTGATTGAAGTTTTTGCACTGGTATAGTGTACATTTTCCTGACCATTTTATTTCCCCCGATCTTGCAAAAATTGCAGAGTTTGAAGATGAACCGCATCAACCCGGAGCCCATGATCAACTATGAGGACATTCGCAGGAGGAGAAGCAGTGGCATGTTGGTCATGATGGGATCTGGTGACCACATCGCTAAGCAGGGCTACCTGAGCAAGAAAAGTAAGTAGATAACCGGACCTAACATGAGTGAATGAGGCTTCAAAGGATCATTTGCAAACACTCAAAACCTGAAACTGCAAACATCCTGTGAAATCGTTGAGCCTGGTATACTGTCATTCTCAAGTACTAACGACGTGGCTAGGACTTAACCATTGCTGAGAACACAGTTTTCTCCTGTGCAATATCTGTTAAACATGTTAAACGGTCGCAAGGCGGCTGTTTACTTCATGTTTTATGCTTGGGTACACTAGGTATATTTATGTATATCTTTCCCACAACAAAGCTCGCAAACACTCCCTGTGATCTATAGGTTCTAATCACGACACATTCCACAAGTCGCACTTTGATGGTTGAAAAGGAAACACTTTTTCTTGGTGTTTTTTTCCTGCACAAATAGACGCAAAACATTGAACAGCTCAGTGGAACGATGTATAAATTTATAGCCCTTAAATCAGGCCATTTCATGAAATTACCACAAATTCAAATAATCCAATGTACATGTTTCTTAAAAAAAAAACCATTGTGGGAGTATAAACAGTGAGAACGTGGTGAATTCAAAGTTTATTCCCAAACTTGCCATTGTTTTACTAATTCAAAAATTACATATTGTAATCTGTTAATTGTACTGGTCCAAGAGGGCGGGCTACAGTCCTCATTGTACCTTTCTCACTGACTCATAGACCTATGGAAGTGGCTGCAGCCATGTCCCATAGACCCCTGTGTAATTTTAAGCCTTAGCCATAGAATTCAGACGCAGCCTCACTGACTGTCACTTGTGAATTAGATTTGCCAAAGGCTCACCTTTGTCCAAACAAATTATCTCATATGCCTACCTAGATCCCTTTGACTAAATTGGTGTGGGACCATTTTTGGCTTGCCTCATATTTTGTTCACCATGGATATTTTATATTTTATTATTATTCTTCAACTTCTTTTGTATGCAGGATATTGTTAAGTGACTTCTTGCGTTCTCCCTTCATTAATGTCAGTATCTTTGTCCTACAAGGTTTGAAATTCTTGAAAGTGAAAACATTAGGTCTGGATTCTTTGATAGTTTCCATGGAACAGCGGTGTGTAACGCATATTAATCTGCCCTCAAAAAGTTGAGAATTTTTCCAAACTACGAACTCATTTTTTGGATTGTGCCTTTTCTCTGAACAGTGCGAGAACAGTAAATGGGGCTTTAGTAACACTTTCGGGAGCCCTAATAGGAGGAACGCGGCAGCGTATCTGCACTGGTTTCAGCGTCGGGCATCAGGTGTCATCATCAGTGCATTTTGGATGTCCCTCCCATTGGTCTCCCCCAACTCTCCCTTTTGAACCGTTGAGGGGGTACTTGTGCATGGCGTCCATTTGGCAGAGTCTAACCCTCCATTTTTCTTTCTGTTTTTCCAGGCTCCAAACACAAGAAGTGGAAGACCTACTTCTTTTCCCTGAACAGTACTGATCAGCAATTGCTCTTTTTTGAACATGATAGGGTAAGGTTTAATGACTTAGTAGTTGGAAAAGGTTTATTTTAAAGGACCAATGTAATAGAATTTTCTAATGTAGTCTTTGAAATGCACCGTTGTGTCACATTTACCTTAATTGTCATACTGCTATTTTCAAAGGTATTTTGGTGTCTTTCGTGTTTTCATCCAAATTCTTCAGCAAAACTGTGTTGTCACTCAAGGCAGGAACATCAGTGTTTACAGCTGCTTCAGCATCAAAAGTTGCCAGATTTTTTTATTTGTTTGCTGTCATCAATTTTCTGTTTTGGGTAATTCATTGTTGTGCCAGTACACAACAGTAAATCAATGAGCAAACTTTATGCACAAATGTTTTCAATGAGCAAATTTTCGTATTCACAATTTAAAAAACCAACTTGAACTCTGTGAAACAGCACAGCAACAGCGCCCCCAGTTGTCAGAAAAAAAATGGAATATTTTGAACGTTTGAAAAAGTACAGCTTAACTAAAATTTCAAAATATTTAACTAAAAAAGGATAACTCATATTCTGCAAACATTTCAGAGAAATGGAAATTTGCACAAAATTTATTGCAGTGTAAACGTCATGTGATGGTCGCTTTAAAAAAAGGATAATAGTCTAGGGGCTAAACGTTGTTATTGTTTGATACGCGATAACCCGCCGCCGTGATAACCCGCCGCCGTGAGAGGGCGCTATCACGACCAACCAATATCACCCATGGACTTGTCAGAACAACATCTAGGGAATCTGCTGAAATCTCCCCCCGAAAAATGGGGGAAACTAATGCGCATGCGCGACTTCTTCAGGCAATTACGGTCCAATTTCAGTCCCACACATACTACACATAACAAAAGAGCTGACCAGTGAAGTCGCACAAAGGTCTTGCTGCATCTTTTATTGCACTGGAAGAAATTTGAGAGATTGCTTCGGAACTACTATAATTTTTTTTGAATTGCGTGCTTCATATATTAGGCCAAACAGGTGCGCGCATTACACAACCAATACGAGATTCCCTAGACGTTGTTCTGACGGGTTCGTGGGTGATATTGGTTGGTCGTGATAGCGCCCTCTCGTGGCGGCTGGTTATCGGGGCGGCAGGTTATCGCGTATCAAACAATAACAACATCTAAGCCCCTAGACTATAACTGTATAAGGATAATTGTACAAGTATGTAAATGTTGTGACAATATAACAATGATACACAAATGCAATTAACATTTTTTTTCCTCTTTTTCTCTGCATTCTTCAGCAAACCAAGCCCAAGGGTATGATTGACCTCCAGTTTTGCTCCGTCTACATGGTCCATGAGAGCCTCTTCAATCGACCCAACTGTTTTCAGATTGTTGTACGTGCGCTGGGTGATTTTGAAGTCTTCTATCTGAACGCAGAAACACCGCAACTGGCTCAGGTACTATATTAACCCATTTACAAAATTTGTCTTTTTCCTGGTTTGTTGTATGAAAATATTTATTTGAGATTCTCAATGAATTTGATAATCAAATTGTACTTAATTACTAGGTTAATAACTCAAATTGTGAAGACTAAATAGGCATTGGCTCAACGAATCCTGATTTTTGTTATATCTTGTGAATGTAATTAATTTGTGAATTATTTTGTAGTTTCTCAGCGTCAGTTCTTTGTGTCTTGTGTTCACGTTTGACCGGGGACGTCACTTCAAAATCAGGTCTTAGATATAATGGTGATACTCTTTCTGGGAACCCTTCTACTCCCTTTCTTTCCTAATCATGCAGACATGGACCCAGATCCTACGCGCCCACTGCAGCAAGGCCAGCTGGACCCAGACCACTAGGGCCAAGACCTCAGGCATCAAGCAGCTCAAGAGCCTCAGTCTTCACATCCTAGAGGCCCACAAGATCCCTACTCGGCAGATCTCGCATCCTTACTGCGTCATCTCCTTGAACAACATCAAGGTGGCTCGTACGCCCATCCAGCCGGCCCCGGACCCTGTCTGGAGCGAGGAGTTTGTCTTTGAGTGAGTAGGGACATGGTATACATGGGGTTTTAAAGAACCGAAACATCACTTAAGTTTTTGGAAGTTGTTCGTGGTTAATGATGCAGGGTCACTGGTTCTTTCATGTTTGTCAGTATCAAGGAAGCGCCCAATTTACTAAAATACAAAGTTGTATAAGAGGAATTCAAACCTAAGCATCAAGGCTGAGCACCGAGTTCTTTGAATGAGTAAGAATATGAATGTTTGGTCACACAGCTGAAGCAGATTTGCAAAAAATACAAATATTTGGAAACGACTCGAACTTGAGTCGGAGTGTGCAATCATTGGACATTTACAGCATACATTTTGTCTGAATGGTCAGAAACATATGTACATGTATACCCAAAAGCCCATATACTCAGACCACCCTTTCTAGTGTCCCAGGTTCAATTCCTACATTACCAGCTAGTTTTTCAGTATACGTGTTGAACTCAAGCATTTTTTAGACTACAACCAATCGAAGTACCCTCTCTTAGCTGTCATGCTGTCATTGGTCATCTTCACAGCACCCTAGGCAGTGCCATACTCGAACAGTAGCTGGTGCTTTTTTACCCTTCTCGAAAGATCCGGTGGGAGGGACACATCACATGCGCATACTGGATCACGTGCATACGGCTTAAAGTACGCACAACTTATTTTGTTCTGAGTGTGCACAAACTAATTTGCATGTTCGCGTGAGTGTCAGGTGCCAGCGGTAATGCATTCAAACGTCCGTTCCAACTTTCTCTTTGTAACTTCCTAAAACTTCCTCTTTGTAACTGCTAAGGGATTACTTGTGCAAAGAGTCCAACGCATCAGACAGCACATTTCATTACATTCTCTGAATGGCTGACTTTTACATTAACTCCTTTGTCTGTTCATTATCTCAGACAGTATATTTACACTGTAGATACCTATATTTTTATTTGTACTTTGCAAGTGGCTGATTTTACATTGACTTACTTTTCTGTTTATTCACGATCAGCGATTTCCCTGATGACATTGACTCCTTCACGATAGACGTCTTCAACGGCGCCAAGCGAGCCAAGCCCATACCCCTCTGCAGGACCACCCTGCTCCTAGAGAGGTTACCCAACGGGGTGGTGGTAGACCAGTGGTATCAGCTGATCGCCCTGACATCACAGGGACGGGGGGAGATGGGCTCGATACGAACCAGGGCCCAGTTCCTTCAAGAGACGCTTATGCCTCTAGAGGAATACCACAGTCTTCAGGAGGTATGTTGCCGCAGGGATGGTAGCCCTCCCTCAGTTGCAGGGTATCTTGCCGTTTTTCACTGCAGATGACATATTGTCGTCATATTCTTTCGTTGTATACCCCAAATTGATCTAAAAAATAAAAGCCCACTCACATTCCATCTCCCTGTTCCTAGCTTGGTCATTTCTTTGGAAGGGATGTTAATCAATACCACTGGTGCATCCTTGAGAGAGGTTTTTAATTTATTTTAATTTTTTTTTCAATCATTAAAAACAGAAGAGGAAGACCTGAAGACAACCCTTTTTTAAAATTGATGCTGTAGTCTGTTCATATCCTTTCCCGCCATAGATTTGTGAAATTTAATAGAAAATAAGAACAAAAGTGAACAAAAAGCACCCCCTAGCATCAACTAAGCCAATTTGCAAAGGTCAGCCCCCTATTATTCCCCCCCCCCATGGTTCTGGATTTGCCGATGACTTTCACAGAACAATAAACATTAAACAGGCAATAGGATCATTTGCAATCTCTCCAAAAAAAATCTGAAAGATACTTTTAAGTAAGACCAAAGCAAATTTGTAAGGGAACATGCAAACATATTCAAATTCTACAGCCCAAGCTGTAACTGTACATGTAGATGTCATGAAATCCCCTTTTTTGTTTTCCCAGTGGGTATGAAATGACTTTTTTCTTGTTGCTCTTTCAGTTGGTGTTGGGTGACAGTGACTATCACTTCATCTATGCCCTGGAAGATGCCTGCTGTAAGGACCGGTCCCATCTTGCCAGCGTCTTGCTGGACATCTTCAGGCATCAGCAGAAAGAGGTGGAGCTGCTGCAGAAACTCAACGGCAGGGAGATTGAGAAGGAAGAGGAGAGGTCAACGCTGTTTCGGTCCAACACATTGGCCACAACGCTGATGGACAAGTACATGAAGATAACAGCTCAGGAATTTGTGCAGCACGCACTGCACAACGTCATCATCAAGATCATGGAGTCCAAGCATTCGTGTGAGGTGGGTTTTCTTGTGGCTTGCAATGATAAAGTTGTAAGTTATAATCAAAGGCATATAGGATCATTAGCTTTTCATGCATTTTGTTCGTTTCCATTAATAACACCACTCAAAATCCAAAGAAGAATGTTCAAAACCTAACCTTTTGAAGTTTTAACTCAGTGGATATTGCACTTATCGAGAAAACAGTGAAAAACCATGCACAGGCTTTTGATCACAAAACACAACTTTGTCTATATCACTCTATATTTCTGTCAATTGGCTGATCGTTGGAAATCACCTACATTTCTTGATTTCTTCGAAATGACAGCAAGTCCAGATGGTATAATTTTACGGGGTGTGTAGTACCAGTAAAATCTTTAATCCAAATCCAAGTAAGCTTTTTTGTAATAAATTGGTTGGTTACTTTTGGGAAAAATGCAAATTATTCTATGTGCCTTAAAGTGTGGTTTAGTTTTGTAACCCTGCTAAACCATGGCTATGATTGCATTACCAATGAGCCAGTTGAACTGCTGATCAATTTTCAATTTCAATTTCAATTTGGGACACAAATGGGACTTCTGTCAAACTTGATCGGTTCTTAAACTGGACACTAACAACTCAGGGGCTTATTGCGATCATTTGTTCCCACAGCTGAACCCGCTGAAGGTTGAGAAGGGCGACGATGTGTCAGAGAACTGTCAGTATCTGCTGGAGTTCCTGAAGGAAATCATCGAGTCGATATTCGTCTCAGCTAGTATGTGCCCTCCGTAAGTCAAGTTGTCAGTATGAGCCTTGTAGCCAAGTTACACAAAGCAATTTTTAAAAGGCAACTCTGAGGCAACGCAATACACCTAAAGGAATTGTTGTGAAGAGTGACGTACATTTTTCCCAACAGTTTACATTACATTTACATTCAAAACATTACAGGGACTTAAAATTTGGTTGTCATTTTCTTCTTGGATATTGCCTGGAACAAGTTGCATATATAAAATTGCCTCTTGTCACAAGACCCTTGGCTTATGTGACCACCGCTCATCAAACATCAAAGGTTTCTACCTTTCATAAGTATTCATATCTGTTATACTATTGGCAGTCTTCATAAATCTCGAAAACGATTGTAGGCTATTTCACATCTTGTGCATTGTAATGAGTCTAACATTCTCTTGTTGATAACACTAAGAAAACTCTTTAATTAACCCATGGATTTGCACCACTCATTCCTCTCAGGGCTCTGAGGTATCTGTGCTGGTGTCTGAAGCAAGATGTGAAGCAGAAATGGCCGGATGATCCCAACATCACAGCACGAGCAGTCGGGTAAGTTCAATTCAATCTGGCAATTTACCAGACAACTCATAGCATTAATACCCTGATGTGAATAGACCTTTCTTTTGTTTGTAAACAATGAAAGCCATGTTGTAAGGGCTGCCACAAGGGCTTAAATTTAAGCCGTGGCTGGCAACAGATTTTGCCAAAAAGTTTCCATTTTAACAACTCATTTTGTGAGAAAGAGGCATTTTTATTAACTCTTGGTTTTTTTTTGTTTTTTGTTTGTTTCAACAATCCAATGATATGTTTGGAAACATAAAGAACTTAAAAAAAATTTTTTTTTGGCAACGTTGACCTCTCCTAGTTTGCCAACCCATGGTTGGCAAGAAGTGCAGATGTAAATTGGTACTGTCAAATTTGCCAACTCATAGTGACGTCCATTTTGTTTAGTTCATTTATATTTTTATCATTTCACAGAGGGTTCATCTTTCTACGACTCATTTGTCCTGCAATACTCAATCCAAGACTCTTCAACATTGTGTCAGGTAAGACAAGTACGGGTAGTCACACCAACTCAAACTTTTTTTTGATATTCCTACAGCAGAGAAATTTGCAGAACATTTACCTTTGTAACTTCAGTTGATTACTCCACGAATTGAGGTTTCTTACAAAGATATACATTTGTATAAAGCAATTTGCACAGAGCTAGGATTGTCCATAGTTTTCGTGAATAATGTGTTTATGTTGCTCAGTTTTTGAAGTGACACAAGATGAGGCATATCACTGTACATTTTTTGTCCACCTTTGTGGGCTACAAACGTTTTACACAAAATATCGGAAGACAAGTCAATTACAGATTTTTGACTTTAAAACTTTGAAAACTCGCTCATAGAAACAGAGCAAAGATGCCTCAGTAAACAGGATTTGTTATGATTTTTGTTTGTTTTTGTTTAATATGAAAAGCAACTGAAACACACTGAGATATAAATCTACCTTTCTCAAACAGCTCTGAAGTCTTACATTTTTTCCCAATTTCCAACGGAAATGTTTACCATTGGGGACAAAAAAGTTTGGTTAGATTAGTCAAAGTCCCACTTTCAGCAAATGTTCTCAGTTTCAAGGGTTTTGTTTTGTACGTTCCTTTTGCAGAGGCTGCCTCACCCATGGCAAGTCGCACTCTCATGATTGTTGCCAAGGCGATACAAAATCTGGCCAATCAGGTGGAGTTTGGTGCTAACTACAAAGTAAGTGCAAACTGACATGTGGTTACTTTATTACATCCACTCACAAAAATATTCTCCCTTTTCCATTTCTGCATATTGGATGGGTTATAACTTATAATGTGTTTTTGGATCTCATGTTGTCCATGCATAGCACAATGGGGCTAGCAATCACTACATGTACAAGTGATTGTCACTAACAGCAATGATGTTCTCAATCACGTATTTTTGTATTTGCAGGAGGCCTACATGGTGGTCATCAACCCTTTCATCGTCATCAACAAAGGGAGAATGTGCCACTTCCTCAACGAATTAGCGGTAAGTACTTTTGTACTATCCTTTTAAAAGGGTTTTTATTATCCCCCTGGCTGTAAGCTGGAGGGGGATATTGCGATAGTGTATTCTTTTTGTGTGTATCTCTGTATGTCTGTCTGTCTGTTATGTTTTGGTTAGGTTAACGCTTGTCAGCACGATAACTTGAGAAATACTTAATTTAGGAAAGCTTATTGCTATTGGGGCTGACAGGTCAAAGGTCAAGGTCACTATTGCTAAAACAATAGAAATCTTGTCAACGCGATAACTTGAGAAATACTTTACTTAGGAACTTCAAATTTGGGTTGTGGGTTGCTCTTGGTAGTTTTATCAAGAAGCCTATTGCTTTTGGGGCCGACAGGTCAAAAGTCAAGGTCACTATTGCTAAAACAATGGAAATCTTCCATTATGCTAAGGGACACTGACAGTATCTGTACTAACTGACTGTATAAAAACTGCCAGCATGCCAGGGGGATCACACAAGTCTCACTTGCAGTATTTTTTTGTAGAGCGTCAGATCTCGTTCTCTCTTAACTCTCCCCCCCCCCCCTCCTCCAAAGAAAGATGTACATTGTATTTAAATTTTCATTTGAGCCAATCATCTTCTGTCTGACTGAGCCACCTACTGACTGATTGACTAAACATGCTAAATATCAATATTGTCCTAAATTAGACTTACGGTTTCAGTTCGACTAGGCAAGACTTATGAATAGTTTACAATTGCTGTACTGGCTGCTACATGTACATCAGATTCAAACTAGTCGACCGATCCCACAAGCTCGGTGATTCGAGTGGTAAAACGTCTGCACTAGAAAGCAGGAGGTCGTGGGTTCGAGTCCCACCCGAGTGATTCTTTTTCAACTTCACTCGGGAGGTAGCACACTGAGTATATAGTGTTTATACGTCGGTGAAGGGCAAAACCTAATATTGATTTACATCACCCCGACGGTATATCATCTTATCAATAGGCAAGCTTTCAATCAATCAATCAATCAAAAGAAATTTATAAAGCACCAAAATCAAAAAGTTTGCTCTAAGGCACTGATGGGGCACCAAAAAGAAGAAAAAATATTGATGGTACACTTCCTGAAACAGGTGAGCTTTCAGGAGTGTCTTGAATGTATGCAGTGAGGTGGTATCTCTAATGTATTCTGGAAGTTTGTTCCATGGCCAAAAGTGACCAGGTATGGGCCACTCTGCTTATAAAGACCTTAATCATGAGTTTTCCTAGCTATGTAACTCTCGTTGAACCCATGCATTCAAACATCAGTTGATGCTCACGTTCATCCAACTGCAGCGCAGTGCTATATTCCAAAGAGAGCCACACAAACCAGCTTTGCACTGTGAGGTTGCACAAAGAAATTGATTTGGGTGAGATTGGAACCTGGTGAGGGGCAATTGTCTGAATTTCTTGTTTTCATCCTGCAATGACACATGGAAGCTGCTGAATCTACGTCCCACAGACACGTGCAGCCAGAAAATACATTCAAATTCAATTGTCTTTCTTTCTGGCTTGACTACACACTTTCTGCACAGACTGTCAGCGAAATCCCACCACCGAGTGAAGTACCTCCCATAGATCTAGCCAGGCAACTAGCAGCCCTGCACCAACTGTGTGTTACACACCTCAAGGAATTGCAACAACTCAGTGTAGTTCAGGTAAAGTGAATACCTCAGTCCTAAATTGACACAAAGCCAAGATAAAGCAGTAGCTTTGCACCAACTGTGTTACTTACATCGAGGAATTGCAACAACTCAGTGTAGTTCAGGTGAAGCCAATACCACATACCTAAATATGCACAAAGCAAAGATACAGCAGTAGCTTTGTACCAACTGTGTGTTACACACCTCAAGGAATTGCAACATCTCAGTGTAGTTCAGGTATAAAAGTGAATACCACATACCTAAATAGGCACAAAGCCAAGATACAGCTGTAGCTTTGCACCAACTATGTGTTACACACCTCAAGGAATTGCAACAACTCAGTGTAGTTCGGGTAAAGTGAATACCTCAGTCCTAAATAGGCACAAAGCCAAGATACAGCAGTAGCTTTGCACCAACTATGTGTTACACACATCAAGGAATTGCAACAACTCAGTGTAGTTCAGGTAAAGTGAATACTACAGTCCTAAATAGGCACAAAGCTAAGATAAAGTAGTAGCATTTGTACCAACTGTATGTTACACACCTCAAGGAATTGCAACAACACAGTGTAGTTCAGGAAAAGTGAACACCAGAGTCCCCAATTGGCACAAAGTCAAGATAAAGCAGTAGCATCTGCACCAACTGTATGTTACACACCTCAAGGAATTGCAACAACTCAGTGTAGCTCAGGTAACTTGAACATTAGCGTCTCAAATTGGAACAAAACCCAAAGATTGTTTTCAAATATTTTTGTTGGAAAAAAATATAAAAAAGAAACCTTATTTTGCAACATGTTGAGTAGCATTTAGCTTGCTTGCGAATTCAGTAAATATATATATTATTTTTCACTCACTGCACTGCTACTCAGTTTGACGTAACAATTAACCCTTTAGTGACTGTACCGCCCCAAACAGCCCTGCCTATATATTACTCCCTATAGTGCCAGAAACCACTGGAGCACTCTATTGTTTCATTGATATTTCAGTGAATAAACACAATGTAATACAATGTAGTACATGTGCTAATTGGTTGAGACATAGCGATTATGACGTCATGAAACTTTTGTCTAAAAAGCATGTACGTGTTCTTGTATAAGATGAATGTTTAGCTTATGAAAAAAATAATATTATTAATGCTAACAATTAGATCAATCGTACTTCCCTTAACGTTATCTCGCAGCAGCAAAATCAACACTTTGGAACACTTTGTTATTGAATTTGTCATTTTTTTGTTCTCAATCTGTCATTCCTGTATTTGCATCATAAATTCACTTTTGTATATACATATGTATACTGCAGCTTGGAATTTCCTCACTTTTTTTGACTCTCCAGAGTTTAATTTGTTGATGTTTTCGTCTGTGTTTTTACCACAGCCGAGTCTGAAGAAACTGTTGGCGGTGACGGAGATGCTGACACAGAACAGGAATCAGTACATGGGCCGATCCACCACCCTGGTATGATCCAGCAACTCCCCCCCCCCCCCCCCCCCCCCCCCAAATCAGCTAGTAGGGAAAAGTAACGACCATGCGCACTGCAGTCATCTTTGGTACATGAGGAAAGAGAATAGCACTAGGGAAAACAGTGGATGTTTATGTGCTTGTCGTGGCGCTGTAGACAAGCTGAAAATTTCATATTACATGGTAAAGGGTGAATTGGTTTGTTAATGTTATCCATTAGGGAACCGGTTATGGGCAGTGTAGACTGAATGGCGAACCCTATTACTGTACATAAACCGTGGCCCCCTCCAATGGCGAAAGCATTGTGCTAGCTCTTGTACAAAGCAGCTGCCCCGTGACACGGATAATCTGAACAGTAAGGCGTCTGTCACACTGTCACGACGTTGCCTCCCAATCACGATAAGACAGTGCTGAGACGCAAGACTCGACGACATCGTGAAACTTGGAACGACATCTGAACTTTATCGGAATGACTTCTTGAGCGTTGTTTCGGCATCCTACAGGTCATGCATGGTCGGCAGCAGAGCCACGATTAGTTTCAATAGTTAGAACATATCGTGATTGTCGGCAAAAAAATCCAAACCGGATCAGAGTCTATTCTCTGTCTGTTCTCAAACGGTTGTGTCATAACGAGGTCGTAACAAAGGCGTAACAAAATCGCAAAAGTCTGTACGAGATCGGCAGTGGTCGTACATGGTCGGCCAAATTTTTTTTAGCGGACTTTGATACAACCACTACGACGTGAATTTCCGAAGATGACGTCACTCTGTCATTTTGGAGTCGTTTCGGCATCGGTTCTCAGTCTTTTGTGTCGGTACTCAATGGGTTGTGTCGGCACTCTGTTGGTGCTCTGTCTCTAATGTCGTAACGAGATCGGGACTCAGTCGTGAAAAACATTCAATGGAACGGACCCAAGTCGTAGCGAAGTCGTAATATTCGGTTCGAGGTCGTTTCGGTAATAGGCAGGTATGGTTATAGACAAAATCTATTTGGCCTTGATTTTTTTCAAACAATTTTGAAAAATTTGAGACGTGGGGATGAGTCCCAGTCAAATGAGTTTATCATGTTATATGAGAATTATATCCAAGATGGCTACAGCGTGTAAGGGTCTCCATGTATCTGTATAGCAACTCACCAATATGTACTTTGCACTGTGCATTTGTATTAAATATGAGGCTTACTGTTGTTGTAAGGGACCTGAATTCTTCCTTTTTACTCCAACTTAAAAGAAAAAGATGCCATTTTTTGTGGCAGGTCGGTGGGATTATCACCCACCTTTTTTTTAAATCGTGTGATTAATTATCGAAGTGAATTTCAAGATTATGAAAAATGATTGTTTTCAGCCTTAAGCATCAAAGAACAGAATTGGTATCAGTTTCTATCCGTGCAGTATTGCTTACTGTTTTGGTCTTCAGTATGCACGCAATTTGTCCCTTTGTGTTCACGATGTTTACCCTTGCCGTATCCAGCATATTCCAGTGTAACAGTTCACTTTGTTCAATCCTGCACCTCAGATGTTGTAAATGTGGATATGTTTGCTAAGTATGTGGCATCTGCGAGTGTCGTTATTTCTGTCAAGCACGAGCACCACCAGAAACATGATTTCTGCTACGGGCCTACGTGGCCTACGGATCATTGCAATTTCTCATAGAAGTGTACTTGGATTGCTTAGAATCACTCTACTAAAAGTCTGGACACTATTCCGTCTGTCATGTTATTTACAACAGTACAATGTACGTAGCCCCCAGCTTCATCCTGTCAATAATTCTGGTGATCCCATGTAGGAATGTGAATTTAAAATTACCGACAGTCCGACAACCCTGTGCAAACGTTTTGTCAGATGAAATTTGCATCGGGAAAATGTCAATTTTATATTGTGTTTTGCCCTCTGCTGATGTATTTATAAACACTGTGTACTCAGTGTTGTCCTAGGGCTTGCAAGAACAATTTACAAGCTTACTTGGGTGGGACTCGAACCCACGACCTCCTGCTTACTAGTGCAGACATCTTACCACTCGACTACCGAGCTTGTGGGGTCGGGCTGGCTGGTTATAAACACTGAGTATACACTGTACAGTTTGTCCCCCCAAAAAGTGTCCGTTTGACTATTTTTGAAATAAGTACAAAACCATGAAGTCAATTTTGAAAACTTTCTGATTGTGCAGATCCTTATCCTTTGCCTAAACCCCTATGAGTTTCATTTAAGTTAAGTCACACATCACTACACAGTGGTCAATTGATCACAACAACATTTGTGGACCTAGTGATCAAGTTCCTTGCCTTCATTAACTCAGTGCTGTGTTATGTAAGCTGTGTGAAATCCTGCATGTTGTGAAAAAGGGCTGCAGTTGGGATTGGAATCATTTGCCTCAGGGCTACCAGTCATCATGGCAAGACCTCAGTTTAATGCTCAAGTGCAAATGATTCCAATCCCAAACCACATCAGACTTTTTTTCACAACATACAGGAGTTTACACAGCTTACACAACACAGCACTGAAATGGATTAAGGCAAGGAGCTTGGTCACAGTGTCCAAAAATGTTGTTGTGATCAATGGCCCACTGTGCGGCGATGCGTGACTGAAATTTGATGAAACTCATAGGGGTTAGGCCAAGGATAAGGAGTATCTACACAATCAACAATTTTCAAAATTGACTTCACAGTTTTGTTATTTGGCAAAATAGTTAGAAGGACTCTTTTTTGGGACATACTGTACAGTGTTTATAAATAGGTAAGGGAAGAGCAAAACCCAATATAAAATAAATCTGTGCAGATTCTGCTTCTTGTAAGTGGAATTCATACAAAGAAGAATGCTGAACGCTTCACAGTCTGCTCACAGGTATGAAGAAACTTTTCACGAGGTTAATTTGTCGACATCATGAACAACATTTTTGGGTGACCGTACATGTAGTTTATGTAAAACTTGACTCCAAATGTGCTTGCTCCCATTGGCCTGTATGGTTCCATGTGCAAAAGTACCTATTAAGCACATTAGCTATCCCACAAAGCTTCATGGCATTGTGTTCCATTCTTTTGTAATGATGAGCCAAGTTTTTATTCAAGATCTTGTTAGTTTTGTTTTGTAATCCCTTTGATGTCTGCTGGTCTGTTCAGTCTGGATTAACACAATGTGGATGCTAAGCTATTGTGTGGTTGTCCTTCAGTATTGTCCTCCCTGAACTCCTGCATATTTCACAATGAGTCAATGGGGCTGTATGTATGATTTATAAGCGTGATGAACAGGGGTAATAACATCTTCAGCATTGGTTCACATAAGTCAACAAATGATTCAAAGTCTGTTATTATGACAAAAATCACTTCGCATTTTTTGGGTATTTTTCAAAAGTAAAACTTCTTTAAGTTTGGTTGTGAATTTTTAACAGATTTATAATAACTAGGTTATCTTTTGAATTGTTAAAATGTAAAACAAAGTCTGAAGCAGGAAAAAACACCCCAAATTTCATTCACCATGAAGCATTTTAAATACATCTACCTGTACAGTGTATATGGATTATTTCAATTATTTTTTTTATTTTTATTGGCGTATAATATAACGTGAGATTATCATTTTCTTTGAGTGCTCTTCGAAAAACCGATGTGTAACTCAAATCTGTATTTAATATCAAGTACTTCATGTTAGTTCGTACCAACTCAACTCATTAAATGTGATTTCTCATTTTAAAAACAAAATATGTGTTGTATATTTTTATTCTCCCGTAAACTTAAAATTACCATTTTTTATTCATTTTATTATTATTATTATTATTTTTCTTTTTGTAATAAAGATGTATCTTTCAGTGTTAAACTCATATATGATGTCTTCACAATCCCATGTAACTACACGCGGGTTGTTTGATGTTTCTGGGATAACAAAAGGTGTGCTATGTTCATTGGCCAAGTGGTTGGCAGTGGACTCCGTCTGTGAACAGCAGAGGGCGCTGTGTGACCACTTTTGACGACCTCAATGGGAGGGACACGACGTACTGGTTCGCACAAGTATTCACACAAGACGTATCTTGTTCTGAACTGGACAAACCCATAGCGTCATTGCATGAGCAATTGTTTAATTGTCCCTCCAAGTGGTCTTCCTCAAGTTGCTATTTAAACAGTCACAGACAGTCAAAATTTCTATCCTCTTCTCCTGCTATACTTTTAACACAGGCTAGTCACCAGCAGTCAGATCATATGTCAAGCAAGCACTGTGACTAGTCAAACTCAGTCAACAGACCATGAACAGACAAAGCAGGCAAGTTGTGGTCACAGCTGGCTTATCAATCACCCACAGCTAAATCATAGCTGTACCAAGCTACATAAACAATCACAGCCAGTCAATCCTGCTTTATGTAGGCTGGGAATTCTAAACTGTTGAAAACAGTCACTTGTTTGATTTTGACTGAAGGGACAACCAAGGGCGGATCCAGGGGGGGCCAAAGGGGGCCATGGCCCCCCCCCAAAACGAAACCAATTTTTTTTTTTTTATGTGACATCGCAATAAAGGCAGGCAATGAGTACACCACCATCTTTTCCTAAAAAAAAATTGGTTAAAGTGGTCAGAAATTGCCTCAGATCGCACCACAGAGCACCTAGAATCCAAAATTTTTTCGGGGCCCTAGCGGGCCCCGAACCCCACGCCGTAATTTTTTAGACCCACTTTTTTGGGGGACCAAAATTTTTTTTGGCCCCCCCAAAAATTGTGTTCTGGATCCGCCCTTGGGGACAACATGTACTTGGCACAGAATGTCTGTTTGCAGTATAAGGAGGGTTAATGTTGAGGGGTAACTAGTGCACCGAGTTCGTAGGGTAGACACAAAATGATACATCAAGAGGCAATGCCTAGTTTCTTTTCTTTTCTTTGTTAACACTCTTCTTTGAAAATGACCCATTCTTCTCCTGGCTGCATTTTTACCCCCTAATGCTGCATGTTTCTACTTTGCTCATCAAGGCTGCTACTGAATTAGTGTGCAAATGTACAGCCCAGCAGTGCACAAGATTACCTAGACCTTACGTGTAGTGGGTGTCTCGGAGGGTGTTCTTTTTTTTTTTCATGTAGAAACAAATTGAATGCACAAAGGGTTAACAAATGCCTCTCAAAGCGATACAAGACCATTGATATCTAACTGTCGCCTTCATTCATATAAGGTCCATTATAATTCCAAGGGGAAAAGCATTCATTCTCAAGTTTGTAAAGACAGTCCCTTACTTTGTACTTTTACTTTATTTTGTTTTGTTTTTAATCATTTTGTAATGTCTTTTTTAATTCTTGTTGGACATGAACTAGGAAAAAATATTGACTTGTTTGAAGTGCTTCTGTCTTGCCGGGAGTGTACCCATCACAATATGTGATAGAGGGGTACCCCCTCCCCCCAAATCTCCATATACCCCACACCCTAGACTATTGTTACTTAACACATCCCCCTAGACATCTCAAAGAATTCCTGAGATTCTGGTAACACAAAGACCAACACACAGGAACTGGGGGGAGGGTCTCTGTCATATGTCGTGCTACATATAAGTTGATGCATGTGGATGAAATGGGAGCTAGGACAAGCATTGTCCAGAAAGTTGTGTGCGACAGCTGTATACATGTACATGTGTTATGTGTAGTTTGCCTGTTCTGGCTTTTAATATACGTTCAGATGTGCACTACGTAAACACGAATAGTGTGTAACACTTGAATCTACCGTAGTGACAGCAACATGCATAT